AGATTTTTTGCCCGCAGTGGGACAATAGCCAGAGGTGTATTTGGAGTTGGAAGGAAGATTTTGAGTACATTAGGTATACTTAAAAGAGAAAGCACAACCTATTATACAAACTGTACAGAAAGGTTGGGATGTAGCACGAGATGCAACAAATCTTATTCCAAATCCTGAAACAAGAGGAAAAGTTCAAGGATGGATGGACAATGTAGGAAGACAAGCAGGAAACTATTATAACAAAGCAAATGACTACTATAACCAAGCAGGACACTATATGGACCAAGGTGAAAGATTCTTTAACAGAGGATATAACCATGCACAACAATGGGTAAACAATAACCAACCTCAACCGCCTCAAACGTGGGGAATGTAAAGTTTTTTACTGAGATGAAATGAACAATACAGCATTGAGACAAATGGGCTCAAGATGGATTTGTCGGCTTCCAGCAGTTACACCACGTGTTTGTCAAGTTCTTCCTATACCTCAGGAAGTTTTAGACCGACTTAAAAAACCTAAACAACCAGTTTGAAAAACAAACCAAACTAAAATTTTTTACTGAGATGAAATGACCGAAGAAGTTGAAACGGTAGATTTGACACCACAAACAAAAAGTTCAAACCATTGTCAAAACCTGTCAAAGAACTTACCGATGAAGAGAAAAATTCAATAATAGAAAGTGCCAGGTCTGGAAATACAAACCCTAACTACAAAGTCACTTTTCATAAAAATGGAACGGCAGTATCTCAAAAAAGAAACAGACTCTCACAAATAAAATATTGAAGTCTGAAGGAGCTTTCGAGACAACAGATGGAAAAGTTTACTTCACTGACCAACAGTTCATTATAGAACATCTCATTGACTTAGAGTCGAAATATTCTAAACTTTACAACAAACACAAAAAGTTGAAAGGAAAACAAAAACAAATGGCATATGATATTTATGAAGATGTTGACGACACAACTGTTCCTGCAAGTGAAGTAAAGTCAGAGGAACCGAAAAGTGACGAAAAACCGATAGAAGAAGAAAAAACCAAAAACTGAAGATAAACCAAAACCAAAGTTTTAGTTTCCAAACTAAACCAAGTCAACCTTCATTAGCTGGTATGGGTTGGCGTCAAAGACTTATGGCAGCAGGCGGTTATGTAAAGTAAAGAAAAAAATATTTTTTTATTTTTATAAAAATGCCCCCATATAGAATGGATAGAAAATCTGCTAGAATAAAAGCAGAGTTGCAAAGATATGGTTGGAGAGTTTCGAAGAAGTTTAAATAATAAGACAGGAAGACCCATAAAAGTCTATGACAAACTGGCTGGTCTTCGCTACGAAATGGATTTGGAAACAGCACGTGCAAATTATCCAAACAGACTAGAGAGGTTAGAAGAAGAACGTCTTATGAACATGCCTTTCGATGTTAGTGAACCTCAAGTTGAAGGACACGACGGCTTTGCCAGATTCTTACTGGAAACATGACGAACAATTGCATCCTTTGAGAAGGAAAAAAGGTAGTGCAGAGGATGGTCATGCTCCCATGGAAAGAACAAGATATGCATATGAGAAGTACCGTGAAGTTAGAAGTCAAATTACATCTGGTCGAACCTTTACAGTAAACTTTGACGAAGGAAAGAACAAAGAAGGCTTCATGGGAGTACTTGCTGCAATTCAAGACGGAAATAAGAAAGGACACAATCTCAGATTGACCATAACAGATTTGGATGGTCACATTTACTATGCAAATGGCAATGAACAAACAGCTGCAAAACTTCTTGACGCTTTCAAGACTACAAAGAGAGAACAAATGGTTGACTCCGACTCAGACATTTTGAATGCAATTGAAGGAATTGCAAGTGTCAAGTTCGAATGGTACCAACCTAACCCTCAAGCAGTCAGACAACATGCTGGATACTTCCCGTTCATAAATAAGTCTGACATTGACTTGACAAGGTATGGAATTTACAATTCAATTGAAACAATTGTCAACGAACCTTGCATTCTTACATGTCTCAGGAACTCTGGTCTTGTTACAGAAGAGAAGATGAAGTATCTTGAGTCATGTGTGAAGACAAGGTACATTCTCAGAGGTCAATTGGCAAAAATTGCACCGTTGGCAAATGTCAATATCCGAGTCAACATACCTACAGCTAAAGGTTCTTCACATGACGACTATGTTGTTGAGTTCAATTTACCATGGTTGAAGATTGTAATTGTCCACAACCACTTCATGTTGAACGAAAGTCTTACAAACCCATTGTTCGGAAAAGGCAAGTGCAACATTGTCAGAGCTGTAAACATTCTTTCGAGAAAGGTTTGTTGGAACCAATTCCAGATGACAAGCTGACAGAAACTTTTGTACCAAAAGACGAAACAAACTTTTCACTGTTAGCAAGACCAAAAGTTGTTCCAGACAAAGTTCTAGTACAAAAGAAGTACACAATTCCACAAGGAGTTGGATTGTTCGGATACCAACCTGAACCAGAAGAACTTCCAATGAGGTTGCAAGAACTTCAAGATGCTATAAACAAACTTCCATTGAGACATCCAATTGACGTCAAATTGTATTGGAGAGCATCTGAGTTAGGTCAGAAGGTTTTATATGAAACAGGTTGCTTCGACGATGTTTATGAGATAACAGGAGAAGTTTCTCAGAAGATAAGAGACTCACTTGAATTTCCACAAACTGGACCAATTGGTTGCGACAAGTTCGACTCAAACGAAAAGATATACTATGTCGACCTTAACGCTGCATACATGAGGTTTGTCCAATATATTCCGACTGGAATTCCAAACGAAGATGGTGAGTTCCCGGGAAGGAACTATACAGTTGGAAAAGTCATACAACAACTGTATGATATTAGGAAAGCTTCAAACCCAAACTTGCAATGACACTCAAATTGCTTATGAATTCGACATGGGGATATTCCATTAAGAAACCTCAAGAGATGAAGAGTAAACATTATGAGAAGGTCGACAACTTTGTTGAAAGGTTTTCTCCTTTTGTTTTGAAGTACGAATTCACTCAAGGTCAAAGTGGCTTAGTAACCACATTAAACCTATTGTCGAACATTGGTCTTACCCTCAGTTCGCAAAAGCAGTCCTTGACAACTACAAACAAATTCTTCTCCGAAGTCAAATCGAAAGTTGTGGTTTACTATGAGAACATTGACGCACTCATGACGAACGAAGAAGGGTACAACAAACTCATTGAAATGGGTTTAGTCGGTGAGAAGATGGGTCAATTCAAATTGGACAAAATTTTCACCGAAGTTCAATGTCCTCTCCAAGCGTAAGTACTGGGCATACTTGAAGACGGCACAGAAATAAAACATTGCATGAAATAAAAAATTTTTATTCGAATTGAATTAAAAATGTGGGAATTCTTGGGAACGGGAAAGGCTTATTTACTTGAGGAACAGGTAAAGGTGGTGGAGGTGGAGGTGGTGGCAACCAGTCCATTTTATATTCCTTCCTAGCTAATTTCCGTTTAATTTCATGGTCGCCCTCGGAGTCTTTGAATCGGACAGGTCGAGTTACACCATTCTTGGTCTCAACTCATATATAACCTGTTTGTCTGTATTTTCATCGACTATGGCACGAGACACAAACATTGACCAAACGGACAAAAAGTGTCATTTCGGATGGTCACGCAGCCAATCGCATCGAGCACTTCGAAGAAGCCTTACGTTCCAAGGGAGAGGGTGTCTGGTGCAAGGCAGAGGTCATGAAACTCTACGAGCATACATCCTCAATGCCTGGGAGGACAAATCGTCCTTGGATTGGCAAATTCTACCAACTCCTCTGGGACGACCTCCTACGCAACTGGGATAACGAAAGAGCCCAATTCAAAGGTCGGAACTAATTTTGCAAATTACCCTTATTTAACATACTTATCCAAATAAACACCTAAATTTACTTGGGGTTCCCCCTAAAATAAAATTTTTTTACTCTTAGAACCACTCGAGTTCTCCTTACGGTTGTTGAGCTTGTCACCGTCAATGTGTCTGACCTTCGTCTTCTTGCCTGGATTGGAACCCATTGAATTGCGACAAGCTTGCCCATGGAGATTGAACCGCGATTCCGAAGGTTAAGGTTCAAGTGTCCCAAGTTGTTGAGGACTGGGGTAAGAACCTTGCCTGTCTCCTTGTTGCGGATTTGGTATGGGTAGGGTTGGGAATTTCGTAACCGTCATCGGCAACAAGGGTTGACCAAAAACTTCCTTTTCTTCGTGTTTCTCTTCTTCTTCTTCCTCTTCTTCCTCTTCTTCCTCGACAATTCCTTCTTCAATTTGGTACTCACGAAGTACGGTGTTGCATGTTCTGTCCTTTCCGAGTACCTTTCCAGATGGCGTCTATCTCTTCGAAGAAACGGTAGATGAGTCTGGCAAGGTCTCGGTTCTCTCTCTCGTAATTGCGCAAGGTTTCCGTGAAATTGTTCAGGCATTTCTCATTGGAAGCTGGTTCATGAGGACATCGGCTTTAAGTTTCCTTCATCTCTGTCATAAGACTACTTTGGAGAGTCTTAATATGTTTGTCAGATGAGCTTTCAATTGGGCAATTTGAATTTGAACTGGGCGCTTGTCTGGCAACCTTGAAAGGACATCTGCTATTGTGTTCGGCTTCGGTGCTTGTTCGGACATCGAAAAAATGAAGTGGTTTGAGAATGGCGGTTTTACTTCAAAAAGCTTGTTATGACAGTTATGTCATACAACAAGTTTAAAATAATATCTTGTTCTTCTTCTGAACGTTTGTTGTCTCTTCCGATAAAAGTTTCGAACATGAGAACCAAAAAACGTTTTTTGAGATTGCGGAAGAGTTCAGGCAAACGTTCATATTCTGGATATGTTGGGAGCAGTTCAAAACATCTGAGCTGACTTTCGGACAAAATTGGGACAATGTCAGAAAATTCATCTTTGGTCGGACTGCTTGAAGGTAAGTCCCTTACATGTAAGTAGCTCTGGTAAAGTCTTCTCATTTCTGCTAACTTTTGGAGTATAGCTTCGTAGTTTAGAAGTTTTAATTTTAATTGTCTTATTCCACTCTTGACATCTAAACGGTAACTATCCATGAGGTCAAGAGTAGCTTTGGTAGCTTTAAGTGGAGCTATCTGTTCCTTGACCTCTGCAATTTTGGTTGCAATTGTGATTTGAGCTCCTTCAAGTTCGCCGTCTATGTCGTTCTCAACGCCTTCAACCATGGCTTGAAACTCTTCATCGGTCCATTGAGATTGGTGTGGGACGAATTTAACTTGCTTCATTCAAAAAATGAAAAAAAATGTTTTTACTCAAAACGTTAAGGTTGACTGAACTGGTTGGATGTCGCCTTCACAGGTTATGTAGAACGGCTGACCCGAGAAGTTAAGGAGAGACTGAATTGCCAATTTCATATGGGGTAGGGGGTTCTCCTTGTTTGGTATTTTTATCCAAGGACGTTTGTTTAGGAACTTAACAAGAGCTTCTCTTTTGGCGTCCTTTATGCCATCGAAAGGAGTGTTTTCTGGTATTTGAATTGGAATTCCAGTCGAAGTCTCGAGATTCAAGACAGCCCTTCCAGAAATAGCGGTGAACTTGACCTTGGGCTTCATTACCCTGCGCAAGTACTGCTTAACAACTTCATTTATCTCTATAAGGTAAATTGCCTCGTCAAATCCTTCTGGCATTCCGAGTCCTTCCATCCGACAGGAAAATATTTTCCCGACAACTGGAAAAAATTTTCCGGACAAAGGGAAAAATTTTTCCTTCCGACAGGAAGAACTCTTCCAGTTGTCCGTCCGTAAACCATTCAAATTTTCGAAAATTGAGAACTTTTTGGTCGAACTTCAGGAAAAATTTTTCCTTCCGACAGGAAAAGTTTTTCCTTCCGACAGGAAAATATTTTCCATCCGACAGGACACAAACGAATGACTGACGTTCCTCTTCCTGAATGCCTTCCAAAGCCAGAAGAACCGAAAGCTGCAGAACCACAACAGTCTCCTCAGCAACCTCAGTTCCAGCAAGTCCCTCCACCAAATTACTACCAATTTCCATCTCAAGGTTACTACCAATTTCCACCTCAAGGTTACTACCCACCACAAGGCTTCCCGAACTACCCTCCTCAGCCTATGCCTTACTTCCCCAACCCTTGGATGTTCCAGCAAGCTCCACCCCAGCAATTCCAATCTCAATCTCAAGAGAGACCAAGACTTCGAAGAAGGTCTGAACCGCTTACGCAAAGAGTATGCTACAGCCCAATGGAAGACGACAGGCTTTCAGTCTCTTCCCTCAAATCGACCGATTCGACTCGTACCACAGATTCAGTTCGTGACCGTGAAGACTACCTCAAGCAGTCTGAGAGACTCTTCATCCTACAATCATTTACAGTTGGAGCTCTCAAGAACATGCGCAATTACGAAGGTCAGACACCAGCTGGAGACCGCAAAACAGACGTACTCGCAAGAGCCGTCCAGCTCGTCAAAACAAAGACGGAGGTAGTCGACTTCATACTTGCAGCTTGCCCATACAAGTAAAAAAATAAACAATTACGAGTTAAACTTTTTACTCTTTCTTTTCTGAGTTGTTTAGAGCTGGTTTCTCTTGTAGAACCTTTCGTACTCTTCCATGGTCATGCAATTGCGAATTTGGTACGCAATTCCAGGTTCGTTGTTTTTGAACCTTATGTATGTAACGCTTCCATCCTCCTCAGGGAAGTAAGCTGCTAACATCTGACCAAGTTTTCTCGGTGACTCGGAGCTCATTAAAAATGTCACTTTTTAAACGTTAAGTTTTTAGTCTTATTTTACCCTTTGTTTACCCTTTGTTTGTCAAGGTAGTATTGGAGTGCAATTTCTCCAAATTCTCTGTGTCGGAGTTCTTCAGCATTTTCCAAGGTGTTCCTGGAGAACTCAAAGAAGTTGTCAAGAATACTGCCATGCTGCTCTTCTGAGTTCGTCGGTATTTTGGAAGTGTTGCACCTTCGAGTCTTCGGACATGAAAAAATGACACTTTTTCTATTAAACCGTTTTGGCATTTCTCATGAGTGAGTATAGTTCTGCCGAACCATTGGAAGAGAAGAAGTACCCTTGCTGGCAAAAGACAAAAATAGTTGCCTTAGTTGTCATTGCAATTGTACTCGTAATTGAATTCATTGTACTTCTCTTCACGTACATAAAACTCAGCAATGGTATTTGCTTTAAGAAGCTACCATCTTACTAAGACTAAACACTTAGATTTTTCAAGCTTGACTTTTTACAATTTGAATTTTGTTGCTGAATTCAGTAAAAATATAATTTAGGGTAGAAGGTTAGATCTAACCTCATTTCTACCCTCATTTCTACCCTCTGAATTTTCATGAATTTTCCCGAAATAAAAAATAAAGTTATTTTTATTTTTTTTATTTTTTTATCCGGAATATAAAGACAGATATGTCAACAACCGAGAACACAACAACAGTTATAGTCCATGAAGCTATAATGAAGAATACGAGTACATACAGTTTAACAAACAATTGCGTCTAATTCGTTCGGTCAAAGACGATATGTACCAAATGCAAAGTATTTTGACTGCATGTTTTGCTCCAGATACCAAACACGCAGACGATTGGTTCAAAAACCGAAGCACACAAGAACTTTTGAGTGAAATTTCTCTAGACCGAGAATTCTCGGTCTTGCATAAAACACATGAAAATCGTAAAAATTTGCCAATAAATTTAAGAGGATATTATGTACATAGACTTCTTGTAAATGCTGTTGCAATGTGGGCTTCGCCTCGTTATGCTTGGTATATTTACAGACTTCTTGACGAAATTCATAGACAAGAACGTGAAGAGCTAGAGAACAAGCTTGAAGCAAAAGACAAAAGCATTCAGAAAAGAATACCACGTTCGGTACCAAAAGGAAAGGAAAAGAACTATAAGTATATGATTTATACTGAAGAGATGGAAAATGAAGAAGACAGAGATATGGTTATGTTGCATTTAGTCAGAAGAAACAACAAAAGCTTTTACGACCTTGCTAAGATTTACAAATCTGACAGAAATTGGTTCTATCGCGAAAACTTACCGATTTCAATGACCCCAAATGAAGATGTGAAACAAATAGTTCAAGATACGTTACCTCAAACACACTATGATATGAAAGGTTGTACAATACTTACCTTCAAAGAAGATTACCGCTACTGAAAGGAAAAAATAACAGAGTATTTTGACAACTTCAAACAAGCAGAGTAAATGAACTCTTTATTTTTCAAGCTTGACTTTTTACAATTTGAACTTTGTTTGCGTAGATATGAATTCTGAAAGAAGTATGAGGGTCTTGTATGACTTTGTACTTCTCCCATAGTTCATGTCTGTCAAACTTACCTGCCATGGACTCTTTCATAAGTTCCATGAAATCGTCTTCGGACAATCCGGGGAAAAGTATTATGTCAGTAAGTATTCTCTTTACATCCTTACTTAAACTCTTTGCTGTCTGTACACATATTACGACTGAGATGTTAAAGTGTCTGAGCTTCTTAAGAATTCGACACATATCTTGTTCTCTGTTCTTTAACAAAGGATGAGAGCCGAAATCATCTAAGATAAGAAGACATCTATGAGGGTAAGTCTTCCAATCGTAAGATTGCAATTTCTTCGAAATGTATTCTATCTCTTTCTGTTTGTTTCTGAAGTGTTTCTTCTCTAATATTCTCTGCATTTCCTCATTTGGGTCTTTAAACTTAGAATTTATATACTCATTTATAGCATTATACTTCAAAACTCTTCTTTGGTACTTCTTTATCCAATCTAACAACTCAGTATCCTTTATACATACTAACTTAGACTTCTTTATAATATCTTTGAACGAATTGACGGTTTGGTCAAATTGACCAGAAGTACTACAAATGACAACTAACTCATAGAATGGGTTCTTCTCATCTAGTTCTTGTTGTTGTGCAGCCATTTTAAGATAAGTGAAAGTCTTACCCGACCCAGGTGGTGCAATTAGACCTGTTATACCATTCTGAGCAAATAAGAACTTGTCATGTATAGGTTTTATCTGAGCATTTTCTAACTTCCTCTTGTTCTTGTTTAAAACATTCTCAAATTTCTTGTCAATGTCAGCAAACTTTTTTTCTAACATATTTTTAGAAAAATTAAAATTTTTATCTTTTAGAAAATGTCTAGCGATTTCGCTATCTATATTCGAGACAAACTTTTTGACAGCAAAACATCTGTCGACCATAAAATCTTACATAGTGTAAACAAGAAAGGTGAATTTGTTCTAAAGTTCTGTTTCTGGGAATATGACAAGAACCATAAAACATTACAAAGAGCAGTCTTAAAATTTGTCAATGACAGACTTGTTGACAGAGATGACGCCTCTTGGAGAGATGAAGTCCAACAAAATTTCTTAGAATGCAAAGAAGACACATGCGCTGTTCTTGAAGATGAAATAGAAAACAGAATAGAAGAGCTATTAAAGGACAAAGAACTTTTACATAAATATGGTTGCGCCAAATTTGACATAACTCCACCAGAAAAGAAGAAGAGAGAAAAGAAAGAAAAGAAAGTAGAAGAAGAGAAGAAAGAACCTGAACCAGTTCCAGAGAAAAAGAAATTTGACATGTAAAAATAAAATTTTATTTTTAGAACATTTCTGGGTCAATGTCAATGTTCTCTTCCTCTTTAGGAGCAAACACTGGCTTAGACTCTAAAATCTTTTTACCCAATTTACCTTGAACTTCAACTATCTTAGACTCATAATATTCATAGTCGTCTGTCTTCTTTGGTTCATAAGGTATAACAAGTTTGTATGCTTTGCCTTCTTTAAGGTTTGAAAACCTTCTGTCAAAACTTTCTTTGACTGCTAACAAACCTTCTATGTCTAAGTCTTCAAATTTCGCACCATTTTTAGTCACAATAGCAAACTTAACTGGTTCGATGTTCCAAACTTTGCTGAATGAAGACTTTTCAAAATGGTAGAAGTAAACATTCAAATATGTGAATGGGTCTAGTTCTTCTTTAAGTCCTGACATGTACTTATTTACTGAGATGAATTTTGCCATCTTTTCTATCGGATAAAAAAATATTTTTTTTAAAATTTACTCATAAAAATTTTTCTTTGTATATACACCATTCTGTACGTCTAAAAGACTTTTGACATTTGCCAAGAATGTTCGTTTAGACGCTGTCATATAACCATATTCTTGACAATATTGTTTATACGAATCGTACAATGACCTTTCATCTAAACACTCAAAGTCAGTTTCATCTATGAACAGTTCATATACACTCTTGTTTGCTTCTAACAATGTTTGTCTCTCTTCGGTATGTGGAATTTGTCTTGGATTGAACTTTGAAATATCTAATGTCATAAAATATGAGAACAAGTGGTTGTAAAAGTCAGATGTCAAAGTTTCTGCTAAGTCGTCAAAATATTCTGTATCTTGCATATGAGAATTCTGACGTTCTGACAACTACATATCTTCTGTCAGAACTTTCTAACTTCATCGGAACAGAATTGTTTGAAACCATAATGAAGTTTGCAACATTTTCACAAACTCTTTGGTCTTTATATTTTCTTTCAACAACTCCAACTTTGTCTGTTATAAGACTCTTCAAAGCATCTGAGTTTAAAACTTTTGTTGTATCTATACTTTGAAGTTCATTGCAAACTATAAGTTTCATATTCTCTATTGAGGAGTTAAACTTGCCACAGATGTTTTTCTAAGTTTGTCATATTCGGGTTCGAATAGCCTCTAACAGTTTGCAAAAATATCTGTAAAGAATGTGTTCTTACCAGTTCCTTGTTTTCCAATTATAATGAGAGCAGTTTCATTTTTAGCACTTGGATGTTGTAAGATGTTTGCAAACCAACATAAGATATACTCATAAACCTTTTCGTTTCCATTGCATATAATTTCTTTGACATGGTCTAACCAAGCTTCTATAATATTTTCTTTCCATTCTACTTGTTCGTATTTATATCCAGTGAAGATAGAATAGAAGTTTGGAGAAGGTGTATAGAACTTTATACCTCGAACTGAAAAATCTTCTAACTTTGACAATAAGATATCCCAAGCATCTAACATCTTCATGCCAACTTGTACGACTTTTATTTTCTTAAGTTTCTGTCTACATTCTTGTTCTGAAACTATTGTTGCTCTTGGTTTGTTAAAGACAACATCCCATTCTTTCATACATAACATTCTGGGGCAGAGTCAACATAAATGACTAAACGTTTCAAATTCTCGACTGCTTTGTTATAGTCTCGAAATGGACACATATTTCTGAATGCTTGGAAGTCATAAAAATCTGAAACATCTATTCTGTACATTTTTAAAAAAAAAAAAAAAATTATTTTTTTTATTCTTGACTTTGTTGTTGCATTTGTTGCATTTGTTGTTCTTGAGCTATTTGTTGTTGAAGTTGTTCTTGTAATACAATACTTTCACCAGTTGCATCTTCCAATTCGAAACTTTCTGCCGTCATTGACAAATACATAGGACATAAAAGTTTTACAGGAACAAAGTTTGCGTCAACTAATGTCAACGTTATACTTGCCAAAGTGTTTGAGTTCACTAAGGTTGAAAATTCTGCATTCGAATGAACAATAGGCAAACCAGCAGAGAAAGTATTGTTTATACGCATAAGTATCTTTTGGTCATAATAGTTTCTGTCGACATTCGAATAACACTTTGAACCTAAGTTTGAAACAATATATAAGATTGGTGTGCTTAATGTCAATGGAATAGACATTCCTTGTATGACACCTTTTCCTGTTATAGGAAACTGTTGGTAGTAAAAACCAGAAATAAGTTTTGTATTATAGCTCATATCGTTTATAGTAAACTCAGTCGGACATCCAAACATAATGAAACCTGCTCTAGTTGCAGCACATGTTACACCCGTACTTAAAGTATTAAATAAGTCAACAAAACCTGTTGGTGGTATATCTGAGTAAGTATCTTCAAAGGAGTATTTTTTACCATTCACAACAATAAAGTCTTCTGGTGTCAAAAGAGCAAAACAGGCTTTAGTCGTCATTGTGTTTAAGTTAGTTTACAATACCGTCCTTGAGGACTTTGTAAGTTTGTTGTTATAGAATTATATGACTCAGGGTTTTTAGTCGTAATAGTATAAACCATTATATCTTCTGCCATTTATATATATTTAAAAGTTTTTCTGAAAGTGGAGAAGAACTTCATCTAAACTTTCACATGGCGTTTCTTGAAGTTCTCTGTCTAAGAAGTTCAAATATTTTGTAAAGACATAGAACTTTCCTTTGTCTACACGAACAAACAAAACAGGGTCTTTCATATCGTTCAAAAGTGTGTAAAGTCCTTTACATGAAATAAAGTCTATATTATTTTTCTTCAAACATCTTTCAAGAAGTTTTGACATTTTTACTTAGCAAATAAATTTTAATGAAATGTTGTGGTCGTCAAATATTTTTATGACGTCTGGGAAACTATACTTTTAAGTTCAACGTTTCACCTCCTTTCATAACGTATATCTTGTCAATGACATTATATGAAACACCACAGCAACTAATGTCGGGTTCTATTTCTTTGATGTTTATATCGTCTGCCTCTGTCAAAAGTTTCAATAGTTCTTTCAAAACTTCATGAGGTGCAATGACATATGAGTTCACTTTTACAGGGTTGTGTTCGACCAAGTTTAACATTATACTTAAAGCTTGACAAATCTTCTCCTGAGTTTGAAGTTTGTCTTTCAGTTGTTGGTAGTCGTTTCGAATATCTGCAACAGAACTTAAGTCTCTGCTAACTTCAGGATATGTTGGTTGTTCTTTTACAGGAACAATTGTTATACCATCTTCGTCTTCGTATGGTTTCCCCACTTCAACATCTCTGTCTTTGACATTGACAACAACACTTTGACTGTTTGTTTGAGTTGGTGAATTTAACTTCACATCTGCCACCGCCATTAAACCTTTTGAAACACTCACGCTTCTATTTTTCGGAAATGACATTTTACTTAGAATAAAAAGATGGACGTATTCGAGTATCTCTTCGAATTGAAGCAGAACAAAGTTTACACACACAAACAATACAAATACATTGACAGAATAGTTCTTTATACAAACAATGGTAAATGTTATAGAATAGCAATATTTGCTGAACCAAAATATTTTCATAAAGCAAAGAAAGTTGGTATAACTGAAATGGTGAAAGTTCTTGACGTTGACAAAAATATAACAACAAAACTTACAGATATTTCTAAAGGTAAGTTTATCTTACAATATTATGTCAAAACTGGCGTACTGTCAATATTTGACGGAGAGAAGTCAGTTCAAGAACAACTTACTGACCTGCTGCCAAAATCTGCTCGATGGAAGCTGTCGTTATGCCAATCTGAGGAGCCCCAGCAGGTTTCATCGAACGAATCTTCAAAAGAGCATCTTCCGTGAAAAGTGCTATTGGTTTTGTAAACTTCTTTGCTCTCAGTTCATCTGGACCGTCTCTGTCACCAGTATATTGTATTTGTACAGTACCAACAGTTGAAATACCACCCATAAAGTCTTCTGAGTCAGCAAATGGAATGCCAAGCCAAAAGTTTGAACGGTCTCCATTTGTATATTGAGTTTTTTGACCTCCTGTATGAGTCCATACTTTCACATATGGCATAATAGAACTTTGCATTTCAGGGTTAATGGTTGTTGTGAAGTTGTTGTTAAAGTTCATAGCATCTAATGTCAAGTTGTATGACCTCATATCCTCAACTGTAGAATATTCTTCTCTTGGATAATATTTGCCATCTATGTTTATATGATATTTAATACCGGGGTTGTAGAAACAAGAATAGTCATTTATAGTTCGTCTGAACAGTACAAACATAGTATCTGCATGTTTCATTGCAGTTGTTAAAGCAATATCTGTTCTTGCACCTGGGTCAGCACTTTGGTTTCCAACTTCACCTGCAAAGTCTTTGACAGATATTTGGTGTATAGGGAACATAAGTGGAACTGCAATATATTTGGCAGCTAAAGCATTTGAAATATCTGGGTCCAACATATAGACTGCAAGTCTGCTTTCTATTCTCTTGCATTCAAATTTTTCGCATGTGAACTTAACTGGGTCCCAAGCAGTTCCAGCAGCATTGAAATAATAGTTTACTTCATTGTTGAAGTTTGAGAAACCAAAGTCTAAGTCAACTTTGTCTTTGCAAAATTCGGCGAATGACGTTTGATTTGTTCCCTTTACGTCTGTAATAGTGAATGGGTCTTGTGTTGGTGCAATGACTAAGTTATTTTTGCTTGGAGTAAGTTCGATAGAAATTTTTCCTGCCCAGTTTGGCAAGTATCTTAAAAACCTGAAGATGAGGAAAGATGACAAAGGAACTCTAAGTTTCAGTTTTACTTTGGTTACTGCTGCTGCAGTTTGTCCAGAAAGGTTAACATAAACTCCTGGAACGTTAGGGTCAAGTCTTCTTATTTTCTCAATATTTGCATACTGGTCTGTTTGTTCTCTAGCTTGTGGTTGTACTGAGTTTCTCAAAGCGAACCATTCATAGTTTGCCCATGTTACTGTTTGAACTAAGTCAGAGTTAGAATATATCTTATATCCCATGAAAACTTCTGGAGCATATTGGTATCCGACATAGAAAATTCCATTGCAACCTTTCTTGTCAGACAACTTGGCAGAAGGTTTTATTTCAATGTCTTGTTCCACGTATAAGAATGAGTTGTCAATAGAAATAATATGAAACCTGTCGCAAGCAATATCTACTGTTGTTGAAGAACCTTCTCCAAACTCACCTACGTTTCCATAAGAAACAGCAGTTGTATATTCGTAAGTTCCAGGAACTATTTCTGACCTTCTAATGGCATTGTCGCATTCGTTATACCATTCGGAAACATTTCCGTTCATGGCATCCAAAACTGTTGGCGTTATATTCTGAGCGGCGTACATTTCATATGGGTAAAAATATAGAATAGTTGGATTTATGTGTCATAATAGAACCCACTCGACCAAGCTTTACTTTCTTCCTGACTGAGTTTTTAACTCTTCTTTTTCCTTCATTGCCACTACTTTCACTAGATGAAGTTACTTCTTCACTACTTTCACTTTGTTCTACTCTTCTCTTCTTCTTTGGTGTCGCTTTTGGTAACTTGCCCTCTGCTTCAAGTTGTTGCATCTTTGCCTCATGTTCACCTAGTATGTTGTAAATTTCCCATGTCCTTTTTGCCTTTGGGCTCTGGTCGCCCATCTCAGGTAACCTATATCCTAGAAAGATTTTGTCATAGTTTGTATTTGAGTCTTCGCGTATTGTTTGCATGACTCTTTCCTGAGTTTCCGGTTCAAGCTCTTCAAACAGAGCTTGTCCATATGGAATAAGCTCGTTTCCAAATATATGTTTTTGTAGCCATTCTGGTTTTCTTTCCATGTTACCAATAATATCTTTTGTGAATGGGAAAGCTTTTACCCAATGTTTCAGTCTTGCGTCATTTATTTCTGTAGTTGGTTTTATTTTGTCAAGGAACATGTTTTTCAATACTAACATTTCATTTGGTACTGTCCATTTGAGTTTTCTTAAATATTCATCCCTTCTCAGTTCATTGTCTGCAAAGTAAGTTTTTATGACATTTTGTAAACTTTCGTTTGCAAGGTCATGTACAATAGGTTCTCTTCCTTCTATCTCCCTAACTTTCTTTCTAAACTCTTCACCAAATATACCATCTCTATGGTTCTGTGTAGTTCTTTGAGATAAATGTTCTAGAACGTCAGGTGTTATATTTCCATCAGCCATGTTCATTTCATACTGGTCCAAAATATCTGCATGTTTCATATCTTTCAATGGCATTAAAGCCGCGCTGAAAATACCAGCTATATCTGGTTCACCATTCACTTCCATTGCGTCTACAACTTCTTGGAATTGTGGTTGTAAGTTTATGAACCACCTATCCGGATTAGCTTTATGACCCCATCTCATTGTAGTTCCATAGTCTGCAGAAACAAAAGTAGGTTTGTTTCCATATTGGTTAGGTTCTGAATGAACTTTAAACAATGTTTCATTTCTATATGTTTTGTTGAAATTTAACCTTTTATTTTCACCGAGTTCAGCCAAAGATTGAACGTTATATGGTCGTAAGTAAAAAGGATTGTTGTATTTGCGTACACTTTCTTTCAGTTCTTCCATTCTATGCTGAATATTTTCATCTGATGTTGGAGTCTTTTGTATGTCGGCGAACATTTTTCGATATTCTTCTACTATGTCAGCCGAATTTTTCTTAGACTCTTGGAAAGATTCCATATTCTCCGCATACTCTTGTTGAGGGTCAAGATTTTTCGGCTGTTCCAAATCTTCATCTAGTTCTGTGAAGTTAGTTTCCAAAGGAGGGACTTGTTCGTTTCCTTCAGGCTCTTCTAGCTGTTGTTGCTGAACTATTTCTTCCATGTCTGGTTGTATCTGAACTTCTTCCTGTGGAGTTTCTTGTACCTCATCTGCTGGCATTTCATATATTCCGAGACCGTTTTTAACAAGTTCCCTATTTAAGTCATCCGCATTCATAACCCTTTCTTCTTTCGTTCCGTCTCTATTTTTTACGCGTTTCATGAAGATAGTTGAATTATCATTTATCTCTGACACCAAATATCTCGGAGTAAATTCATCCATGTCATTTGGATGATATGCTATTAAATCATATCCCTTAGCGAGCTTGTATTTTCCAGGTTTGAAATTATATCGCATTTGGTGCTGAACCATAAAGCTAAATAGGTTCGGGTCAGTATTTCCTTCCTTGAACTTTCTAATAGCTTCTTTATATCTGTCACTAAAGTCAAGAGTATCTGGGTAACCATAGTCTTCCTTAAGCATTTTTAAGAATTCTTGGTTTCCTTGTTCTCTACTTCTTTTATGTCCTTGCTCTGTTTGTGGTTGTTGTGGTGCAGTGTTTTGAACTGTTGGTTGTGGTGCAGTGTTTTGAACTGTTGGTTGTGGTGCAGTGTTTTGAACTGTTGGTTGTGGTGCAGTGTTTTGAACTGTTGGTTGTGGTGCTGGATTTTGAACTGTTGGTTGTGGTGCAGTGTTTTGAACTGTTGGTTTTGGTGCAGTGTTTTGAACTGTTGGTTTTGGTGCATGCCTGTGTCTGTGTCCATGTGACGATGTAAATGTTTTAGGTAGTCCTGGTGCAGGTGCTTCTCTTGGAGGGTTTGGTGGTATATAAGTTCCACCAGCTGGCACATATGTTCCATCTGCAGCATAATGTCCTACCTGACTTTTCGTTCTTAAGAAAGCATTTACTAGGTCTGTTTTGGTCTGTTGTAACTCTTTTTCTTGACTTTCCACAACAGTTGCTCTAACGGCGTCATAGGCACTTTGAACTGCCTGTCTCGTTGCTGCATCTGTTATTTTCGTCATATTTTGTGCTACTTCTCTTAACTCGTTGTCGAAACCTTCAGACTTCAGTTTCTTTCCAGATGAGAAGTCGTTCACTAGTTTCACCTTACTATGAAGAGCTTCGAAGGCGTTCTTAAAGTCAGCATTCATTAAAGCTTCATTTGAACTGTCTTCATCCGCTTGTATTTTTGTCCTTATTGACCCTATAAGTTGGGCTGCTTTAGCGTTGGCTTGGGCATCTAACCAGTCATTATTAGCTTTTATATATTCTGCGCTTTTCATTGCCTTTTGCATGGCTGCGTCGTTATTTTTACTTTCTTGTGCTAAGTTTTCATACTGTACGGTTTGGTTTTGCAACTGTAAAAGTTTTTCTGCCTTTACATTTGCTTCAACTTCTTTTTTATACTCATCGCTATCCATATATGTCTTCAGGGCTTTTTGTTTTATCTCTTCATCTTTCAGTACTTTATATTGAGTAGTATGGTTTTTCAAATTTATAACATCTTGTTCCATTTTTGCTACTTCTGCTGCTTTTTCTGACACTTTTTTCGCATATTCCTCTGTACTTAGTTCTTTCAGTTGTTCTTCTTTCTTCTTTTTCTCTACGTTTAACTCATTGAGTTTCTTTGTGTGTCTGTCATATTCTAGTTTCTTTTCGTTTTCACTTATTTGTTTCTGTATGTCTATGTTTGACTTTTTGACATCTGTTATTTGATTTTTGAGTGAACTCAAATTCATTTGACTTTGAGGGTTATAAGCTGTTCCGTCTGCAGCTCCACCATAGCCTGCCATTTTCGCTAAAAGTGCCGCTCTTAAACCTCCACTCTGTGCACCAATAACTCGGTTTAAAAGCATAGGGTTGCTTGACATTTGTTGCAACATAGTGGGGTCATTCATCATTTGTTGTTGCAACTGTTGTGTGTGTTAGTTTTACTATTGGATGTTTCAATGCTCCCTTCCTCTTACGTATATTCTTACGTAGCTTACGTGGCATTTTAAGTGAAGTTAAAAAGCGGTTTTTGACAGATGTTTATATGACACTTTTGTTCAGCACAAAAAACTACTCGGTCAAAGTGTTGTCAGTTTTGTAAAATAACCGTCCTATCTCATTCTATAAGGGGAAAAGGCTTCTCAAAGTATACTTCCTTGGAACGCCTGTAACTTTTCCTGTAGCGACGATAGACCCTTACTTGTCCGGACAAAGTTATACTATTTTGAGTGCTCTACAAAAAAGTCAACGCGACGACTCTCAAAAACCGTTGTGTAAAAAGTTTTACCGTTGGACAAAAAAGTATATATAGAAAACAAAAAACGTTTATAGTTCATTCAATATTTGAGATGGAACGGTTTGCCAACGGTAACTATTAAATAAAATAAAAAAATAGAGGGGTCTCCGTTGGTAAAAACCGTTTATTTTAAACTTTTCTATGAGTAGTCCGAAAAAAACAGTTTATTTTTCATAATGGAAGGAAGAAAAAGTGTCGCAAACAATTCGTCGACTACCTCTGCAGTTAAAGTTCCTACAACTTATGTCTCACCATTCTCAAAACCCTTACGACCTCCTATAATACCAAAGCAACTTCCTCATACAATTCAAGACAATTTGTCCAACAATTTGAGTTCTTCTTCTCAAAACACAACAGATACAGTTGTCCAAACAGCACCAGAACAAGTTTCACATAGTTCTACAATTCAAGACAAATTGTCCAACAATTTGAGTTCTTCTTCTTCTCAAAACACAACAGAAACATCTGAAACAGATTTACAACCAGCACCAGAACAAGTTTCACATAGTTCTACAAGTATGTTAACAAGAGCACAATTTCAAGATTTAATTTCTCTTGAACAATATTCGAGTAACGAAACACAAACCGACGACTGTAACCTCTCGCTACCCGAATCCATTCAAAGAAAATACGCCATGAAAAGACTGAAATTGTTGTATAAACTTCTTAACAATTGGGGGGTCGAAGACAACACAGATTATAGTGAAATGTTTAACAAAGTCATAGAATCTGTTAAACCAATTGAAAACGACATAAAAAATCCCGGTGTTCTTGTAGACCTTTTCGCCTCAAAATTACCAGTTACAACCAATCTAATAGCAACACAAGCTATAGAGCAATTTATTTTATGTTTTCCCAAGCAATATAGACAACACCTGAGGGAAACAAGAATAGGAAAATTTCAATTGGTGTATCCTACAACATACAACTATTACGAAGAAGCAAATGAATATGGAGAACTCTCATTCCATTTCACACTTTCAGTTCCTGAGGGAGAAGAAAAAGCAATCTATCATGTACAATCTCTTGCAGGATGTGAAGGAAAACCCCACATAATAACTACTGTTGCAATTGACAAACCTGCAAGAGTCGAAGACGATGTTTTGTTCGCGTCCATTGCTGGTTTTGGCATGGGAGAACCAATTCCAATTTCCCATTTCACAGAATACTCAGCACAACATTTTCAAAATGTAGAATTCGTGTTCTACGACCATCAAAAGTTCCTGCTAACAAAACCAAAGAAACAATTTGTCTCAATATTTGTTGCTGGTCATGTGGCTGACAAAGAGCCATCAGATACTGACTATGAAGAAGAGGAGGAGGAAGAAGAAAACGATAGCGATGTCGTTCTTATCGAATAAAAACTTTAATTTCTTACTATATAATTTTTTAGTTCTCCTCTAGGTTTTTTAGGGGCTAGAAGGGGCGCAGCCCCTGGAAGCCCCACTACCCTTTTTTTTTTTTTTTTTTTTTTGATCTGATAATTATTTTCCGGAATAATCATTCCGAAGAATGCACTGATTCAGAAAAATTTTATAATTAAAATGATATCTACATCATATTTGCATAGTTATTTATATTGAAGCTCGATCAAATCTTTCACAAAAATAAAGTAACCGATTTTTTTTATAACAGGTAAGGTTAATATTGCAACAAGAATGAAAAAGTAAATATGTTTTTAGAATTATTGACTGAAATATAAATTCAATGTAGGGAAGACGATACGATTTATGTGGTCGCATTGTTGATTTAAATGGTCGGACTTTTCAATCGGTTTGGATTTTTTGTTATGAGTAATTTTAAAAAACAGATATATACATAAAAGAAACCATAACTCATTTAAATATCGATTGAAGCTGATAAACTTTCCCATAAAATTTTTTTGAAAATCTTTAGTATTCTATTTAAATATGCCATTATAATTTGATTACAATTTTTTAGTCAATTTTGATATTTTCATTGAAAACTTCAATTTTCAATTTTAACCGCTGAATCACTAATTTTTAGAGAAAATATGTATGTAAAATTAATTAAATTTATTCTTTTTAAAAACTCATTAAGAAGCATTCAATTTATAAATCATCTAAATTTTCATTTCATATATTACCCACTTCAATAACACACCCGATAATAAAAATATATTGATTGAGTGAGAGTTATTTGAGAGTAATTCACACAATTTCGATTTTCAATACCTATTTAAATTGCTAACTTAGGAACTGATTATAAATCACTAAAGATTTGTATACATTAAAATTTGATATTTGGTGCTCGAAAACTGTCTGATGGGACTCCTCCAAAATGAACCAATCTATCGCTGAGGACCAAATTAGATGATGTGGATGGTGTATTCTCTAATTCTAACTTAGGAAGAATGGGAACAAAACGAATGACGACAACAACATGTCAAACATAGATTAAATATCTATGAATCAATAAAGTATACGTGCATTGAAGGTGATAACGATCACTTGAGGCTTATAACTCTTTGACTAAATTATGCAATAATTAAATATAATCATTTTTATATTTTTATACTGATAGTAATTAATATACTATCCTGCTTAATAAATGGTATGATCAAATTTGTTTGAAAATTTAATTATGTATATGAAACTATGTCTTCTATATAAAAATCAAAATTTTCGGACGAACCTAGATTGAACCTTTATGAAAATCTATCATTTTTGTTAATTGAGTTAATATGAATCTTTTACATATGTATATATAGCATTGATAGCTTATATAATCATGGTTTATTCCATATTAACATATTTTTTCAGTTAAATTTGTTAATAATATCATGTAACAAATTAATTCAAGATTAGAATGTCTACAAAATGCTAACAAATAAGAACAAAATACGATTTCTCGACTTAAATTTTAATATGGAGTAGTTTTTCGTTTAAATCTAATTAAAAATGAATAAAAACTTATCTTGTACTATTTTCATTCAAAGATTTTAATAATGTAAATCATGCATTTTCATAATTCAGTACAGTTCTTTTTAGAATTAAAGTTGATGAGGATGATATTTGTGATTTAAAATAATTTGTTAATGTTCACCTTTTATTCATCACCTTGTGGTATGCCCTAAAGCAATAGCATTATCAATTCTGCTGAATTGATCAACTCAAAATTCCAAAAAAAATTCAAAATTTCAAAAATGAAATTAAACAATTTGAATTTTCACATGAAAAAATCAATTTCGAAAAAAATTTGGAAAATCAAAGTATTTGATAATTAGTCAAATAATCAATTTACATCGTTTTTACTCATAAAAAACAACTAATTTTTGATTTTGATATCATATTTGATAAATACTCATTCCAGAGTTGACGTAATGTATTAATTATTGTTAGAGATATTGCTTTCGCAGCAAAATTCTTATTTCATGAAAGAAAAAAAAAATGATTTTATTCCAACAAAAACAAGTAAACAGATGAATGGAAACGTACTATATTTTCATAAATGTAGTAATCAGCGTGTCGGCTTTTGTTTATCATGTTCGAGTCAAAATGTATTAACTTGTAATAAGAAATATTCGAAGATTATATGAAGTATTGAGCATTCTTTGTAGAAATATTTGTAATTCATTACTAACATATATAATAAAGTTGTTTTTTTTTCCTTATTGCAATAATTTTGTCTGATTTTAATAACTTTTCATGTATACGAGTTGTGTGAATATGCATCATAATATGCGTAAATATACTTATTTGCGACGAATAATGTGGTTGCATAATGGAGGTGCTAAATTTTGATTTTTAATATGGGGCTTTGGTATGTATAATCATGTTCTTATCTCAACGTAGGAGTATTGGTGCAATATGATTAAAATTTACGAGGTTGATCTTAAATTGAATAATTCTGGAGTATAAATCACAATGCAGCTAATTCTATGTTAAAGATAGATACAGATTGTAGTAATCAATTAGGGAGTACAAATTCATTCTTTCATTTCTGTCGTATTGAGCAGAAAGGAAGAGATCATAACCCTAGGAAAAAAAGCCCAAATTTGTCACTTTTCATAGTACGTTAAACTCAATTCGCTCGGCGAATGCCGAGCACACGTACTCATCATTCAACATAATATTCTCATTCTTTGGTTATTATAGTGCCAGACAACACAAGATTTCAAAGAATTACTTGAGTTTTCAATTAATCTTAATCCGATTTTAGATTTATCGAGAACTCCATCATCACAATCACATACTTCAGTGCGGTAACTACAATTATCCATATACAGAAGGAAGTTCTTTTCGAACAACTCATTTGGAGTCTGTTTTGGAAAGAACTTCTTTCTGTCCGACTTAATTTCATAGTTCCTGATCAACCAAAAGACAGAAACCACACACTATCTACTTAGGAAAGGAGTTCTTTCTAAATCTTCCTTAAATTGAGATTTTACGAGAGATAACCCTTCTATTGCACTTAAAAATGAACATTTTGATATCTTTAGTATCACACATGGTCATATATAGTATTTCATCTACATGAATACATTCATCTTTCGAAGTCTCTCATTAAATGGAGGCTTCGAAAGATGAATCGTTTTATTCATACAACTTTAAATCTCGAACACATTTAGAGAGTGAGTATATCATTTTATTCTTGTTTTGAGTTTATTCTGATTCAAAATTGCAGTGAAAACAGAAGTTCACACATCATATCTGAATGTGAGCTCATCTATACTTATACGATCTCAATACCTCCACTCTAAGCATAAGAGGTGAAGTTATATAAAAATTATCAGATGCGTTGAAGTCTCAAAAGTATTGCCTGAATGCTTGTTTCATATTTGTCCAAGTAGTTTCAATGAATAAATGTATTGTTTTTTATAATTTCGATTTATTTTTAGAAAATATTCAATATAAACCTTTATTGTGTTATTTACATCTCATAAATTCTCTGTCTAAATCATATAAAAGCGCGTTTTACCCCTATGAATCAAGAAATTCATTCAATATTCATGGTATATTTATTAAATTTATACGATTTACTAATAATCAATATTATGTCCTCATAAATAGCAATATATTTTGGTAATCTATGATAATCATATACAATATTTGAAATCAAATTTTCATTAGTTTAGGTTCCTTGTTAATAGTAAACCATTATATTTATTACTAATAATAAAATCTATGTGTCGTATTGAAATTCAATAAAATTACTTATTCGGTCCAAAAAAACAAATTAGATAAAATTTTTCTTTTTTTATGTAATTTTTGTTTTTCATTTTTCTCAGGATCCTAAGTTATGTTCTAACTTTTGACATCATATCCTATCATGCTAGGCTATATATTATAGCATATCCAAAAGGCAAGGAAATCTATCAGAGAAGCCTTTTTGACCTATCGTTGCCCTACCTCTGTTGCCACTCAATCCTCTGAAAAGTCTGAGGTAATTTGCAAAATTTGCTAATCGAAGAAATTGTTCAATAACAATATCTCACTAGATCATGTAATAGTTAATTTTATTCATATTTGTGAATGTATTCAATTTTGAAAACTTTTATGAATCTCTCATAATTAAATTCAAAAGGCATTCACAAAAAATCGAGTTCAATTTTTTCATTATGTTCTCTCTCTTCTGTATTGCAGAAGTTGTTGAATTTCCTCAAACTCAGAATCGCAAATTCGATACTGTATGCGCCAACCATGAATACTACGAGAAGATTCTATTCCCATGGGAAAGTGCATGGGATTATTCAGTAGATGATTCTACTGATGGAATCGATGTTTCAGGCTTACATGTATCCGACGCCAACAATGAATCGTGTAAAAACAATTTACAAGTAAGTGAAGGGATTAGAACGCGTTCGATTGACATTTTTAATAGAATTCGTTGGCTTACTGGTTATCAAAGGAATCAAACATACATCACAGATGATGAATCAAAGGCATGTCAGTGTTCTTTTGTTTCTTTTGCTAATAATGGTGCATCTGGACACAGCGGCGAAGGTAGATGCACAGCAGAGAATCCCGATGCAGCAACTTATTGTGGAAAATCAAACCTTGCTACATTCCAACACAAAAAATTGGCTAATGGCATTGTAAATCTTTACAATGAAGGTACTGTCACTCTTGGGCACCGACAAATCATATTATCTCCAATGATGAAGGGAACTACTGTTTGCAGTGCCTATGGTGATCGTAAACAAACAACTACTACAATTGGTGGAACTGAATATACAACAACTCAGCCTGCATCTGATTTCTATACAATGGGAATAACATATGATACTGAAAATACCGAAGAACTCCCATTCATTGCTGCTCCGCCACCAGGATTTGTTCCTTACTATTTGATTCCAAGAATCTTCAGTTTCCAATCAAAGGACATTACTAATCCACAACTTAGTGATATTAAAGTTTATAGAAATGGAACTCGACTCACTGCCGGTGGTTATTCATCTGTTATTCAAAATAACTACGCCACACAAGGTACATATGCCGGATATATTTTCATTCCAACAGAAAAAATCCAAGAAACTTCCTTCGCAACAAGTGGTACACAATTAGCAAAAATATTCCCATATCCAGGAACAGTATTCTCATTCGAAATCACTAATAATGGAAAGACATATAGATATAACACGACAGTTGTTGATTGCAGACAACCAAACACATATCCAGATCCTCCTGAAATTGAAACTTCACCAACAAATACTGAAGAAAACGAGACCCAAAATAGTACAAATACTAACACACCAACAACAGATGGAAATGAAACAAATAGTACAAATACTAACACACCAACAACAGATGGAAATGAAACAAATAGTACAAATACTAACACATCAACAACAGATGGAAATGAAACAAATAGTACAAATACTAACACACCAACAACAGATGGAAATGGAGATTCTAAAAACAACACAACCACAACAACAACTGCATCACCAGAAAGTAGCAATCCACAAAAAGGAGATAATAATGGAGATAATCAGAGTTCAGGTTTGACAAAGGGTCAAAAGGCAGGAATCAGCATCGGTGTTATCTTAGGTGTTGCAGTTATTGTTGGTGTTGTTGTTGCCATCTTATTTGTCAAAGGTGTTATTGGTGCAGGTGGCGCTGCTGCCGCCGGTGATGCTGCTGCAGATGAAGCTGTTGATGTTTAAATTAATTTTTTTGTTGTAGATACAATGTACATAAAAATTTTGTGATCTCTAAAATACTTTTTTTTAAGTAATGTTTGATTTCATCTAGTGTGAATTTACTAATTATATACACAAGTCCATATTCTATAGGAAATTTCCAATAAACCGTTATAAAAGTGCACTTACGCCCATTAATTCTGGCAATAAAAGTGAAGCAACATTAAAAGTTAAGCAACGTCATTGAATGCAATGTCATATTATTAAATAAATCTTTAATAAGTTATTCAAATGGAGTCTTTAAAAATAAAAATAAAATAAAAAAATTTTAATTGATAAAAAAAAAGTTATATTTATTTAAAATTGATTTAGATTGCATCATAAGAAGAAGCAGCATCATTTCTAACTTTGTTGCAAGTGATGATAGACAATAAGTTTCTAGTGTACTTAGGGACATCGCTCCAGAACTCTGCGTTCGGGAGTTCCAAGCGTCCAAACACAGTGAAGTTGAACAAAACTCCACCAACGAAGTATAGAGAAATAATAAGAACCAAAACAGAGAAGAAGATGAATCCTCCTGATGTTGGTTTCTTATTTCCTGGGCAGAACATCTTTGAATGTCCAACTAAATCCAACTGATAATCCTCTGTTTCGATACTGAAATCAGATAAAACTAAATCAGAAATCGAAAGATTTTCTTCGCATGTTGGATAGAACAGAACAGAAGAGTTTGCATATCCACCTTTGTACAAAATCCTGTTATCAGACATTGATTCAGTCTTATATCTTGTATCAGCGTAAGACATGCAGAACTTTCCTGTTTCGTTTGTCCAACACTTCCAGCAACTTGATTTCTCAACACCTGCGCAATTTGCATCGGAAGGACAATTTTCAACTTCTTGTGGATTGAAAATCAACTGGACTTTCTGCATTCCCAAAGAGTTGAAGGACTTAAAGACCTTCATTTCCATGTCAACTCTCTTTAACTTGCTGTAATCGTACCATAATGATTCCTCTTCATTTTTGATTGGATATGGTTTGTTCGCTGGTTTCGGTGTTGGTTGTTTTGGCTTTGGAGGGAAAATTGGTTCACTTGCGCCTTCATCTGGACATGCTTCTGCCCAATTAAGACTAACTGTGTATTTGTTTGTTCCGTCGTATTCAATGATAGTGTGAACCATTGGCTTCTTTCGACTTTCATCACAGGAAATGTCTAAAACTAAATTCGTATCGTAATAACCGTTGGCTGACAAAATTGCACCGTCAAATTCGGATCTTGTTCTGTGTTTCAGACCTTGTTTCCTTGCGTCCATCATTGGATAACAGTTTCCGCTCCAGCACAGCCAGAAATCGCTCTCGTGATGTCCATTGCAATTCATAGATGGAGGACAGATTACTGGATTGAATGGACTTGAAACAACTTTGGCAGAAACTGTGTGGTCGTTCCAATCGATGTAGACATCGTCGCTGACAAATAGTAATTGGTCAATCATGAAAGCGATGTTGTGGGAAGCGTTGGAGATGTCGAATTGTACACTTGTGTCCTGTTTCGGTTTGGGAGAAACTGTTGGAGAAGGTGTCGGAGGAGCCCAGCCTGGAGTTGGTGGAGATGTTGGCTGTGGTGTCGGCTGTGGAACTGGTGGTTCGCCAATGCAAACATCGCGTGTGGCAGCTGTGATGGCGATTTCTGTGTTGAATTCGTCATTAAAGAAAACTTCTGGTCTGTACTTGATTTCGCCGGCTTTCAAGTTCCAATCACAGATCATTCTGACGGTGGCTGATGAATTTGTGCCTTCATATTTGGCAGCAACGCCATTTGATAATGTTGTTCCGTGGTAGAGCTCGATATCGACCATTTTCCTGTAAAGTCCGAAATCGTCACATGTTACTTGGCCATCGACATCGTCCCAGCAGAGCCAAACGGTTGCGGCGGTTGAATCTGGGCAAATGTCGCCTGGACATGGAAGTGGACCACATGGCTGAGTGACAATCCAATGGTGATGCGATAATGGCCATGCGGCGTTGGTAACATCGAATTTTGTACCACCTTTGATATTATATTTTGTAAGATCTACGTTAACTGTGTAGTTTTCTGCATCCATGAGGGTCTTTGCGCATTGTTCTGGTGATGGCTGGATCAATGGCTTCATACAGGCCTCGTTTGTCCTTGCGCGGATTTTGAGTGTGGAAGCATCGACCAATTGGGCCTTTTCGATCCAGATCTCGTTCTCTTGGAGTTCGAAATCGCATGTAAAGTCGACAGTTAAGTGGTTATCGTCTTGTTGCATGTAATTGATGCGGAAACCTTCATCTGGATCTTCGTAAAGCCTGTTGAAGGTAGCACGTGGATTGGAGAAGCCTTCGCACCATGTTCCATTGCGATGGCAAACCCAGGCAGCTGAAGATTTGTAACCGCTGCAATTAAAATCGGTTGGGCAGTTAGAAAAGCCACATGGTTGGTAGAGGACGAGTGTATCTGGGTCGCCGTCGATATGAGCTGGAACGCCGTGAGCTCCGTAGTTCATCTTGTAGAGATTTAAGTTAATACCGTATGGATAGACCTTTTCTGAGTCGTAGATGTACTTGCATGTTGGTGGAAGCGGTGGATCCGGCGGTGGATCAACCTCTGTTGGAATGGCAAGTGGAGTAATGAAATATAATGAAATAATGAGGGCGTCTCCTTGTGGAATTGTCATGATAGTTGGCTCAACATCATCATTAGTAGCCATTGGCTCATTTACGAAATCAAAAACGACGTTGAAATACTTGTATTTTGAATATGGATTTGTTGCTTGAGCTGATGTTTTAATAATAAATCCATTTTTAGGATTTTGACTACTATCATAATCGTATGTTTGTGTGTCGTGAAAAGCGATTGGCTCTACAAATTTAGTATTCTTATCGATTCGTATGCCATTAACGCCAAATGGAATAGTAATACCTTTCGGAAGTTGATCATGTGTTAAATCGTCGCATAGTCTCATGTAATAATCTGCATCCTCATCGGAGTAAGTATAAACTTTGTTATTTGCAGCAATTTCAGAGACATTGTAAAGGTAACCATCAATATTAGCACCGCATCTATATGGCTCTATTGGTGTGCTTCTTAAAGAAGCTTCAAAGCTTCTGTATGTAAAGAAAGATAAAAACATATAACTTCTGTGATAAAAAAAATTATTTGAACGAAACCAAAATAATAGTTTTGGTTTGAAAATAAAAGCATGCAAAAGGTAACTAGAAAAACATATTTTTGCTTTCTTATTTCATCGGTTTGTAACCTAAAGTTATGAAATCAGTTTTTTATTTGAGACGTCAACTCTCTCAATTTGTATTGAATTTCTTATCCGATACGGAAAAGCTAATGTACAATTTTTTGAATAGTACAATCATTCAGATCATGAACAACTAAATTTATTGCATAAATTGGGAATTAGATACACAAACTTGATGATACTTGAATAAATAATGATTAAAATTCGTATCAATATATATTTTATTTAGGCTTATACATGTTATTGCTCTAATATTGAAAAATTCTCTACTCAAGAACTTCCTTTATGTCATTACCATACCACTCATCGATGAATTTCTGCTTAAAATCAGCTAAATATTTGTGTCTTAATTCAGCAACCTTCTTACCGCTCTCAGTTTGCATGAGGTCTTTAATGAGTAGTAATTTTTCATCAAAATGATTCAAAGTTGAAGATTTTGCAGATCGATATTCTGCTTCATTCTTATATGTTTGCGGAGCAATTGATGGATCCCACATTAATCTCTCATTAGCTCCTCCAAAAGCAAAAGCTCTTGCAACACCAATTGCGCCAATTGCATCAAGACGATCTGCATCTTGGACGATCTTTCCTTCCAATGTATCCATTTCGCGTTTTGCAATGTTACCTTTGAAACCTAAAGTTTCAATAATATGCATTACGTGCTCAATTCTTTTTTCATCCATACCACAACGGGCAAGAACTTGCTTGCATTCAAGTTTTGTCTCAGGAATGGACTTGCAAACTTTTGGATCAGGAACATCATGAAGAAGCGCAGCGCAAACGACAACTTCGATATCTGCAGAATTTTCATGTTTAGCAATTGAAAGTGCTGTATTTCTGACACGCAAAGCGTGAAAATAGTCATGTCCAGATGAATCCGAACCCATTTTTTGGACCATATAAGCCTCTACTGCTTCGAGATCCATTTCCTCTGAATTCTGTCTTCACATACGTTTAAAAATTTTGAATATACACAAAAGCAAAGAAAGTAGGGTTGTTAGATTCCCGACGATAGGTGTCTTGGAAGATTTGCCTGGTGTCATCATAGTGTCTTTAAATCAAAAATTTTATTTTGGAGTTAGTTTGATTGATTTTTCAATAAAAAACATTTCTAAAACAAGAAAATAAAACGATAAAATATTTATATTTTATATAAGGATCTTATATATTTAAAATAAATATCATTTTATTTTTTTCATTGGTGTCTGTCAAACCATAATACACTATTCAAAAATTCAATGTGTCTTGCGGTTTCAAAAGACACCTTCAAATTGAACGATAGCACAGACACTATTGAATTTTACCCATTGTATTTAGTTTTTACCCTTTTTATTTTTAAGAATTAATGACTGAAACAGCCGTTTTGCTATGACCTCAATCACTTTTATTTATTATTTTAAATATTATTTAATTTTATTATTTGAATAGGCCAACTTATATTTGAGAAGCTCAATTTGAGACCACTTAATACATTGAAATATCATAAATATTGAAATATTAAAAAGTGTATTTCAAAATATTGAAATTATAAAAATTTATAATACTGAAATTGAGACAAATTAATAAATTCAATGTGTTTTTTTTGAAATAACTCTCAAATATTATTTTTTTGTTTATTTAATGATGAATAAATATGATTGCTTTAGTCAATCATAAAAACTAATTTAAGTTTAAAATAATGAAAGGATAATTTGATCATTTTTTAAAATACAATTATTTTTGATGATTTGCAAGAATCTTTGAAAAGAATATAATATAGGTTCTATTTTTGTAAAATTTATCCAAATCATGTATTACATAAATTACGATTAAAACGATGAAAGAACCAAAAAGTGTGTTTTGTGTTTTGTTGTTGCGTGTTGGATGCGGGATCCTGTTATTTCCGAAATCGACAAAAAATTTGGAAATTTAATTTCCGAAATCGAAATTATATTAATGTTTTTAATATTCTTATATCAAAAGGATTAAAGTTCATTAAGAGAAAAACAATTCTTCTTCTTCAATCTATTGGCGCATTTATTTCTACACGCCAATAAGGAAGGGAAAATTATAAGACACCATGGTGTCTTCAAAACGCTAATTTTTGATATTTTTAACAAACCCTAAAAGAAAGGGATTTTTTTGCAAAATGAGAGGTCGGAAATGCCGAGTTCGTCGGAACAACAGTCGACTTAGGCAAAGAGACACTCCTACCCTCGGAAATAGATCTATATATCATAAAAATGATGAAAATAACGCAGATTTACTATTTTTCAGGCCTGGCACACGTCAAGAAAACAAAAAGGAATCCATATTATCAGAATACTACCAGGTTAAAAGAGATATATGTCGTTTGAAAATTGCTGTTAGAGATGATAATCAAAGAGTAAAGGAATTGCAAGAAAAAATTGCCAAACTTGAAAAATCGGAAATAGCTTTCGCACATCAATTTATTCCTGGCGAATCCGCAAATCAAATCTATGACGAAAGAAAGAAAAAAGAAGAAATAGCAAAATTACAAAATCAATACGATGAAAACATGGATAAGATTAATTATTACACAATACTATACTCTGACAAAAAGATTATTGAATTTAATAATGATGTCATGAAGATGAGGATTGAATCCAATAATTTTTCGAAAGAAGTTCGAGAACAGCAGAACCGTATATCAGAAATTATGTTTGAAATTGAAAGGTTTAAAATCTCAGATGAATACCTACAAGTTAATCAGCAACAGCAGATTATTGAAGAATATCAAAAAGCACTCAATAAAATGGTCGCAAAATACAATAATTTGAAAACAGAATGCCAAACTCTGGGTGCCGATAATGATGATGAGGTTGAAAATTCTCCTTTAATACAAGGATTTTTATCTAGTTTAAAGGAGAAAAAGAAAAGATATAAAGAACTTAAGAAGAGTTATAAACAACTCCAAATAGATCAAAAAGAAGAATTTGAACAAGCACAGGAAGATTTGGATGAAAAATCACGAATACACCAAATTAATGTAGATAATTTAATAATGGCGTATCCCATACCAGATGATGCTACAAAAGAAACCGTATGTCAATGGTTTGCAGATATTGCTCCAATTGAAGGATTAATGTTCTCACCTGAAGATTATACTCCAAGATCTGTTAGAATTCAATTCTATTCGAGAGATGATGCTATTAGGGCAGTTGAACTCAAAGACGGATTTCAAATCAACGATGAAATTCTTACGGTTGAATTAGAAAAGCCAGTTACTGTGAAAGAGCCTGTTCAAGCAAATAAAAAGTCTAAATCAGCTCCCCGAAAATTTGAGCGTCATCCCAAATAACTATATTGTTTGTTTATATTATTAAATAAATTCATTCTGTTTGAAGCGTATTTTAGTATATGAAACTCATTATTAGGAACAAATTGTTTCACAAAAGAACATATATTAATACGGAGATGTGAGTAATACATTATAAGCTAGAAATTTATCTAAATTTATCCTCAAAGGTGAAATGAAGCAGGATTGCACGGCGTATACATAAAATTGAAAGAAATGTATATTGATCATATATGATATCAAACTGTATTTTAAAAAATTAGTAAATTTTTTATCCATTACAAGAATTTTTTTTTGCGAAATCTTGCTAATCGTAATTACCACTAAGTTCCTTTCTCTATTCTATCAGCAATTAACACTTGTGTATTGATGACGATAGATATAATGTTCGGCCAAGTAAAACTATGTCTAGCGAACCAGCTAAGACTGTTGACCAAATAATTGCCAACGAAACATTCTTTGGCGTTTACGGAACCTTTGAGGCAGCTATTTCCGCTCTTGCTGAAACAAAACTCAACACAAAAGAAGCAACATATATCCTTGAAGGTGCTATGAAGCGTTACAATCAACAACAATGCTACGAAATGTTCACCAAGATGAATGTCGATTTCAGTGCAGAATCTCCTGCCAATTCAAAGCACTTTTTCGAATTCCTTCATTCAATGAGCTCCGTTGTTCAGGCTAACTCAGTTGATCCTCTTATCAATCACATCCAAGGCCTCAACACAAAGTTATTACAAGCCGAAGCATCAAATGAAGATCTCAAGAAGCAAATTGCTGCTCTTCAGACAAAGGTTCATGCCTTAGAGACTGCTGCCAACCAGAAGGCAGAAGGTATCAACCCAGCTGAATACTTAGCTAAGCTTGAAGTTGTTCTTGCTCAATCCGCCGAATTCAAGAACGTCACAGCTGAAAATGTTCAGCACTTGAACAGTTCTCTTTCCCAATCCATCAAGTACGGCAGAAGCTTCGCCCAATACGAAGAGATTGTTAAGATTATGGCTGCCAACGACTTCAAGGCTGCCTATTCCTATCTTAACAACCTTTCCAAGCGTGGTGATGCCCAATCCATGGCTGCTGTCTGCAAACTCGGCCTCAGCGAAGTTGCAAACAACAATAATTTCACAGCTCTCTTAGGCGCATGCCTCTCCGGCAATGTCCGCCTTGTCAAGTCCCTCATTGAAGGTGGCTGCAACAAGAATGTCGTTGACAACTTCGGAAACAACGCATTACTCAATGCAGCTGGTAACGGCAAGACAGAAGTCATCAGATACCTCATTACACAAGGATTCGATAAGAACTACAGAAAGGAATCGAGTGGTTTCGATTCAATTCTACTTGCATCTCAGGAAGGATTTCTCGAAACTGTTCAATTCTTATCATTGCTTGGCTGCGATGTCAATTCTAAGAACAAGGATGGCGCAAACTGCGCTTACTTTGCTGCAAAGAAGGGACATCTCGAAGTTCTCAAATTCCTTCACCAGAAAGGTGCAGATTTGAAGGTCAAGAACGTCAACGGATGGTCAACAATCATCGAAGCTGCTGGCGCTAATAGTGTTCCAGTCTTAGAATTCCTTGTTTCCCAGGGATGCAGCGTTGATGACAAGGCAAACAACAATACAACACCTCTCCACTACGCAGCTGAGAAGAGAAGTGTCCTCGCAGTCGAATTCCTTATCAAGAATGGTGCTAAAGTTAACGAAAAGAATAACGACGGTAAGACACCACTTGACATCGCTAAGGAGAAGGCTGAGTCTGGTGAGAACTTCGCTAAGATCCGTGACTTACTTACTGCTGCTGGAGCTCAATAGAAAAAATTAAAATATCTTTCCTCATTTTTTTTTAGAATTTAAAGAGTTGATTTTATAGAATATGTCTAACTTGTAAATAAAAGAATGTACTAAAAGCTATTATACTTGTATGATTATCTTTATTTTAAGAAATTCAAGTAAAACTCATGAGTTTTATCTCTTGTTCATGTTTTGATATTGATGTTTTCATGATTCGTTTCAATAAAATCATTTTGTATGAAAACTAAAATAATATAACAGTATTTTTCTTTGTATTTTGGAAAATTATAGTATAAATATCTTAGAATTACAATAATAGAGTACCAGTGTCGTTTTAAAATGTAAAATAAAGTTTTACTAAATTAGAAATTTGAATTTTATTTAATTTTTTAACCTTATTGTCCAAAAAATTTCAAATAACTAAAAATCAATATAAATCTTTGAAGTTTTACCAATATATTTTTTTTTGAATTCTGATAATTTTGGAAAAATCAAGCCCACATAAGTTGCAATGATAGTCCAAAGTCAACTGAATTAAGTCAAATATACACAAAATTTAGAAATTTATATTTCATTTTTCTTTTATTCGCTTAATTTAGCTTAAATTCTACGATCTCATGCACTTTTAGCGATAGTGCTGATGTTAAGAATTCGTAAAAATGTGCTAATTAGTAAGCAGAACACAAATATTTCTAAAAATACGTATTATATCTCGAAATAAAACTTAAGTAATTCCAAATATCTCTCTAACAAGATCAATCAGGAATAAATATTGTTCAATTGAGATAAATGCATAAAAAATGAGTAAAAACAGTTGAAGAATGGCATTATAGCAAACGAGACAGTAGAAAGCCAGTGAGAACATAGTATTACCAACAATAGATAGATTTTCTTGAGATCAACTTTATAAATGTCAAATAATTGTCGTTTACAAATGTCAAAAAATTGTAAATAAAAAACAAAACTTTTATCACGCTGTTTTGAATCATTTTTTGTCAAAAATTTTATCAATATGGATGATTTAGCAACTCTGCACTTGAAACTGAAATCAGTGCCACAACCTCTTACACAAACAGAAATGGAGACACTGGATAAAATTATATGTGCTCTTAAAAGCAAAGATACTAAAAATTCAGACAGTATTCGTCCATTAGATAAACCAGAGTTCAAATGGATAGAAAAAGCCGAAAATTTCAAGTTCAACCAAGAAAGTCCAGAAACAATTTCATCAACAGAATACGAAACTTCGAATACAATTGTTGTAGATAAAAGCTCTTTAGATGGAGTTAATTCTATTACCACGGCTATCCAAATGGCTAAGGATAATACAACAATCATCGTAGAAAAAGGTATTTATTCCGATAATATTATCTCTGACAAGACAATTCATATAATTGGTCGTGAAGGAGCGAAATTACTAAATCAGCACATAGAAGTTAAGAGTGGTTTATTAACAATTAAAGGTTTCTCCATTAAATCAGATTTAGATATCGTTTCTATCATAGATGGTACATTTGCAATGAAAGATTGCACCTTGGAGTCATCATCTATGAAAGCATGCATCAATGTCGGACCGAATACATCTCTCGAAATTCAAAATTGCTCTATCGTAACTACAAAAGCTATTGATGCCGCTCCTGGTACGATTGTTACAATTATCTCCTCATCTATAGTAGGAAATAACCACTTTTTCAAGTCAGATGTCAGGTTTATTCACTCAAAATTTTCTCATCCCTCCGGTATTTGCTTTGAAGCCTCATCAACCAGCGCAAAAGTCGATAGATGCCTTATACAAGATTGCCGTGATATCGCTTTCTCATTACGTGAACACAGCTCGATCAGTTTAGAAACAACCGAATTTTCGAACATAAAAGGCGCAGGTATTCTTTTACATAGCCAGTCGCAGATGATCTGTAAGAACATAAGAATATTCAATTGCGCCAAAGCTGGTTTAATTATTTCTCGTGGAGCCTCAGGCGAAGTTACAGGTTCCGTAATTTGCAATTGCAGGTTATCAGGATGCGAAGTTCTTTACAGCGCCCAGTTAACTCTTAACGAATCTTGGATATCTGATGTCAAAGGCTCATGTATCTTCTGTGAAGACCGCTCGATGATTTCTACGACAAGATCGGTAATCTCATCTGCAGGAGGCCACGGAGTTGAAGCAGGAAATGGCTGCGTTCTCAGATTAAAAGATACTTTATGCAGCAACTGCAATGGAACAGGAATCCTTGCAAGCTCATCAAACCTGACGGCCCAGATGTGCGAGTTCAGCGGCCACAAGGAAGCTTGTATCTTCGGAGAAGACGCAATTATCGAATTAACAAACTGTGCAGTTTGCAAAGGTAAGAGCGATGGCATATTTACTGAACCAGGAAGTACTATCAGTATTAACGCTTGCTACTTCTCAGGATGCATGGGAAATCACATTTTCTCTCGTCAACCAAAAGATACGAAGATTGTCGAATCAACCTTCTTAGAATCAATATATACAGTTGCTGGAGAGCCTAAATCATTCGAAGAAATCAAGTTTGATAAAACTCGTCAAATCCAATATCTTATTTTCGGCGGTTTGACTTTCGATAGTGCAGATATGATCATTATTGATTCCTGCTATATTTGTAGGAACATGATCCGCATGCTTGGCGTTAAAAATGGCATTATTACTCAATCTCATATTATTTATGCCATTTCTAAGCATCCGAAGGAGCCAACTCGTACTGTAGAAATTTCTGATGAGTCATCTGTCACTATAGAAAGCTCTTCCATTGATCAGACAAGTATCACAACTAATAATGCCAAATTAGCAATTAGAAAATGCACTATAACTAACTCAGGCAACTTTGCATTACAAGGAGCCAACAGTGCTAAACTTATTATAGAAAATAACGAGTTTTCAGATTGCAGATCTATTTCTACGATCAAAGACAACACAAACATTATTTTCTCATACAACAATGTTAAGAATGTCAAGAGATCGAAGAATGCTGCAAAAGCAGGTGAAACATCAACACTTAGAAGTGCAAATCTGCAGAGAACTAAGGCAATTAACATTAAAGAGTTCTCGTCTGGAACAATTGAAGGAAACTTTTTCAGCGGTGATTATGACTATGCAATATTTATTGATGGACAGTCTAAAGTCGACTGCCTGACAAACCAAGTCCAAACGGGTACTAAAGGTGGCATTATTTATGCGGGAATGAGTTATGGAAGATGCGAAGAAAATGAGTTCTCTGGTAAGGTAACTCAGATAGAATTTATCCACAAGTTTACTCCTGCTCAACCTATCTAAAACATTTGAAATATATATTATTATATTTTTTTTTCTGAAATTTTATTTTTTATCACTATTAGAAATTAATCATTTAATAGCACCATGATCAACTAAGAATCTAACTATATCTATCGAATTTTGCTTAATAGCAATGGAAAGTGGTGTTTCAATATTTCAAAATATATTTCATTTAACTATGATTGATATGAAATGAAAGAGAATTTGGTATAATAATAATTGATATTAAATGAAAGAGTATTCCATAAAATAATGATTGATATGAAATGAAAGAGAATTCTATATATTAATGATTGATATCAAATGAAAGGGAATTAAATATATTAATGATTGATGTGAAATAAAAGAAAATTCTATATATTAATGATTGATATCAAATGAAAGGGAATTAAATATATTAATGACTGATATGATATAAAAGAGAATTAAATATATTAATTATTGATATTAAATGAAAGAGAATGTAATATATTAATGATTGATATAAAATGAAATAAATTAAGTTTAGCATTGACATCAGAGCCATGATTAACTAAGAATCTAACCATGTCTATCGAATTTTGCTTAATAGCAATGGAAAGTGGTGTTTCAATATTTCAAAATATATTTCATTTAATAATGATTGATATGAAATAAAAGAGTATTCCATAGAATAATAATTGATATGAAATAAAAGAGAATTTCATAGAATAATGATTGATATGAAATAAAAGAGAATTCTATATATTAATGATTGATATCAAATGAAAGGGAATTAAATATATTAATGATTGATGTGAAATAAAAGAGAATTCCATAGAATAATGATTGATATAAAATGAAATAAAATAAGTTTAGCATTGACATCAGAGCCATGATTAACTAAGAATCTAACCATGTCTATCGAATTTTGCTTAATAGCAATGGAAAGTGGTGTTTCAATATTTCAAAATATATTTCATTTAATAATGATTGATATGAAATGATAGAGAATGCAATATAATAATAATTGATATGAAATGAAAGAGAACATGATATGTTAATGATTGATATCAAATAAAAGAGAATTCCATAGAATAATGATTGATATGAAATGAAAGGGAATGTGATATGTTAATGATTGATATAAAACGAAATAAAATAAGTTTAGCATTGACATCAGAGCCATGATTAACTAAGAATCTAACCATGTCTATCGAATTTTGCTTAATAGCAATGGAAAGTGGTGTTTCAATATTTCAAAATATATTTCATTTAATAATGATTGATATGAAATGATAGAGAATTTGGTATAATAATTGATATTAAATGAAAGAGTATTCCATAGAATAATGATTGATATGAAATAAAAGAGAATTTCATAGAATAATGATTGATGTGAAATAAAAGAGAATTCCATAGAATAATGATTGATATAAAATGAAATAAAATAAGTTTAGCATTGACATCAGAGCCATGATTAACTAAGAATCTAACCATGTCTATCGAATTTTGCTTAATAGCAATGGAAAGTGGTGTTTCAATATTTCAAAATATATTTCATTTAATAATGATTGATATGAAATGATAGAGAATTTGGTATAATAATTGATATTAAATGAAAGAGTATTCCATAGAATAATGATTGATATGAAATAAAAGAGAATTTCATAGAATAATGATTGATGTGAAATAAAAGAGAATTCCATAGAATAATGATTGATATAAAATGAAATAAAATAAGTTTAGCATTGACATCAGAGCCATGATTAACTAAGAATCTAACCATGTCTATCGAATTTTGCTTAATAGCAATGGAAAGTGGTGTTTCAATATTTCAAAATATATTTCATTTAATAATGATTGATATGAAATGATAGAGAATGCAATATAATAATAATTGATATGAAATGAAAGAGAATGCAATATAATAATAATTGATATTAAATGAAAGAGTATTCCATAGAATAATGATTGATATGAAACGAAAGAGAATTTTATATAACAATGATTGATATAAAACGAAATAAAATAAGTTTAGCATTGACATCAGCACCTAATGAAACAAGAATTCTTGTTGCATCTATATTATTATACATTGCGGCGTAATGAAGAGCAGTCATTTCATATACATCGCGATAATCAGCATCAATTTTGTTAGTTGAGGAATATAAAAATTTGAAGATATCAGAATTTTGTGACATGCATGCATAATGTAGAATATTTCTCTTCTTATAATCAATTTTATCAAGAAATTTTTCGTTTTTGAGAATATCTATTGTTTGAGGAAACGCAGCACACCAAGGAACGATGAAATTTCTCTCTCTATCGAAAAGTAGAAATACTGCTTTCAAGTTTTGGTATTTGATAATATCTTCGTAGATAGCTGTTGAATGTATGTCTTCTCCATCGAAATCTTTATATGTAAAAATATTTTTCTCTAAAACAAATTCAAGCATTTCGTTATTATGCGAACATATAATGTCTCTGAGACAATCTTTGTCCATCTGATTTTCCTTTAAACATTCGCTGATGATGTCTGTATTTCTACCAATTAATGCATATTGAAGACATTTTTTTGATATTGCATACTTTTGGTTTGAAATTAAGAAAAAGAAAATGTTTGCAGATCCAAAATATGCACATGTTTCAATTAATGATAACTTGAATCTCTCTAATTCATGTGTTTTATAAATTTCTAAAAAATTATCATTTTTAAGTTCTTTTTGAGAAATATATTCTTTAAATTTATCAATTTGATCATGCATAACAACAAATTCGATTGAACCCTCCAATGGGAGTGTTAATTCCGAAAAATACTCGAGTATTTTTATATAATTTTCCTTTGAAGCATAATTGTATTGTAGTGCTTTTAAAATGATCGTTGAGAGTTGGCTTTTGGAAAGTTGATATTTCGAAATCAAAACATTTTTGATGATATTGCACATGTCTTCGACAGATTCATTGGATTTTATTAGAAAAAGCTTTTCAAATGCTCCTATAAAGTCTGAATATGGTTTTGCATAGTCAGAACTCATGATTTTTTTTTATTTTTTTATTTTTTTTTACAATTTATTTTAGACTACATTGCGTTTATGTAAATCATACAATGTATCTTGAAAAGTCTCTCTTTAAATTAGAGTTTTTGTGATGGCTTTACCTAAAAGTACTCTTACTTATTTATGACACTTGTAGGAAAACCACAATTATAATTTATTAATCATGATGATTGATTATGATAACTTGATGCAAAATCCAGATTATTTAGATTTATTAGATGCTGTATAAACATATATAATGGATGGGTCCCAAATTTTCAATTAGTAAAAAAGATTTCTAAAGTTTATCATAGTAGAGTTTGAAGTTAATCGATTAGATAACAATTCTACTAATGGAATTTTGTAGATGAAAACAATAATAATCATCTGTCACTATAGAAAGCTCTTCCATTGACCAAACAAGCTAAATTAGCAATTAAAAAAATACACATATTAAAAAAATAAAAATTATAAGTATTATAAGACAAAAATAACTCTATTTTAAAATTAATATATAAATAAATAAAGATGATAGTATAGTATATACATATATAAGTTAATACTTTCTTTGAGCTTCGAAGTTAGCATAAAAATCGAGCAAAGACTTTGGAGTTCTTGGTTTCACAGTTTCCAAAGCTTTTTCAATGTGTCTTTTCTCAACAATGTCAGCAGGAGGTTCTTCTCTCAATGCGTTCATTGCAGACTCTCTGCAGACAGCAGCAATCTCTGCGCCACTGTATCCCTCAGTTCTCTTGCTAAGTTCATCAATGTCAGTATCCGTAGAAAACCTCATTTTTGCGATGTGAACTTTGAAAATTTCTTTTCTCGCATCTTCATTTGGCAGAGAAACATAAACAAGTCTGTCGAATCTTCCGGGTCTTAGCAATGCAGAATCCAAGAGATCAGGTCTATTCGTGGCAGCAATAACAACAACTGACTGATCGAATTTCGTTGAAACTCCATCCATTTCTGTCAAAAGTTGTGTCAAAACTCTGTCAGTGACATTACTTCCACTTTCTAAACCAGAACCTCTTTTTGTGGCCATCGCATCGATTTCATCAAAGAACACAATAGACGGGGCAGCACTTCTCGCCTTCTTGAAGACTCCTGCAACAGCTTTTTCACTTTCTCCGACGAATTTCGAGAAAAGTTCAGGACCTTTCACAGCAATGAAATTCATTCGACTTTCTGTTGCAACGGCTTTTGCCATCAATGTCTTCGAGCATCCTGGAGGTCCAAACAAAAGAACACCCCTAGGAGGACGAACACCAAGCCTTGTAAAGGCTTCTGGTTTCTCTAGAGGCAATGTAACACTTTCTTTGAGTTTCTGTTTCACATCTTCATAACCGCCAATGTCCGACCACTTAACTGTCGGAATTTCTAGAGTAATGTGTCTCAAACTGGCCGGTTTGACTCTGGAAAGTGCTTTCGTGAGGCTGAGTGATGATTGGTCGTATGAATCAATGATCGCTTCGCTGCACAATCTTTGTAAATCTCCACCAACAAAACCGGTTGCTGCTGTGGCTGCAGCTTTGACATCTGTGTCATCGTATTTGATTCCGGAATCATCGAGAATCTGTTTAAGGATCATTTCGCGTTCAGTGGCGCTTGGAGCTTGTAATTCGATATTTTCGGATATTCGACCGCCTTGTCTGAGTATTCTTGGGAAGGAATCAATATCTGTGGTGGTAGCAATGATGGTCGTATGCTCGGAAATTGTTGCTATTGATGAAATTAATCTTCTTGAGACTTCATCTGAAGAAAGTACTTCCATGTTCTCGAGAATTATAATATCTCTGTTCCTGGCAGCACGGAGTGATCGTTCTGCAGCTCCAAATGTGCCAGAAAGTATTGATGGAATCGAAAAAAGTGCAAATGAGAGAGATGTGTTTTGATTGACTATAGCCGATGTAAGTACCGTCTTTCCTGAACCAGATGGTCCATGTAAAATGAATGATTTTCGAGGATTGGATGTAATAAATTTTTGAATTTCATCAAATTGAGGTTGCAATGATTTTGGAACTGCTGTAACTGAAACAACAGAAGATACAAATGCTGTTTGAGATGTTACTCTAAAATGAGGTGCTGTTTCTGGACCTCCAGATAAAATTGAAAATTGTCTAGTTCCAAAAAAGACTGTTGAGCCCTCAGTAACAACAATACCATCATAAACTGATGGAAGGATCTTGCAAATTGTATCAGGACAGTTCCCAAGAACAACTCTATCAGCATCAACAAATTCATCTATAGGAGTAAGCGTAATTTTTGCTGCCTTTGGTAAGTCAAGATACTTTATAATTGTTTCATCGAGACCTATGTCAGAAACACCTGATTTTGGTGAAGGCCAACCATGAACAATGATTTTTTTGCCATTATTTTCGATCAAAAGTGGTAAATCAGTATGTAAACCATGTACAGCCATTGTGTTTGTATGTAAAAGACATCGCATGAATGGGGGTTTTCCTTCAATTGCTCTTAAACTTGTTTGTGGAAAAGTTAAAGAGCTTAAAGTTAGAGTAACAGGTGAAGGTTCAACTGGCCATCCACTTGGCTTCACAGGTCCGCTTACTTTTGGTTTTTTTTCTCGCTTATTACTCATTTTATTTCGAATACTAAAATCTTTCTCTCAAATATGAAAAAAGTGACAAATTTTAATAATCTATAGATTTATAATATCCATCAATAATAAATAATTTTTGAAATTATTTTTCCATCAATTTTTTGGCAATTTTTTATCATGTCTTTTTCATTAGCTCCTCTAGTTAAAGGGAAGGAAACAAAGGAAATTAAAAATGAGTTGACAACATCTCAAAAGAACCCAGTTTATCAATCTGATCTATTTAGATCTCAAAATTCAAGTTCAATTAATATTAAACAAGAAACTTCCCAAGATAATCAAACCGTTCAATTATATATCCACAAGATTAATAAACAAAAAATCACACCTATGACAACTGCTGATCCATCTAAGCAATATTTAATGCAAATTTATTCACAAATTATAGAAACGGTTGATCCTATATCAGAAAAATCTCTTTTTAGCTATATGATAGCACAACCTGAAGCCCTATGCTTAAAAAATCAAAATGCAAAATTCGATCAATTACAAACTTGGCTTGGCATATTATCAAAGAGATTTAGCGTGGAAATGACATACATTGACAGTCAAGAAGAGGCCAACGCTGGAAGCTTTTTTTTAGGCAAATACGTTCTTTTTCATCAAAAAAATCAAAATTATACCTCACCTCAATTTGATCAAACAAAGAAATTCAAAAATGGTGTTTATAAGTTATTATGGATAGTTACCGGTCCACCAATTTCTGAGGACGGAACGCACAGAAATGAGGGAAGCTCAGTCTATATGCTTTCTGAAGACGAAAAACACAGTGATGAAATAATAACATCAAACGAGTATTATTTGTTTTATGATTATGATCATGCCGTAATATAAATTAACTTTATAATTTTTTAACTTTATTTGAAAGAAAATATGTTATGATTCAAAAAGCTTGCTGTATTTTTTTATGAGTAAAGATAGATTATATTTTTATTGATTTTGAATGTTTTTAAAAATAGGAAGTTTCAAAGAATCAGCTGCCGATATTCTTTTTGAAGGATCTACTTCAAGAAGAGCGAGTACTAGCTGTAAAAGCTCTGGATTTGTATTCGGAATAATATTTTGAAGGCCAACAGGTTGTAATACATCAGATTGCTTCTTTATTTCCGGAAAAGCTCTTTCAACTGCTTCAGAACCAAACAATACTGTAACTTTTTCCATCAATTCCTCATTAGAAGCGCATTGGAACAATGGCTGGCCAGTAATCATCTCTACAATGACACATCCAGCACTCCAAACGTCTACAGGGAATCCGTAATTCTGATTTCCAAGGAGAATCTCAGGAGGACGATACCATCGCGTTATGACTTCTGTAGAAAGAGAGTCAACAGGAATGAATGTCGATCTAGCTAATCCAAAATCTGCTAATTTGAGCTCGCCTTTTCTATTTAATAAAATATTTTGAGGTTTAACATCTCTGTGAATTATATATTTGGAATGAATAAATTCAAGAGCACGTAATAACTGGTATGAAAATGATATTATTTCTTCTTGAGATAACATGTTATTTTTGGATTGCATGTATCGGCGTAAATCCCAATCGCAATACTCGAAAATAAGCGTTAGAGTATGCTGCGAATGAACGACATCGTATAATTGAACGATATTTGGATGCTTGAGCTCTTTCAAAAGCGCAATTTCGCGAATGGCTGTTGAAGGAATGCCTTCTTCTTGGCTTTCGAACTTAATGCGTTTGATAGCTACAATCTCCTTGTTTTGGGTGTTTTGTGCCTTATAAACAACACCATAAGTTCCTTGGCCAATTCGATTGAGCTTAGTATACATGTTTTTTGTTTGGATTGTTTAAGGTTATTAATTCATCAAGAAGAGGGTTATCTAATCTATAAAAATAGAAAGGCCTATTAAAGGTATTTTAAAAAAATTGTTTAAAGATATGAATTATGAAGAAATTTCATCGATTATACTCAATAAATTATTAAAAGTCTTTAAAATTTGATTTCATTGCAAATTTAAATTATACGTAGGTATTTTGAATGGATAAAAAATGAAAATCAAATTATCGAAAATCAGAGTTTCTTCAATTTTTTTAGGAAAAAAAACCGATAAAAAATTGAAGATTTTTCCATAACGGATGAATTCCACAAAGATCATGATTATAAATAGAAATTAAAATTTTTAATATTTTAAGCTGATTCAAATTTTTTCAATACTTTGAAATTTAATAATCAATGAACCAGGAGTCAAAAGATCATATTATTCTTATTTGAATCGTGTCTGAATGGAATATCAATATTTGAAAGCAAATATTTAAAGAAAAAGTATCGATTTTGTTTTCAAACCATAAATTTCGAAAATTAACATGACCAATTTCATTTTTGGTATTTTTGATTACTACTGGAGAGAAATTAGGATTAATGACATTTGGTCAGTTTTCAAATTGAATTTAGTACTAATTGAAAGAAAAATAATCGCTATTCATGATGGTTGAACTCGGAATAAAATCGGAAGTAAATTATGAAATAGCACATAATATGTCAATTCGATTTAGAGATCAGAATTGGAAAATTCAAATAAAATAAATATATGGATCAGGAAAATAGAATTTTAAAAGAACAAGTACTATCTTTCTATTCTTATGTTTCGCGGACAATCCCGGCAAAAATATTCAATAATTTTGATAACTTCACATTTTAATTCAATAAAAATATTTGATCGCACATGCTTGTATATATAAATCACGATAAATTTATAATTTTAATATTTCTTTTTTGAGTAATTTATTTTGATAGTTTTGATAAGACTTTCAATTTTATTATCTTTTAATTCCGATATAAATTGATATCGGTCTAATTTTATAAGATAATATTACTATAACATTTTTAACCTGTCTTGCTTTTTTTTATCTTAATATTTTTTTATTCATCAGAATCGCTTTTTTCATAAATTATTCTTCTCAGTAAACTAATTATTATTTTCATTATTCCCAATTTCAACGTTAAGGGTGCACCCGCATGTACGTTTATTTGAGAGGAGGAGGATTACCCTCTCAATTTTGAAAGCTTCGTTAACTTAATATCTCGATGAATATTGTATTAAAATTGAATTTGCACATACCAATATATCTGATACAATATCCTTAAGTTTTACTAAAAAGAATTTTTTAAAATCCCTGCAGATTCGGGGATTTTTAAATTTTTTGATTTTTTTCGAAAATTTTTCGGAAAAAAAAATATTTTCAGAAGAGCCTTAACGGCTAAGTTTTATGTTTAATGTTGAGTATCAAAAAGAATGGGCATCTGATATAGCCATCATATATCCCAGAAGCAAATAAAAATTCTGACTTTTTAAGCATAAAAAATGAAATTTTATTTTTTGCAAAAAACAGGCCACACGGATGTACGTTTATTTGAGAGGAGGAGGATTAAATTTTTGAAAGCACTAAAATTTGTAAATATGCTAGTTATATAATAATATGCATTATTTTAAAAAATAAAAATTAAAGCACGTTAAAATCTTTTTTGATGAATTTTTACAAAAGCTACTCAGGATAATGCAAGATATGAGTAGTTAAACATAAATTTCAAATCAGATTTTACTTATAATAAATATTTTAAATTTCCGAAAATTAAGTTCAGATCGACTCTATACGTAGTCAATACTAAATAAGGTGCCAAAAACCTATTAAACAGTATCAAAACTATCAAGATTGTAATGTTTTTGAAGAAAAATTTATAGAATTATAGACTTCAAACAGATATTATGTAAATAAAAATAATATAATGAATTTATTTATTCGTATAATAGCAGTAATAAGTCGATTATTCACTTCTACTTCTGAGATTTGAATGTAATTTCGACAGAAAAAGATATTCAAGAGGAAAATACTAGGGGATACAAACAGCCACCATGACAGGATTATTATGGAGCCAAGTTGTATTTTTTGATATTTTTAAAGTTTTCCTACCTTATTTAGGTACCAAGTTATTGCTTAAAAATTAAGGTTCTAAATTCTGAAGTTTACACGATCCTCCCGGGCGCACCCTTAACCTATATTTTTATATCAATTTACTATCTCAGAAAGATATGTATTTTTATCCTAATTTTTTATTATTTTAATTTGATAAAATTTTACGCCTTCAAAGTTGACAAATTTATATATTGGAAAAAAATTGATAGAATTGCTCCACTTGCGGTATAGTATTTTTTTAAACCAACGATAATTAAATCATATAGCGGTTTTTCTCAATTCTGAACTTTTCACTACAAATTTTCAAATTCTTTCAATTTTTCAAATCAAAAAAAAATCATTAATTCCAATAGATGTTACCACTATTTTACACATTAATTTCATCCGACGATTACATTGTAAAGACCAAATACCTAAGAGCATATTACTGCAGACACTATTACTACGATCCATGGACTGATATTAACATTCAATATAATGAAAGAGCAGACTCAACAAGTGGAGGTGAAAGATGGGTTCCAACAACATATTCAGATGGTGGATGGTTCCCCATCTTCAAAGTTGACGATGATCCAACCAAAGTCAGAATCTTGGGAAGTAACAGGGGTGTTTCAAACTACAAAGGAATCTATGCATCAACAAATGTCACATATCACCCAGAAATAGGTGAAAAGTACCTTCTGATCACCTATTCATTCAAGAATCAAGACACCCGTCCACACACCCTTCATGTTGCATCACACACAGATGTTCAAATTAGGTCTAATGATCGTGCTACATGCAAATGGTATTATGGAAAACGTGGCTTAACTATGAAAGATCCAGGAACAGGTATCACATTAACACTTCTTATTAAGGGTGGCTATCATGTTACAGATGTTGATACATTCTGGTTCGGAAGATGGCAGGGCCCTAATACAAATCTTCACTACTTTGACAATTATACTGATTCAGGTGATAATGATCTTGTAAATACTGACTCTGCATTTTCAATCGGTTGGCTCAATCGTCACATTTATCCAAACGAGACACTTGATTTCTCTGTCCTTTTGGGTGTTGGTGCTAACCTGAAGAACCCAGCTGTTTTGACAGTTAACGATAACTTTGCTGATAACAACATGCCAAATCAGGAAATCACTGTTACAGGAACAGTCAACGATTTTGATCCAGATGAAAACGTAACGGTTTATTATCAGTTCAATGGTGGTCCTGAAACAAAGGTTGAAACATTCCCCACAGGAGCAAGTGGAGGAATTTCAAACGGTGCATTCTCATTCAAGGTTACACTTGGCCCCGACGTTGCACAGTATCCATTGAAAGTTTATGCAAGAGATTCTTTTGGCTTGACATCCAACGTATTTGAGAAGAATCTTCTTGTCAACGAAATTCCTAGACTTGTTCTCACAAGAGCACCTCCTTCCACCTTCTTCACAGGCGGTACAGTTATCCTTGAAGGTACAATCTGGGATGACAGAAAGGCCACCCTCAAATACCAGGTTGACAATGGCTACAACTGGAATACAGGCGATGAAGAATTTGTCTGCAACAGAGCTACAAAGCCATTCCGTAAGTCCTTCCCAATCCAGGAAGATTACATTAACTATGGCCACCACGTTATTAAGATCTGGGCACAAGATGATTTCGGCGTTCAATCAGAACCAATTATCGCTGAATTCGACTATGTCCAGCTTCACGCTCCCGAAATGAAACCTTCCCAAGCTCAAACAAGTATTCCAGAAGTTCATGTTGGTAAAAAATTTACTATTTCTGGTCAAGCCAGAGATATTGATTCAGGCGAAAGAGTCAGCGTTTACTATAAATATCCAGAAGACACACCTGGAACTCAACCACGCCCACTTTTCACCTTCGATTCAAATACAGGTTGGCAGGAATGGGAAATCGAATATGAAGTTCCTGATAGAAAACTTCCATTTGACCAAGAAGTCAAAGTTATTTTATATGCCGAAGATACACGTGGTGGTACTTCTGCTGATTTGGAGTTCAAGTTCATTGTTAAGAAAGTACAAACAATTCCACCAACACCATATGACGGTGAGGTTCCACCAAACCCATCTGATAATCCAAACATCCCTGATTCATCATATTCAGGACTTACTGCAACATCAGAAGTCCCAACAATTGTTTGCGAAGAGCATACAGATGTTAACGGAGATACATATACACGATGTGATTTGGGAACAACATATATCGTTATTACGACAGATGCTACACCAGCTCCTACACAATCAGCAACACCTTCTGCATCACCAGAGCCAGGAGCCTTCCCGGAGGAGGATAACGCAAAGGAAGTATCAGCTTCTAAAGAAAAGTCTAATAAGAAGAAGATGCTCATTATCGGCTTAGCTGCTGGTGGTGTTGCCGCCGCAGCTGTTGTTGCAGCAGCAATCATCATCCATGAGGCTACAAAGGCACCAAAGGACTTCGTTTTCAACGAAGAAAACGGAGAATTCATGGAAGTTGATGGCGATGCTTGCCAAGATGCAGATAACCCAATTTATGATGAGAACGGAGCTGACGATCCATTCGCTAACGAATTCGATGAAGATGACGGTCCAGTCGAAGGAATCTTCCCAGCTTAAAATTAAATTTCACCAAACTTTGGTTTTACCTAACTTAATTATCTTTTTTTCATTATAACTTTTTATGATTTAAGGATACCCTTACATTGCGTAGTTAGAAAGAGAATATGATATTGTCATGATTGCTAAAGTTTTAGGCTCCAGAAATGAATATACATCAAACTGAAACAATTGATAAATTGAATGAACTTTTGAGAGGTTCTCAAATAAAAAAAATTATCTAATTTTTTACAATATTACTATTATTTTATCCACATATGTATATATAGTAATTTGAGAAAACTTTTAGGAAAAAATAAGTTTAATAAAAATCTGAATTTTACTTGTTGTGGGATTGTTATTAATTGACACTCCAGACGTATTACTAATAGTTATGCGTATGCAATTAAAGTATTTCTGATGGACAAAATGTGAGATTTATATCAGATAATTCATTTCTACTATTAAGTTATTCATTTATGAGTTTGCACTTATTCGCACTAAATAAATAACTATTAAAAATTGTTTTAATTAATTGACACCATATAATAGAGTGAATTTTGTTTGATCAAACAACAATAGATGATAGATATAAAACCAAGAAACTTGCTATTAATATGCTCTACTTGCTATTTCAATGTAAGTATGATATTTTCTAAATGTTTCGTTCAGATAACTTAGATATATTAGTCAAAATTTGAAATTTTAATAGCACATATATTAAAAATAATTATTATTCATAAAAGATTAATGAAATAGTAAAAAAAAAATCAATCAAATTATAAAAATACAACATATGGTTTTTTATGAGAAAAGGACAGACTAGCCCATTGTCACTTTTTAATTTAGCAAATGAACGCTTATGGAGTGGAGTTTTTGGGTAAATCTGATTTGCTTATAAATGAAATAAAATCAAAAGAAACCATATTGGCATTATATTATGCAAAAATAAATGATCTTACTTAGTACTTTTAAAGTTAATTTCAGAAAAAATTTGACACAATGGTATCCGGCACATACAAGTGGTGTACAACCAAATCTTCGACTCGATGAACTTGTCATCGAGTTATATTCCAGTGTTGTTCCTTCATTCCTGATTAAGTTGCAAATTAAAGGTCTGGATTCAGAGAGAAGTGTTAAAGTTATCAAAAAAGTCACAAGAGATTTCGAAGAAATGACACAATTTAAAAAAGTCGAATGCATCAGTATGCTTGAAGCTGTTCAGAAAGGTCTGAAAAATGATACACTTGATCCCAACATTGTTTACTCAACATTAAAAATATTATTGCAAAGAAAACATTTGATTTAATAAACATTTAATTTATTATAATTAATTTTTTATTACAGTATAGTAAAAAATGCTATAAATAAATTATTATATTTTATTAAAATGTGACTTTTAATAGTAAGTGAATAAAATAAATCAGGAATTGGGAAAGAAATAAGGTTAATTAAAAATAATGAAAATTACAAGTTTAAGGTTAATGAAAAAGTGACAATGGGCGAGTTTGTCCCCCACTCGTTTTTTATGGTTGTCTCATAATAGCATTTCATGAGAAAAAATATAATACTATTTATTTTTGCATAGTTCAATTTTTTTAAATAATGCAAGATATCCCACCATTAGTTTTCATGAAATAATCCAAAAATCAGCATACACTTGAGAACATAGCAGCTCTACATGTTTTCGCTATTTATTTTCCAATAATATGAGGGGTTCACGGGATAAAGCTTCATTAAGCATAATTGATTACAATATCATCATATATATACCGAACATATAACAAATGGGATATTTGTATACTAAAATAAAAAAGGAGCAAATTATATAATTTTAGTCATGCTACTTATAGGTTCAAAAATCTTATAATATAAAAATATTTTCAAATACAAAGAAAATATGTGTTTATTTCAAATTTGAAAATTAGATATCTTGTGGGGTCCACTTTCCTCCTCTGTAATCACCTGTAGGGTTATCCTTAGGAAATCTTTTTGCATTTCTTGCCTTGTTGATCTCTTTTCTTGTTTCTGGTGTAGCTTTCTTTTGATTTCTGGATTTATTTTTCTCATATTCAAGTTTTTGGAGTTCGCGGATTGAAGGAGATATTTGGTAATTATTGACACGATTGTATATTTCTTGTTTGCATTTCTCTCCTTCGTTTTTTTGTAAAATTGTAACAGCCGTACGCATTTCAAACGATTTTGCGTTGTTTCCTTTGGGACACTGAGTAAGCATTGAGTGATGTATCGATTCATTTTGTTGTGTTTGAGCATTAGGATCAATTTCTGGAATCAACTTTGCGGCATCATCTGTAAAACGTTGAAATTGCTTCGCTAAATCAGGTTTTGTAAGTGGCTGAAACACAGGATATTCTTTGTCTTTTTCGTGAAGGCAATTTTCATGCCTTCCGAAAAAATGATTTAATGTATTCTTCCATAGGAAAATTTTTTTCGTTGTTTCAATTGGAAGCATGATAATAAAAGTGAACCACTTAATAACTTTCGAATATATCTGATGAAATACTTTTTTCTTGGTGTTTTAATGGTCTTCCACGTTTCTTCGGCTCTTCTGCTTTAGATTTGATTGGGAATGCTGGCTGTGATTCACTTTCTTTCTGTTGATTAACAGTTTCTTTTCCTGCTGCTTCTTTATATCCACCATTTTCAAGCTTTTCGAAAGCTCTGCCAACTGCACGTACACAATGACGAGGATCAAGTGTAATTTTAGCATTCGGAGCATATTGCTGGATGATGGCTTTCGTTTTATTGTCATTGTCATGAACCACTGTGGAAACATTTGTAAAGTCAAAATTTGACATCATCCTCTTTGTACATTCTGTTTCCATCATGTTGGATGGGCCTTCAAAGTCTCCTCCAGAGCTCTTTTTTATAACAGTTGTTTCACCAACAACTTTTCCACGGTTGTCCATCATTAAACTTTGGCACGCTGTAGCATTTCTGCCAACATTATAATGCGAATCAGTGCTTAAAAATGTATCTTTCTTCATTGTTTGTTGAGCATTTTTAATAGATTGCTCTTTATATTCTAGTATTACCTTACCTATTTCTTTTTGATGACGGTAAAACTCTTTTTCACTCGGCACTTTAATATTGTTATCTTGAAATAAATTCCTTGCTCGAGTATAAGAGTCACCATTAACAATTACAGAAGCAGTCCAGTGTTTTGGATCGACTTCCTTTGGCGCATTCTTTTCTTGGGAGTTTTTTCTTGCTTCAATTGATTTTTCGTTAGCTTCACGACTTTGTTGTTTGCGTCTGCTTGGTGGAGGCATATTACGTAAATGGTCGGCAAAAAATGTAATAAACGTAGTGAATAATTAAAAAGATTGCTTTATATAACAAATATAATCATTTTTTCCTTAGAAATCCCATTATTTGCATAACAATATTTAAAAATATTTTTTTGATATAGTTTACAGTCACATCAATATGAACTATATTAAACTATCAGAAACTTATGTATGTTATTAGTAAAGTTGAAATTTTTATCATATTTACACATTAAATTTAATTTTCATGCATATTTAAGTTTTTTTCAACACAATCTTGTATTGTTAGTACCGACAATATGAAAGAAAGTTATACTGTATTTAATTTTAGCAATAAACAAAAAAATCTAAATTATATCTTTAGATACTAGGATTGATTTAATGACTAAGAACGTTTTTATCAATAATACCATGATTCATAACATATAGACATAACCTAAATATACCAAAGCATTTCTACTTGGAACTAGCGCATCGCCAAAATAATGGGTCAATATTCATTTGACGTAATGCTGATCGAGAGAAGTCTTTATATATAAGCCTTATCACAATGCCACGAATGCACCCAGCTGCAGGCGTGTCTTGTTTAACATTCATTCCTATATATGATGGAACATTAATCAATAATCATGGAAGTATCACTTTTCAAATAACATCATTGTTAAATGAAAGAAAATTGTATGCAAAATTACATTTTGGTAATGGTGAGACGCAATATGTTGAAGTATATATCATTATTATTTAATATACAAACAAACTCTAGTACAAAATTGTATTAATTCAACTTTCATGTCTAATATAAAAACTTTTTTTAAAAAAAGAGATATAATCGTGTATAATATGAGAAAAATGAATATCAATACAAAATAAAATATCAATTAGCTATTGCTGATGACATATCATGAATATTGATCATTTGATTTGATTAATTTTGATAAATATTAGGCTTTTTGCTAGTTACATATTACAATAAGGCTTTTAAATGGATATTTATTGATATGAGCTTATTTCAAAATGACAGTCTTTGATTTATCCACTAATAAGATTTGATGTCACAAAAATCTAGATTTTGGGGCATAAAAACCTAACACCAAATCATAACTTCTGTGCATATACTAAATTGAGTACAGAAATATGTTAATTTTCAGTATTTTTAGAAGAATTCTTATTATCCTTCAAAAAGTCAGTATTTCTGCTGTAATTTTCTACAACATTGTAGTTATTGCACTTTGTCTATGGATTTGTATATATGTTATATATAAATTATATATCTAAACTGCCCATAAGTGCAATTTTTATATAAATTGTTTATTTCTTTAACAATTTCATATGAAATATGCTTTTTTAAGCGTATCAAAGCTGTGTTCTTAATGTGCATGGATATATCAAGAAAAATGTCGAAAAAAAATGTGAATTCACAAATTCACTGAATTTTCACCGTTTTTTGAATTTTGCTACAGCACTAATATTAAATAATACTAAAATCTTCTGTCTTTGTAAAAGAATAAATTCTGACAAAAAGTGCTCGTTTAAATTTAATGATCATCTGTATGACTAAGTGGTAAAAAGTGTTTATGACCAAAAAAGGGTTACATGCTTAGTCTATTTTTCTGACAGGATACTCTAGATTTACATGATCTCTATTTCATATCTCCGTTTTTAGATTCTTCGACAGATTTTATGATAGAAAACCAAGATTAACAAATTTCCGGCATGTTAATGAAGAAATCTGCAGCTACCCTCAATATTATTTCAATAATCAGTATCGTTTCTCTTACAATTTATTTTTTTCTCAATAATTTAACAAGAAATAACAATACACACTTGGTTTTACGTATAAAAGCTAAGTGTCGAACTTAATCAACTTTACTTACTTAGCAAATGAATATTTTTGTGGTTGCGAGTTCTGAATGCTGAAGTTTTAGATTTCTCTATAAATGATATCATTGCACTTACAATGTTGTTCCAGCCTATCGCATAAATCATAGAAAATCCAAAAAAAAAATAATATAAAGAAAATTCATGTCATGAAGTTCAAAAAATACCGTGTAACATTAAAATTTGTTATGCATAATACATTTTAGCTATTATTGATTTTTTTTAATTTTCGAGAAATTGAATGGTGAGTCCGATAGAGAAATTTTTAAAAATCCTAGTCCCTCATAGAAGTAATTTCCCTCGTCTCCCATACTTCCAAATGTATGCATATGACATAAACTTTTATGCATTACACAAGTGGCCAATAATATCTATAGAGTAAAAAATTAGAAATTTAATTTTTTTATATGATAGTTATATTTCAGATTTGCGAGCGTAACTTTTTTCTCCATGGCATACTTGTTTTAAGAGCAAATGATCAAAATCGTCCTTCAATTATTGAAGGAGCTGATATCTTTTGAAAATTGAATTGAAAGGGTATTCAATTTTCAAATTTCCTCTCAATTTTGGAAACATATCAACTCTATGAATTAACAATTATGTGCCTTCACAGTTTATCAGTCATATAAGGTGCTTATAAAGAAAAAAGTTACGCTCGCAAAATATGTTTTTATATAGATTTCACATAAAATAATTATGTAATTTCTAAAAAGAATATTTTTGTTCTTGAATATTAAAGTGTATTGTAGTTTAAAAAGTTTTAAATATGTTGCTAAAATTTCAGGTTTATAGCTCATGTCTAGCATGACTTCTTCGTATGCGCAAAAAATCTGACACGTAAGGGTATCCTTAATCTTTAAAAGCAATTATATGTATTTCAATTTCATATTGAATCTAATTTCATTGAAATAATTAAAATTATATATTAATTAAAGTATGTAAATATGAGCAACCTATTGCTTTCATATGTGTTGTAGATTAAATTTAATGCTTTTGCTGATTTTTATTCAATTATCCTGCAAAAACCAACCGTTGCTAAAAGACATTTAGCAGGCTGCAACCTGAATTGATTTTATTATAGGTTCCCAAATGTCATGGCCAAATACCAAATTTTCTCGTTCATATAAATTAACGTTGGTAGGATTTTATCGTAGAACATTAATACGCTAATGGACTATTCCATGCTTCCTTCACACAATCATAGTTCGCCACCTCTTTTACTGATTTATTGACATAAAGCAATCAATAAATATGGAATTATTGTTTAATGAATGAAATATGAGCCAAATTGCTAAAAATATACAAATAGATTTTATTCATATAAAGATTTTTCTCTGAATAACAATTTACAAAAGGTATATAAAATTATCTTCGCCAAGATTTGAATTTATTTATTTACAATAGTATATGAGGTAATACATATTGACCCATCTCCGGAGCACGAAATGATCTGATTCCTTGTAGGATGATGAGAAACTGCAAAAACTGTATTATGATGACAAGTCAATGTAGCAAGCATTTCTCCTGTTTCTACGTCCCAAACTCGTATTGTTTCGTCCTTTGATGCTGTAAAAACGAGTTTCCCGTCAGGGGAAAACTCAACTCCGATAATATAATCTGTATGACCAACCAAGTTCTTTTCCAATCTAAATTTTCCGACTAAATTAAATAATTTAGCGTTAGGATCCTGCGCTGCTATGCAAAGATATGTTGAACTACGCGATAATGCGCCGCTGTAAACGAATGTTGATTCTGCCGAAACAATCTGAGGTTCTTGAGCTAAGTTAGAATCGTAAAAGCATATATCGCTATTAGATGCCAGAACAATAACGCTGCTGTCGCCATTTGTTATCAAAACTGAAACAATATTTTGGTTTTTCGCGAATTTAACACTCTTAATAAGTTCGAACTGTGGTAAACTCCATAGATTGATGACGCCATTTTTGTTGGTTGTAATGAGTCGTTTACCGTCGTTGAAAAACGCAATTGCTGCGGCCGCTTCTGATGATTTTTGAATGGTTGCAGCATGAGTAAGCATTGGGACGTTGAATGCGAAAATTGAAAAGTCTGCGGCACAAACAACCAAATACTTGCTATCTGGTGAAAAAACTACGTCTCTTGTGGCCTTTTCGTAAGCTTTGCTGGTATCAAAAGGAAGGGAGACTGCTTGTATGCATTCGTTTTTGTTCGCATCGTATAAAAATAATTTTAGATAAGTTGAAAATGCGAAATACGCACCATTTTTCGAATATTTGACCGAGCATAAAACATCATTCATAGGAATCTGTGAAGTAATGCTGAATTGGACAATGTAATTTCTCAATAATTTTAACGTCGGCTGACTTTCGTTAGATAATGGAATTTGAGCATGAAGAACCGCTTTGGAATTCATTGCAGTTTTAAATTTAAGTAAGCATGATTTTAATTCGGTTATATCATCTTGGAATTGTTTAACACAAATCAAACAAGAGTTTTTTACTTCCGTTAATGAGCTGATTTTTGCTTGCTGTTCTAGAATAGCTTTTGTTAAAACATCTAATCCTAAAAAACTCTTTTGCCTCTTCGACATCTGTAATCAGCTCAGGAAAAAAAAACTACAAATAATCATCTTCCTTTGAATCCAAAATAAGAAAAAAAGATTCTCAAACTGACTTGACATGTGAAATAATGATTGAGTATTGTAATGCAGGTCGTTATTGACTTGGTCCAAAATTTAGAGAACTTTGAATAGCGTCTATTCAAAATGATTCACTAATTTTAACGAAACCCTTTTCAATCCAAATATTTCTTTTCTGTATTGTTGATCATAATGCAATGTGCAAGATTTATGAAGGAAAACTTTTAAGAGGTCATTTAATTTTTACTGAACAAATATACATTAATGTTTGTAAATTATCTTTTATAAATATTCTAAATTTGTTTTGTGAGAGCATTGAATTTTAATATTTCGTGTTTTTATGCTCTCACGAACTCAGCCTTTATCAAATTATAGCATGCTGATGATTTGGAATATCTCATGCAATTGATGTTCACCAAGCTTTGCGGAGAAGATAGCCTGAAATCGTTTCTCATTTTTGTTTCCATTTATGTTTTTTTCAAAACTTGGGAGTTGGGTGTTTCTCCCCAAATTTGCCGTTTTTAGTTTACAAAATTTACTTTTGTAATGTGTCAAATTTTTGGAATTCAAAGGTTGCTATCAAAACAACAAAAAATGCCATTTTCTTATGGTAGACTACATATAGAGTCACCTCTAACTGTTAACTGGTTAATCATAGTATTGTCCCATCCATATCATGGAAATCCCCAATTTATATTCCATGAGAATTCTAAAAGGCAAAGACACGACTTTTGTGTAGTCTAGATTCAAGGGCATAAGAGCAAAGCTGCATAATTATTGTGTTTCTTGGGATATTAGTTATACGTTATTCCTCTCACTCGCTATACTATTACTCTCTGATTCAACAGGGGTCAAGGATGTTAATTTATTCGAATGGGGCAAAGTTCTATACGAAGCCTCTCATTTAATGAGAGGATTCGTAAAGGCTTTCCTTTAATGATCTTTTACTAGTGATACCCGGCTCTCAAGTGACCAATTAATCAGTATTTGATCGAATAGGGCAGACTTTTTCTGAAACATCTCATTTGATCACCGGTGTCCATGGGAAGTTCTCTGCCCAAGCATAATGTGTTTGTGGTATATGTTCCAAAGAGAGCTCAAAAATTTATCTGTAATTCGTTTATACTGAAGTTTTCTTGGAGTAAATCAAATAAAGAGCGGTATCCAGAAAATTCCAGCATAAGCTAATTCTATTGTGATCATATAGCTCTTCATATACAAGAGAACTTGAAAGTAGTTCCTGGTGGGAAGAGTTTCGATGTGTCTCTATACAATGCAAATAAATATATTAATATGTGTTTTTATATAACAAGTATGACTTATTTTGCAACAAATGATAAGCTAACAACATATTTTTACAGTATTGCCAGTAGAAGGAAAGAATGAGATATATTTCATGTATCAAAAGGTCATTGTATAGGAGCATAATGAAAAAATTTAATAACCATAGCCACATGCTTGCAATAAACTTATTATAGTGAAAGTAATTTTTATTTTCAAAGTCATGAAAGTAAACTTCAGAAATTTTGTTCTTAACGTCTGGATAATGGATTTCTACGATTCTAAGGCAGCTGTTGATGCCATGGCGGCACTCCAAGCTCGCATCCGTGAGCTAGAAGCTGGTAATGCTAAGCTCAGGAAGGAAGCTTCAAGGCTGAGAGTGCTTGCAGATGAAGATGAATCAAAATTACAAGAAAGAGAGCTTTCTTTGATGGAAGCATCAGACAGAGCACAAAAGATGCTTGAAGGAGCTTCTGAAACTTTAACTGAATTAAGAAGAATTAAAAAAGAAAATAGATCGTTAGAAAAAGAAATTGCAGAATTACAAGAACAATTAACAAGAAAGGTAGATTCAGAACGTAAATCAGCAAATTCACTTGCATCAATGGAAAAACAGCGAAAACATGCTAAGAAGCTTATTGCTGAATACGAAGCTTTATTTAAAGAAATATTAACACCTCCTGCTCTTGATTTACAGAGAATAGACGGCGTTCCATTCAATAATACAGCAATTACAGCTAATACACACTCATTACCTGCCACACTTCAAACTGTAATTCAAATAATTCAAACGCTGCCATTCCCATTCAGAGATCAGAAGCTTGAAAAGAAGAGAGAAATCATAGTTGAACTTTTGAAAGCAAGAGATATCTCTGCTAGAATTGCTGACGAAATTCATGAACTTGAGCTCCAAAAACGAGATATGGGCAATTCTAGACGCATACAAGCTGAAATCGATGTTAAGGCATCACATTATTATTTAATCACTCAGGCTATGTCTCGTTTCAGATTTGAATGAAACGCTTAATGTAGTATTTTTCTTTTGTTGGGTATTCTAGCGACTATAAAATTCAGATATTTGTTCATTTTTATGATAAACTCAAACCTTTTTGATAGAACTTCACTATGAATTGTGCTTAGTAGAGGCATATCTGTGATCACCATTATCATATAATAAAATAATGCCCATATATGAATTCAATAAAATATTGGATTTTATCTGGAAATGATTATCTTGAGATTGTTTACTCAGAATTATCTTCTCATGGTGAAAAATTATTGAGGAATTTCAGTATCATAACATGATCCAAATAATAATTATGGAGTGATGATTTACCTAGGCTAGAATATATTGAACAAAATATTGTTGTATGTATATAATTCATGTTGATGATCATCAATCCCATCTAGCACATGCGAACAAGGAGTTAATGAATTATTATTGATTTTTTTGACATAATAAATTTCAAGTTGTCAAAAAATATTGTAAACTGTCAAAATGACTGTTGTTGACCGAATTGAAGTTTGCCCAACACTTATCCGAACATTCTTCCAAAAGGACAACCATCACACAGTCGCAGAATTTGCAAAAGAATTCCCTTCTCCAGAGGCATATGTCTATACATGGAAAGATGCAACCTTACGTGAATTATCGTACACAATCATTAGAACAGCAAAGCTCAGCGATGTGAAAACATTATCATTCATGATGGTAATACCAAACATGACAGAAGGAGGCTGGCAAATGCAAAATTTAGGAACAATAGATTTAGAAGATATGAATTTAGTAGAAACTACAACTTTAGAAGGTTATGACTTCGTTCCAGGTTTCATGCTTGATATAGCCTATACCACAAATGAATAAATTTGTTATTTATTTTTTTGTTGTTTCTGTAAAAATAGATCTTGTTCTTATTATCAATACTTTAATATAATTGTTTATATATTTTTACCTATAAAATCATTTTTCTTTATCATGCCTAGTGAAATCGAACTGAACGATGTCGAAATTACCAATAAAAGCCAAACAGAGATGCTAACAGAAATGTATGAACTAATGAAACCGCGATCACTCCTTTTAATGGGTTTTATTTACGTGTTTGCAGCAGGATTATTAGTTTTAACAATAATATTAATTCCTTCTCAACAAGTTAATTTAATATCTTATGCCAATAAGTCTATAAGTGACAATTTCGAACTCAGTACAATCCTATCTGGCCTCAAACCATATTTCAAAAATGTGAAATTCGGTTTTACTTCAAGAAGCCTTTTTTCGAAGCCATTAATAGCTGTTGCATCAGGAGTATTTACAGAAGAATTCAATAATTCAAAAGTTAACCAAGTAGACGTTGCAGAAAAATCGTATTACATAAAAAGAGGCCAATTTTCACAATTCTATACAGCATCTAACTTTACAAAGGATAGTATATCTTCAAAATTCAATTTCAACCTCTTAGAAGGTTCTTTAATTGAACTTACAATGATTTGGAAGTACGACAACTTAGTTTTCTTCCTTATTAACATCACATTCCAATCCATTATATACATAGCCTTTGTTATGATCTTCCATTCATATATTAGAGCCAATTTCAGCATAAATAGGAAACAACCAACACTAATTCATCAAATTATATCATTTGCAAACACAGTTTCTCTCGTATTTCTATTTCCAATCAATCCAATACTTAGTTTAATTAACGAAGAAAAATATAAATTATTTATTCAAATAAATAACAGATTATCACATTCCTTTTACTTTGCCATATTCAACATATTAACATGGGCGTATATTTACAGAAGACAATCCGATATTAAGTACTTAAAATACATTTTCCAATTTCATTTAGCAATTACGTTCTTATACTTACTTCCTTTGTATATAACTGGTATAGAGATTGAATATATTCTTGATGATACTATTTTATTTGGCTTATTAGCTTTAGTTTGCTTAAATTCACTCAGATTACCTTTAAGTGTTGACAGCAGATCAACAGAGCTATATTCATCACTTATACATGTTATTATATTGCTTCTTACTTCTGGAGCTTCCATTTATTCTATGATGGTTCAAAGAGAACCAAAATTTACTCTTTATTCGAAATTAATTGATGGAATTTCTCTTTGTTTCATCTGTTTCTTGCATTGGCCTGTAGATGAGACACAGACAGCTTACGAACAGGCTGATCATCAACAAGAACCACAAGGAGAACTTCTTGATGATCTTGAAGAATAATTTTTTTAAAAAATATCTTATTTTTGTTGTTAGAAATAAAAAATCAAAACTTGTAAATATGAGTTTGCTCCTTTTTATTATTGTGATGAACAAAGTACAAGTTAATCAAAAATATTAAGTAACAGAACTAGTTTTGGTGAAATATAATTGACACGCTTACATAACTATGAAGTAAAATCAAAGAATTTCTACATTTTAAAGCCTTTTAACTCAATCATTCTAGAATTTTCATTAAAAAGAAGATTTCTAATCTTCTAATGAAAAACTACTAAGCACCACTATGGACAAAGCAACAAATTTTGTTCATGTTCATTTATAACTTTTTCAATGCCCATTTTTGTTCAAAAGATATATATAATTCATATCTAGCTAACAAAAAAGCAAGTTTTCTATGAACATGTCTTAATAACGAACAATAGTTCTTTTAGCTAAAAATAAAAAAAAGAAATCAATTAGAAAGAAGGATAAATTTACATACAAAATAAAGATATATTCAAACATCAAGATTAGCCGTATACATGATAAGCCCGATGCTGAAAACGATCAAATCAGGAAGCTTTTCACTGGCGATTATCTCCAAAGTGTCAGTACCAGTTTTTCTGACTGAACAAAGATCAGGTGAGTTCTGTCCTTTGGATTGGTCAAAGAATATGGCATTCTTTTCGCTTGGAAGTGTAAAATGGTTGTGAAAATCCAGAGCAAACATACCATTTCTAAGCATTTTTGGCGTTCTGGTTACTAATACTTGCTTAGGAATGCCAGATTCCTCTTCAATATTGATAGTAATTAGTCTAGGACGAAGTAAATTTTGCATATTATGAGTTACTTGAGCAGACATTAATATTGGACCATCAATAGCAGATTTTCTCAATTTAAACTCAGTCGATGAGTTTTCTGGGATCATGTAAAGATCGCAAGGCTGTGACATATGTACTTCTGGTCCATTTTTGATTGCTATTGCACTTTTAGGGTGTCTACCTTTGCACTTAGCAGAAATAATAACTTCATCGCCTTGTGCTGCTTGCACTTCATTTTCTAAAGGTACTTTTGTAAATTCAAAAGTAAAAACTGCTTTCAGACGTGATTTTTTGCGGATCAATGCGTAAGAAATCGACTTAACTGGCTCTGGTTGAGAAATAACTATACTTACTGCGTCATCTTCTTGAGGTTTTGAAGAAATAATTCTCGGATTTTCTTTTGCTGATTCTGCAGGTGGATTAATTGGTTCAGATATCGGCTTTGGTTGTTCTTTCTGCTCATTTTTGTTGTCTTCTGACGATCCTGAGTCTGATATACTTGGATTTCGTGGAGTTTGTTGGCGATTTCGCTTACGCTTTACTCTTGCTTTGTTGGATTTTGGATTTTCTCGTCTTTTAGTTGTTTTTTTACTAATAACGACATCTGAACTTGAACTTTCATCATTGCTTATATCTAATGGCACATCTTGACTCTCACTTTCTTCATTTTTTGATTTTTCTTCTGGAGCATGTAGACTACTTGATGATTTTGAACTCATGCATCAAAAATAAAAAATTTTTTATTTTAGAAAAAGTTCTAATCCTAAAAAAGTGCTATCGATATTTTAATTTTGACAAAACCCCCTTTTAATTTAATATAGCTCCCTATTTATTTCAGAAATTATGTACACACTCTTCGTAAGACCAATTAACCATGTTAGCAAGGAGTTCCTACTTTCAAGGTTTAGTGAATATGGTGAAGTAAAAGATTTATACATTCCAAAAGACTTCAAATCAGGCCGCAGAAGAACAATTGCATATGTCAAATACGATGACAAAGTAGAAGCTTCAAAAGCTATAGAAGGACTTAATGGAAAGGAAATTAATGGGAAAGAGATATATGTTAGCTGGTCATCTGAAAAACAAAAAACTCCAGATGAAATGGAAGCAGCAAAAGCTCAAAGACAACTTGAAAGGCAAGAAAATCCGAAACCTCCGAAGTATACACCAGAAGAGCATGAGCTTTATCTTAAGAAGAAACATTTCGCTGAAGGAGAATTTCATGAAAAATACTTCACAGCAGTTGACTATCCATTGGGTGTTGGCGAAGAATATACACCAGTCTTCCAGCGTGGATTAAAGCCAATTGGTGAGAGAAAAACATTCTTTACTTGGCAATTTATCCCAGAGGATAAAATACAGATGATAATAGAACAAGAAATACTGCGCTCAAAGGAAGGAAAGAAACCAACAGAAGAAAAAACAGAACAACCAGAAGAACCACAGGTTTGAAAAATATAATTTTCAAACAACCGAAATCAATATTAAGAAATGCATTTTTACTCGGACTATGCATTTTCCTTCGATTTTACTATAATATTGTTTTTTATTTACTAAAATATAAGTTTTGACTTTAAAAACATATAAATTTTCTTTTCTATACGTGAAGAAAATTCCAATTAAGACATAATCTATTTATTCAAACAGGAAAATGATGGTAATTTAAAAAAAATTATTATTCTTTGCTTCTCCAATCTACAACAGGCTTAGTACCAGTGACATTTTGTTGCCAACCCATCTGTGTGAACTGATCTGGGAAGCAAATATTTAATTTATTCGTCAATGATTCTCCTAAGAACTCTGATGTGTTTTGCCTTGATAAGAGATCACTTCTAATCAAAGTAGCTGCTCTGAAAACAGGTGGGTTGATTGGCAAGTCAGCAATAACAGGAAGTGCGTGTTGTACATCTTTTACGAGGCTCATCATTGAATTGTAGTAAGCTCTAGCAAGATTATCACGCGCTGATAAGAGATCTGACTTTTCATTCTGAGTCATTGGTGAATCGCTTGTATATTCTGTAAGTAGGGCAATTTCTGCAGCTTTTGTACTAATTTTCTTGCACATTGGGAAACCTAGTTGAAATTGGAAACGTGCTGATTTATCTGGTGGAACTGGCGTAGATAAAGTGCGCTTTGAAATTGGAGGAACAGAAATTTCTGGATTTAAAGTAGTGTTAGGTAAGGGGCTTTGAGGTGGATTTACAGGAGTACTGAATTGCCTAATTGGAGATTTATTGAAATCATTTGGTTCACGGGTTCGAAATTTACGGTCATGGCTTTTATGATAGTATTTGTGGCCAGATTCTTCTGAAGTAGGAGAAGAAATTTGAACACTATTTGTTCGATCTGATCTTTTTCCGGGAATCATCCACAAAAAATGAGTATTTTGAAATGATATTCAATAATGTATCTTGAAACATCAATATTATAAAACACAATTATGTGCTTATTAAATATTTTTCTATGAAATTTGATAAATTTATAAATTTACTTTTCATATGGTTTTTAACATAAAAATAAATATAGTGAAGAGCATATCTATGTAAATGTAAACTTTGTGAGAAATATTTTTATTTAACATCTGTATGTTTGTTAATAAGGACGAGCATACGAAGTATGCAGAACTTTTGGTAACATACAAAGACTATGTTGAAACATTTAACTCATTGTATCAGCTTAAGTCAGAAAACGAAGAAGAAATTAACAAGTTATTCAATATGATCAAAACAAATCTTATCGATACCAAATATTTTGGTGTAGACCAGATCATAAAAATATTTAGTAATATAATTATTTACAGGAATGGTTACTTAAAATCATATTTCGCACTTTTCAAAAAATTTTACGAAGAATATCATCCAAAACAAGTTCCTGGAATTTCAGTAATTTTTAATTACTTTGCATATAAAAAATATGGCATTGTTTTAGATAATATGCGCAAGTCTTCAATCAATCAACTGGAAAAACAAAATTTATCATTGGATGTTCATGAAGAAAACACAATCTACAGATCAATTATGAATGATGACAAAGAGCGCTTTATTGCATTCACAGAAACTCCAGAATTTGATGAAAAACAATTATTCAAAAGTGAATTATATCCATATAACAAAGAAGGATATAATCTGATTGAATTATGTTGTTATCATGGAGCAGTTAATTGCTTTAAGTTTCTTAGAACCAAATATAAATCTCCAATCACAGAAACATGTCTTCAATTTTCTTTCTTGAGTGGAAAGCCTGATATCATGAGTGAATGCATGAAAGCTCGGCGCCCATATGATAGTTGTATGCGATATGCAATTATTTCACACAATATTGATTTTATTTGTTTCTTGATGAATGAATACAATATCAGAATTTCCCTTGAAAACTGTTGTGAATTTAAAAATCTCCAAGCATTTTTGGTATTTTTAGACCAAACGGAATATATACAAACGGCATTTACTTATTCAGCAAGCTTTAATATTCCAGAACTTTGCAAATATCTAATTCAATGCGATTCTAATATATTATTAACCATGAACAATGCATACCCGAATACAAACACAGCTATTAATTACGCTGTTGAAGGAAATTCTGTTGAAACTGCAAAATTTTTATTTGATAATGGAGCGAAATTTAACAGATTTCACTCTGAGAAGTATGAGCTTCATATTGCAATAATAAATAATTGTAAAAAATGGTCGAATTACTTCTTTCTAAAGGCGCCGAAATAAATAAAAGAACTTCATATCATGAGAATCTTGATGGATATGGCAAAGATGTTGTTGCTCTTAATATAGCAGCAGAATTAAATTTCGACGATATTGCAATGCTACTTATTTCTCACGGTGCAGATCTTAATGTATCAAATGATCGTGGTAACATACCACTTCATTTTGCTGTCAAAAATAATAATATGCAATTAGTTCAATTTCTTCTTTCGCATGGCGCATTTGTAGATTCAAAAACCAACAAACAGAAAACTCCTCTCCATCGTGCCGCAAAGAAATCAAAAGAAATGGTAGAACTTCTCATCAAACATGGCGCAAATATAAATGAAACTGCACATGATTTCAAAACTCCACTTTATTATGCCATATCAAAAATAAACAAGAAATAATGGAATTTCTTTTATCTCATGGTGCAAATATAAATGAAAAATATCAAAATTCAGTAACACCACTGTGCTTAACTTTGGAAAATAAAAATCAAAAACTTGCATTAGAGCTGATCGAGCTCAATGCTGATATCTCTTTGACAAATTTATCTGGCGAATCCTATCTTCACATTGCCACCAGAGAAAATTGCAAAATGATTGTAGAAACTCTTATTTCTCGCGGTTTAAACGTAAATGCAAAAGATAATAAAGGTGGATCTCCTCTTCATATTGCTACACGAATGAACTTTAATGATATTATGAAGATTCTTCTTAAAAATGGAGCAGATCCAAATGCAATCTGTAAAAATGACACTACTCCTCTTTATATTGCCGCAGAAAATGATTCAAAAGAACAAACAGAGCTTCTTAAATCATACGGTGCAGACATAAATTCTAAATTAAAAAATGGAATCAATGCACTATTTCTTGCCTCAGAAAATAATAATGTTGAAGCTTCACAATTTCTTATTTCAGAAGGAATTGATGTTAAATTAATCGACAAATCCGGCAAAAACGTTCTTCACTACGCAGCGGGAAAGAATTCATTCAATGTCATCAATCTTTTTGTTTCTCATGGAGTAAATATTAACGCTAAAGATATGTACGAAAAAACACCTCTTCATTACGCTGCAATAAATGATTGCACAAAAGCAGTTGAATCTCTCCTTTCTCACGGTGCAGCTGTTAATATAAAAAATAAGATTTGGAAAACGCCTCTGCATTATGCATCTGAAAGGAAATACAAAGATATTCCAAGTTTCCGATTTACTAAGGATAACAATCTTATGGCTAGGACAATTGAGAAATCATCAGAAACAGTAGAAGTTCTTCTTTCTCATGGGGCAGATATTTATGCAAAAGATAAATTTGGGAAAACTGCTTATTACTATGCACAACAATGTGGTGCCCTACATATTTATAATCTTATTATTACTAAGTTTTGGCTTGAATAAAATGGAGTCTAATTGAAAACATGATTTTATTTTACTCTCTTTTACTGGATATAATATTTGATGTTCTGTGCTATCTTATGATCAGAACTCATCTATTCCATGCATTGACATCTGGAATGAAGTTTTCATTGGTGATTTTTCACAATTTTTTTTCCTTTGAGAAAATGACTTTGTAACTTTATCAGCTGAATTGTAAAAGATCGATATAAAATTGTACTTATGATTGATGTCAATATCATATCATGATGTCATGTAAATCTCTTGAATCTATTTTGTTTTAAATTGATAATGTGAAAATAGTACTTTGGTTATCATTAGAAATTGCATAAGGTTGACATTGGTGTGATATTTCGAAAAAAATAAAGGTATTATCTTTATTCGAAGTTAATAACATCGATTAATAAAGGTATGATGAGTTAAACATAGAATAATTGGATGTTTGCAATATTGTCATTCTTAAATAACTAGTGTATCATTGTTCCATATTAATAACGCAGGTCAATTCAATTTCAATGATGGAACGATTTTGAATGATTTACAAAAATTTTCCAGATGAAAATAAAAGAAATTTTTAAAATGCTGCTATTTCATTTCTAGATCAAAATAATGATTATTGAAATCATGTTGCTAACAATCAGTATTTTCAGAAGTTACATAGAATTCTCCCCATTTCTCACACAGATTGGGACGAATTCTTCGATTCTTCAATCAATTACAAATCATACAGAAACGAAACCAAATATTTCAATGTTAATGCAAACGATAACTATTACGTCACTCTTTGTCTCTTTATTTGCCTTAATTCATCAGGTGCTGTTCGTATCTCTACACAAACAAGCACTAAACTCAAATTCCTCATTGATACTAGCTCATTTGACCAGTGTGAGCATACTAGCGCCAATGGTGGGTCTTTATACATAAGTTCTACTACAAGTGAGTGTATTCAAGACCGAATCTGCAGTTTTGGCTCTAAAACACCGAATGAAGGTGTTTATTGTCATGTTACCGTTTCTTATTCATCACCATTTAAGAATTATCTCCTTGATTCCACAATTTCTTCAAGTAGTACTGTAAATTCAGAAGGATATAATAATATTTGCTTGTTGAATGGTGAAATAAATATGAAATCAATCAATATTTCAAATTCAAATCTAGAATATAGAAATTTCTACCGTGTTTATTGTAGATCTAACTCAAATTTAACTTATTCAACATTTTCAAACTGCACATCCACAGCTACAAGTTCCTATGAAGCATATCATGCAGGATTATCTTCAGTTAAAGAATTTAAAATTTCTTTTTGTAATTACTTCGAAAACAAATGCTATAGGTTTATTTGGAGTTATTATAATCTCGATATCATTAATTGCAGTTTTTATAATAATGACATCAAAACTGAATATTTCTCTGTAAATAGTCCCTATCAAATTCAAGTTAAAGGATGTTATTTCGACATTTCGAAACCTGGTACATATGGATCTGTTACAATTACAGAGAATGCAGGTTCAGTTTATCCAGTAAATCATCATTTGTCTACTGGTTTATGTTTTGCAGAAGTCGAACTTGAATTTCCAGAAAAAACAAAAGAAGAAACAAAGACAAAAATCGAAGAAGAAATCAAAGTTAACTACAAACGAAAAAATAAACTATTCTTCATTGTTTTTCTTGTTTATTCAAAATCTAAATAAAAACATGTTTTATTTTTTCTAATATAGATGAATCAGGTGTGTTAATATATTGAGATCGAATAGATTAAAGCTACCGAGATAATTAGCTTATAAAACAGTCATTTATCACTCTTGAAACGATTTTCCAAAAGATTATAGAAATTGTTTGAAATCAATCAGTCTCACGAATTGAGAGAAGTCTGTGTTTCTTGCTGATATGAATGAATGTATTGAAAGTTTACCATTAGAATCCATATTTAGAAGGGTAACGAAGAAGATTATATTTAAGATTCTCTTACAAAAGCAAAATTGAGGGTAATTCTATATTTTATACTTTGAAGACGAAGTTTTTTCCTCTGCTTTATTGAAGTAGCGATTCTTTGATATGCATATTCATAAGAAGAATAATTTTCAAAATAATTAAAAATATTTTAAAATAAAACATACATTTAACAGATAACAATAAAATAAAAGAAATAAAATTAAATAATTAAAGTAAATCATTTTCCAGTTTCATCAATGACATCGTAACCACCTTCGGATAGAGATCGGAACAAATCATCCTTGATATCGGAATATTCTTGAAAATATGCACTGAAGATGTAGTGTTGTGAATTAAGTGCTGTTTTAACTAATCGAGCATCGTAATTAGGTTTAAGTTGTTCATCTGAGATTCGAACAACATATCCTTTGCAATGCAAGTGTTTGATCAATGGACGTAATGATGCATACTAAACAAGTTTGTCTTTCTGGCTCAGACTTGAAATACCTTTAACTGTAACTTGGATCATGTTTCGTTTAGATGTGGTTTGTTTTCCAATCTGATGCAAAAAGTCTAGAATCTTGATATGAACTGATGTGATGGATGCATCATGTTGTTGGTCCCGCATTTGGAAGATGGTAGCAATAGGGACATCATTAACAATCTTAAGTGTCATGCGCATGCTACTCGTTTTCATTTCGTGGAAATTAGGACTGACAAATTTAATATGTTTGTATTCTAACCCACATGAATTGACAAACATATCAATATCACGAGAAGCTTGAAGATATCGTGCATCTTTAGAGTTTTCAAGATGTCGAATAACTTCGCGTGAGCCTTGTTGGAAAATATTATAATTGTCTTTAAGAAATTCTTCAACAATAGGATGGAAAATATCACATCGGATCTGTGTGTTGCTAATAAACTTATGAAACAATGTAATGGCTGTCATAGCGCATTCGATGTAATATTCAATAGAATCTGTTGGTTCAATAACGGAATATGTGAAGTTCTCTTCTTCCTCAACTTGTGAGTGCTTATCATTAGACTCCCAGTTGAACTGAAGCATGCAACTAAATAACCGTTTAGATCGAACTGAGTTTTCCTGCATCCATTGTTCGTATGTATCGGTAAGGTTGCTACGAAGATCAATAAGACTGCTATCCGGTAACATAAGTGTGACTGAGTCTTTAGATGGTTTGCCGCTGACGTTGCGGATGAATGGTGTGTTGAAATAAAGTGCGTTGTTCTTACTGCAGATGTCATACCATGAACGCATAACTTGACCTCGAATTTCAAATGTTTGGTTCTGGCTGTTACTAGACTCTCGGAAATCGTCAAAACGGAATGGAAGACGACGTGTATCGGAAAAGAATGTGGAAATAACTTCGCGGAAATATTTACCTGGCTTTTCCGACTCTGATGTTAAAAAACCCATGTATTTAGAAATGTCTTTGTTCGTTTTCTCTTTAGGATTAGTTTTGATGATTTTCCATTGAAGTAAATCAAGTGCAGATGGACGTTTATTAGGCTGAACTAATAATGAGACAATCTTAGCTTCAATAGGGAATGCAAATGACCAGTCTGTTGGTAACTTACCAAGACGGATGTCTTCAAGTGTAGTTTCCGTAGAACGTGTGTAGAAAAGCTTGAACAAGATATATGCAAATGATTCCATATCACTTTTCGTGTTAACTGCGCTGTCTGGGTTAACAATGGTATTAAGACCAAAACCACCAAGTTTGATGATGTAGTTGTCATCAACGTATATACAATCGGTAGAAAGATTGTTGTGCACAATCCCATTGCTGTGAATATAGTGCAATATTTCTAAGATTTGTCGTGTGATCTCTGATTTGTTGATATCGGGATATGACATGTCCTGAAGGATATCTGTGAGAGATCTGTTGTGGCAATATTCTGTTTGGATAAAGAAATATGTTGTTAACTCTGGGTTTTCTGGATTTTCTTCTTCTTCCTCTAATTCGCCGTAATCTTGAGTAATTGTTGAGAAATCAATGGCTTCTTCGCGGGTTAATGATCGCTTTTGGTTCTTTTTGACTAATTTGAAATCATCATTAATTAATTTGGCCAAAGCGCCATCGCATGTCTCTACCCATGAGTTGTAGTATCGAACGAGGTTGCGATGCTGTAAAGAAGTAAGTGCTTTAACGACTTCTTTAATCTTTTTTTCTTCTTCGGGTTTCTTGATGATCATGCATTGAACTGTGTATACTCTGTTATCTACAATGTTACTGGCTTTAATATAACCGACGCCAAATGGATAAATAATTGAAAAATCATCAGTAAATCTTGAAGACAAATTATTTTCTTTTCCGTTCATGTATTTACGCTGAACTATAAATAACTGTTTGATTGATGGCGCGATATTGTCTTGACTGAAAGCTTCGACGATTGTATTTTCAATTTGGTCTTTTGTAGGTTTGCTTTCCATAAAGAAATTGAAATTCTTCTCTAGAAACTCTTTGCACTTCTCTAGAGGTTTTTCTCCATTCAATGCTGAATAGAGAGAATATAAAAGAAATTGTTGCTCATAATCAACAAAATTATGCTGTACATTAATGCGAGCATTCTTTTGTTCTGAAAACCATTGCTTTCTGTAATCCTCGGCAAGCCTGGCTTGGATTTGAAGTTTTAATGTTTCAAAAGCATCGGAAATATGATCTGCTTGGTCGATAGTACTACCATGACCCTTGAGTTGAAATGATATTTCGTTAGCAATAGTTGATAAGTAATCTGTATTTTTAGATTGAAGAAGAATTTTTGAAATAATACTTGTATCTACAGGATTATCTGATATATCTTTATTCTTCTTCTTGCTAGATTCTGTGAATGATACCGATGGAGGTATACGAGGATATTTAATAGGAATTATAAATTTTAATGAATGAATCGACTTGTCATTATGATTGAAAGTTACCGAATATGGAGAAATAATGCCTTCGTAGGTGAATTCACCCTTCAAAATATCATCAATCTCTTCCTGATAACCACGATTCATTTCAAAAGTAAAAAAAAATCATCTCACTGATTTTGAGATAAAAAAAATTATATCATTATCATCACATAAGGGATGAGACCACATTTAGCTTACTAAAAGGAAAGGTACATTCACTGATTTTGACAAAATTTTAAAATTTCATGGGGTTGTAAATCATATAATAACTAGATGAATAAAGAATAAATGCCAGCTTGATGTGCACCATTATATTAAACACTATATGTATGTCTAGTGGTTCTCTTAACATCTATGAAGATCTTTAGTTTTTGAGCAGATAAATTTGATAATTTCCAAAACTCTTATATTTCAAGATCATAGTGTGTACCTGCATTGAAATGAAAATAAAAAGAGAAATGCACTGTTAAAACCAAGTGTTAATTTACAATTAATTCGTATCAAAGGAACTATGCAATAAATGCGGCTATCTTTCTTTGCAATTATGTAACATCGCACATATAATATAATGGTTAGGGTTTGGGCAAAAGTTACTCGAGAATTATTGGCGTTGAGGTCAACTGTTTGAAATTGAGCATATATGATTGATGAATAATGAGATTCGATATTTTCTTTTTCTAAATTCGAGAGAAACATTGATGTCTTTTATAGAGCACAAAATCTAGTGACGATAAAAGTGAAAAATTTTAGAGTCCAAAGGTGATGTTCGAGGAAATTCATAATGACTCTTCGATCATCATTGGAGGAAATGAAGAACAAGCAGATTTCTTCTTGGAGATGGCATCTGCTTTCTTCACAGCCACTAAAGAAAGTGAAATTTCACCAAATGCAGCCGGAAAACTCGATAAATTAATCACAAAAGGCTTCGGACAATTCGCTATCTGGCAACAAATCAATGTACAAAATAAAGCAGTATTAGAATCAGCAAGAAATGCAATTGAAGAATTAAATCAACAAGAAGAGCATGAAAATCAAGAAAACATTCAAAACGAAGAAGAAGATGAGGAAGACGATGAAGATATTAAGAATCTTTTGAAAGAACGCAATGAAAATCAAGAAAATGAAGAAGATTTTAACGAAAACAACGAGGAAGAAGAACAAAAACAAGGAGAAGATGAAGAATACAATTACAGCGACTTCGAATTCGACAAAGATGGCATTCAAAACGCTCATCTTTCTGATGAAAATCTTGAAGAAGAAGATGATGAAGATATGTACGGAGAAGAAGAAGACGGACTTGCTCCAGAAGGTGAAGAAGACGATGACGATACTCTTTCTGCAATTATTAAAGGAGAAGCCGGTGAAAATGACGATGCAAAATATATGTCATACAAAGACTTCTATGGCGATGAAGATCCAGATGCTTTGGATGCTGATAATCGCAAAGCCATGGAAGACGAAGAAGCAGAAGAAACAGGCGAGAAAGATGAAATTCAACAACAGATTTCTGAGATTGAGAAGCAAATGCTTGAACCTAAGCCATGGCACTTGATGGGTGAAGCTTCTGCAGGCGATCGTCCAAAGGATTCTTTGGCTGATATCGAAATTGACTTTGCCGTTTCGAATTCTTTGCCTCCTGACCCATTACCAGCCAAGGAACTCGAAGCCCTTCTTATTAGACGTATTGAAGCAATGAATTTCGACGATGTCGTAAGAAAACGTCGTCCAACACGAAATCCACAAGAACTTGAACAAATATCATCCGCCAAAAGCAAGAAATCACTTACCGAACTTTACGAGGAAGAACTTACTAAAACTCGTGAAGAATTTCAGAATGAAGGACCACAATTCACTCAACAACAAACAGAAGCCATCGAAATGTGGAAATCCCTCGAGCACGAACTCAACAGATTTACAGAAAAGCGATTTATGGCTAGAAGACCACCTACAAAGATCCAAATTACGAATAACAAGGACGCTGCTACTCTTGATGCCGAAAGTAGGCCAGAGGACACAAAGGCCCCGGAGGAGATCATGAAGCCGGTCAAGACAACCCGCGAAATGAAGGGAGAAGCGGAAGAAACCCACCAAGAAAGGCGTTCAGACAGAAGAATGTACAAGCAGCACTACAAGAAGAACCAGGAGAAGAGAGATGCAAAGAAAGGTGTCCTTTATTCACAATCTGGAAAAGATGGAGCGGAAGTCCAGGTAATGAACGAAGTAAAGAAGCTCCAGGAAGGAAAGTTGACTGGTATAGAAGTTTATGGTGCTGGACAGACAATCCCAGACGAGCAGAAGAAGAAAGAAGTCAAGAAGAATTATCTTCTTTAATTTGCTTATTTTTAAATAGAATATATATTACGAATAACTTAATATCACTTATGGTTTTTATATTTATATGATTTTTTAAATTTTACTCCAAAATTCTATAAAAATATTATTTCCACTCTGGAAATTTGATATAAAAATTATCTTTATCACCTTTAATCAATATGCAAACATTGTTTTATCATTCTTAATCAATATACAAGAAATTTTTGTCAATTTTGAATGATTGTGTATAAATTATAGATCGAAATCAAAACAAAGGTTCAAATAAAGTAAAATGGAATAGATTTCAGAATGATTTTTGCAAAAAAAAATTATTTCAGTAAGTGTCAAAAAATGCTAAAGGTGTTTTGAAAAAAATATTTTGATTCATCTCACTAAAATAGATAAATTCTTCGGCATATTTGGTAGTGAAAAATAATGGAAAATGAGATGATGAAGTTATCTTCCACCAAAAAAAAATAACCATCATACTCAATATTTTAAAAGGCCAGAGTCAATGTAATTATTGCATTACTATCACATTATTTGACAAAATTGAAATAAAAAAATTTGAATGTATTCAATTTCCATTTGTGATTTTTGAGAAGGTTTTTTTCCACTACATTTTTTTCGATGTCTAACATTGACTTCCAATATTATGGCAAGAATATATATACATATTCAAGAGATGCAGAGTTTATGCAGATGAGAACCGTTGAAGAAATGCGAAATATTATGAAAAACGCAAATTTACCAGTATCTCAATTTTCAGATGTATTTAGTAGGATTAAAAGGTATTTCACTGTAAAGGAAATATTTGAAATGCTACGGAACACAAATATCACTATAGGAAGTAATATTTCTGATACATTATCATTGATTAACTCTCTTTCAAACATTTTAGGTCTTAAAATGTTTTCTGACATGGAAAATTCTCTCAGATCATACATTAACTCCACGGAAAGAACATTATCAGAGCCAAAATTAATAAGCTCATTAAGGAAATGCAGCAGAATCAATAATGTAGATAATCTTAATAGAATTTATAAAATACTAACAGTTGCTGCAGAAGAAAGCGATAATGAAACAATTAAATATGCAATTAACAATGGATATACAGATGTTAAAGGTGATATCTATTATGAGTTCATAGGAACGAAATGGAGATTGCTTCAATCAAATGCATTGATAAAGGCTGCATATGAAGGGGATTTACAACTTGTAAAATGCCTTCAAAAGAACAGAGTAAATATGAGATATAGAACAACAGATGCTGAATCTATTCTCCATGCTTTTTGTTTGTCAGGAAATGCTGAAGGTGTGAAATATGCACTAAATTTCTTTAACATCAATGATGTAACTAATTGCAATGAAACTCCTTTATTTGCAGCTGTTTGGTCTATTCAATTAGATGTTCTTAAATATCTACTTGATCAATCAAATGTGGATATGAATATCACTGCAGAATCCGGATCTATAGCCGATATCGCATGTTTCAGAGCAAGACAACTCCAGAAACTTTCTTCAGTATTCATAAGAAGAGAATTAAGCTCATCCTCATTCATTTTCTTTGCAGGATTCTTAGCGCTATCACAATAACATATCTTTTTGAATTGAAATTTCATAAATCAAATTTTTTTCTCAAATTTTTCTGTGAATGAAAACTCATTCACATATGATTTCATTTTTAATATTCAATTGCTAACATAGTATTAAGTAGATATGGTTTCCAATCGCATCATTCATGGAGCGATTTCTTCAGAAACAAAGAAACTAAATTTAATAAATTTGTTCAAAAATGAACTTTCAGTGTTGAAAACAACAATTATATCAAGTGCTCCACCTTCAGAAACTGTAAGCAAGTTCCTATTTTAATTAATAATGCTGAATCCAATTTTAATAACTCTATTGAGTATTGTAAATTTATTCATAATAGCTATTTACTTCAGCCATCATCTGTTTTAATAATTTCGAATGGCGACATCATTCAAAATTACATTTACTCGACTAATAATTTTAATTCCAAGCATTGTCATTCACTAACTAATACTAAAAAGAAAAATATCATCAATTACGAATCTATTCATAATTGCAATGCATCTGATTCGATTGTTACGTTGTTTGGAAGTATTGAGAAAAATATGAGTAACTTAACATTAAATAATGCACGACAAATGTCCGTAGGATTTCTTGAAGGTGATTTAAGTGTCACAGATCATTTTATTGTTTTTCATAATGAGACTGAAACCGAAGCATTGTTTATTGACAAATCTAAGAATACAACACATTATAATATGATGCTACTTGGAGAAAACTTCAGTTTTGATGCATTAGAAAATAATTTTTATAATTGTGAATTTCCAGGCATTAATAGTTTGATATTTCGCAATGGAATATACAATTTTACTAATTCATGCATTTACGTGAACGAATTTATTGTTCATAATTATGTAACAATATACGTGAAAAATAAAAGTAATATTACTGCTAATTCTGTTAGTTTTGATGAATACGCAGATATCATTGGTGAAACAGAAGATTTAGATGAGGGCGATTTTATATGTGATGAAAATCCTTTTGCCAATGGAAATTTTGATCAAATAATTCAGTTTTTCCCATTAAACATTACTCCATACATTTATTCGAGCAGAAAAAGGTATTTTATTGTCTTGATGCAGCTTATTTCATCAAAAAGATAAATTCCAAATTATCATTACATTTTAATTTAAAAAAATTAACTAAAAATATTAAGCTTTATGTTTACATAATTATTAATCCTAATTTTCGATCAAAAATAAACTAATTTTTAAAATATTCTAATTTTATTTATTTAACAATAGCTTTAAATTGGTTTCTTTGTCCACCACCCTGAGGAACATCAAATGATCGATCCTCATCAGGAACAGTTGCATCAGCATCCAATCCGAGAGAATCATCAGTGTCCATCATCTGTCTGAGCCAGTCTTCTCTCTTCTCTTGAGTATCAAGAGACAATGGTGCAGAGTTTGGCCACCTCTCCATTGCGTTTACGACTGGTTCGTAAGAATAGCCTTGATCGACCAAGAACTGCTGTCTTTTGGCCGAGTAATAGATCTCTTCTGTGTCCTGAGATACCAATGTGTAGAAGAAAGCGTTGTATTCGTCTGTTCTTCCTGGTTTTGGCCTCAAAACTCTGCCAAGTCTTTGGCTTTCCTGCATTCTTGCTCCGAAGTGGGAGCAGAGCTGTATAAGAACGTTCGCTGATGGTAAGTCGATGGCTTTGTCACCAATTTTAGATAAAATAATCGTATTGACTTTCTTTGTTGTTTTGAACTTGTTGAATAGTTTTGTTCTTTCGTTGTTTGAAATTCCACCATGAAGATGTGGTCTGTCTAATCTTCTAGCAAGTTTTTCAATAATTTGAAGATAATCGCAGAAAACAAGAATCTTATCGCCTCTTGCTTCATGGTATTGTAGTAATGATTCGAGAACATCAATCTTGTTAGGGTTGGAAGCAGCTAATACTCTTCTTTTGATTGGATCTTTGTCCAAAGTCAAATATTTCTTGTAGAATTCCTGTGACATTGTAACAAGGATTTCGAAGCATTTGACGCGAGCTAAGTAGCCGCTTTCGGATAATTCGATCCAATTTGCTTCGTAAAGTTTTGGACCGACCAAGTACTTCAGATCGTCGATCTTTCCATCCTCTCTGACCATTGTAGCTGTAAGGCCCAATCTGGTGTGCGCTTTGACCATATCTGTAACATTTCGGAATTTTTCAGCGGCGGCTTCTTGAACTTCGTCCATAACCAAGATTCCCCAGTCTCTACCGGTAATTTGGTCGATGACTTTTTGGGATTCTGCTGATCTTCTCGCACTGCTTGTCAACATACCATAAGTAGTGACCAGAATGCATGGCTTATCAGGTAGTGCTTGCTTGTTTTCGGAGGTAAGGACTACGACGACACCGCCTGGAACGTTTGTCCAGAGATTAAATTGGTTGGCCCATTGTTTAACTGGTTCTACGGAGTTGCAGACGACAACAGCTGGTTTGTTGATAGTAGCAACTGCTGTGATACCAACAAGTGTCTTGCCAGCGCCGCAAGGAAGGACAATGATTCCAGATTTTGCACGGCCACCAGAGAACATCTTAGAAAGAGCTTTCTCTTGGTAAGGACGAATGTTTGTTTCTGTACGGAGCCGAATATTGAGGTTTTTGAGAGATTTGTCATTCATGAAGTCATATTCATCAGAAAGGAACAAGTTATTATCAACAGCGTGCTTCCTAACATCTCTGACTGTTTCTGGCTTAAGCTCAAAGCGATATATCTTCGGCTTTTCGACTTCAAAAATTTCATCGAATCCTTCTGTAAGTCTTTGAACGGAACCGTAGTATGCGGCCTGACCGACACCGGAAATGATAGTATCTGCTTCTTTTTCGTCGACAATCATGATCTTTGGGTACTTTGGATGAGTCATTACGCCAGAAGGTGGCGAAACGATCTTTTCTGCAAAGAATCTCTCCTTGATAAGCTCGCTGATTAATTTTTCTTCGATTGATTCAATGTAGTACTTTTGTTCCTTAAGAACAAGTTTTAATTTGCCAACTGCTTGGCAGCAATTAATGATGTGCTCTTTGAAAGTGTCTGTGAGTGCTGTTTTGCTGATTAAAGATAAAACATGGACAATTTTATCACCGGTTAAACCAATTGAAACAGCAGCGAAGAGTGAATAAGGGCTGATTTGATATTCTTGCATGTATTTTGGTCTGGAACATGGCTCGGCAATAGCAATGATAAAATCTACTGTTTTTGAGTAAAATGGTGAAAATGTTTCCAAGAAAATGTGGCCATCTGGGAAAACAATAGCTGGTCTGTTTTCTGAACCAGGAATGAATGTTAAATCATCGAATGATTTAGAAACTTCTGATCTGGCTGAAGTTTCTCCATTAAAATATTCGTTTGTGATGTTTTCTAATTTGATTTTGTTTTCACTTTTGCGTTTCCTGTTTTGACGTGAGTGACCAACATCAAGATTTTTCAAATTCTCATGATATTCTGCATCACTCATTAAAAGTAAAAAAAATTGAGAAAAAGTGACGCAAAATAGTGTTTACCATCAAACATGAAGCTTCAACAATAAAGATTTATATTATCTACTTGTTACTAAATCAAAATCCAAGAGCTAAATCAAGATTGATCAAGAAACAATTTTATCGAATATCAAGAAAACCAGCCAATATCCAATTCTTTGATGAGCATTCGCATAGTATAGTTTAAATCCTTATTGATAGTTACTGAAAAGCTACAAAATTTAATTAAATTTGCAACATCTCAAAAATTTACCATATAAACATATGATTTTAATTGATTTTCCTCGATTCTTATCATGTGAGTATGCATTATTCTAACAGATCAATTATGTGGAAATAATTGCTTTTATGGAGACTCAATTTTTTTTCCCAATTCAAAATTTTTTTAATTCTGAAACATGCAATCTGATCCTGCTTTTGATTGGAATTCTAAATGCGATAGAGCTATTGGATCAGGTGATCAAACTGCATTAACTCAACTCGATAAGTTTGCAGAAGATCAAGAATGTCTTCAAAAATCTATTGCTATTATGCATGGTAACCTCAGCCAGCGCGGCTGTGCGATGCTTATGACACAACTTAAGAAATACATATGCAAATATTGGCATTCTGAAGAAGAAATTTGCCAACAATTCAAAAACCTCATTCTTCAATTCATGTTCAGTAATTTAGAAAGAGACGAAGCTACATTGAATCAAATGGCATTAGTGGTTGTCGAAATTGCTGTTTTTGAGTGGCCAGAAAATTGGGAAGACTTTACACAAATAATTTCTCAACCAGAACAAGATATATTGCCTATGATGCAATCATTAAAGATAATTTCGATGTTAGCAGCAAAACTTAACGAGTGCAACGAAAATGTTGGTGTTACTGGACCTAGACTCTCAATTATGAATGCAGCTTTCTTAGAACAAGCAGATTCCGTCTTAAGCCTTTTACTTGCGGCTTTAGGAAAGAATTTCGATAACATGGAACAACTTATACCTTTATATCAAGCAGCTCTTCAGACATTAGATGCGATTTGCAGTCGTGTTGACTGTTCATACATTTTCAAATCGAATATACTTGTTGAAATTCTAAACAAATCAAAGCAACCAGGACTCGAATCATTATACCCTTCTGCAGTCAAAGTCATTGCAGAAGTCATCAGTACTGGATACATGGATGAAGATGAGACACCTCTGCTTATCGGAATCTTCCAAGAAATCGCTACATTCATTAGCGAAAACTTTACAGAAGAATTATACAATTTGCCATGGATAGAAGGTCTTCTTTGCATCACTATACCTCATATGTTCGAACAATATAGCGAGACTCTCGAAACTGCCGATAATCAGGAATATTTACGACCAGTCATTCACGTTATCGTTGGTCTGACACGAATTATCGCAGAAAAAGTTGCAGAAGGTGACGATAGCAGTCGCGAAACTTTCGAAAAGTGCGTTGACTTTTGGTATAAAACAACTCAACGAATGATGACTTATTTGAGGTCAACAGCAGAAGAAACAGCATACATGGTATACAGAGATTTTATTCCGGACCTTCTTGAAATCTTTATCCGATACATTGTTGAGCCAATTCAAGTAAATTTGAACGATGACAACAGTTTAGAGCTCGAAAGCCAAATGAAATGGGGAGACTTATACTCAATGATGAAACAGACAATCGGATACCTCGCAAGAATGGAGCCACGTTTAACAATTCAAATTTTGAATATGATTATGGAAGCTCTCAGCCACGATTTCGATGTTACATTATATCAGAAGTTATGCTGGGCCGGAGGAGCTGTTGTACAAGTCCTTAACGAGCAATCAGACAAAACTTTTGTAGATAATATGTATGTCCAAGTCGCACAAATATTTGAACCACTTAAAGACGTAATCAGGAGTAATGACTTCAAGGAAGAAGGCGAAGAAGCTATTGCTATCATTCAAACTTGCTGTGCTTACGCTTTCTTATGTTCTCAAGGCGAAAAATTCTATGTTTACGATAAAGCTTTGCTAGAAACTGTTGTACAGAACTTATTGGTCATGTTCGAAGCAAGATCTCCTAAGCTACAAATGGTGGCCATTGAATGTTTCTCAATCCTTTCAAATTCAAAGATAAAAAGCAGTTTCATTGAAAAGTCATCGGAGGGAAGTTCCCCGGCGGAATATTTAATAAACGCCTGTCAAGATTACATTCCAGCCTTACCTCCAAGCAGTGCCGCTACACTTGTTAGTGTTATATCACAGATGGCTAAGCACCTGTACTCAGAACAGACAGATACAATCACTCCAATTCTTCAAGTTGTATTACAGATTTTACAAGATGCGATCAAATCCCTTGATTTGCAAAATGACCAATCAATTATCAATCTCATGAATGCCTGCCAAATATCTTCAGCGGCATCTTCCCTTGGAAGCAACTTTTTCAACTCATTTAACCCATTAGCTTCCGAATTGTTCTCAATTTACCAGGCATCATGCCAATCCATCCTCGAGATCATCCAGATATCAGGACATTTAGAGACAGACCAAGAAGCACAGAGAAAATGCCGAATTTTCCAATCCCTACAAAAATCAACGAGCCAAATCATCTCCAGCATACTTTGCTTGTCTCCAACAGGCGAAGCAGCTAACGAAACAGTCATGCAGCCATTCATTGCCATGTGCGAGTTCTACGAACAATCAAACGACATCGTGAAATCCCCTTCATTTTTCGATGTCGCTTCTTCAATCGCGAGGAAGTTCCCCCAGCAGTTTCTCTCAATTTTTGAGACCTTTTACAATTCTGTTTATGGTCCAACGATAAACATGATATGTAATGATTATACATCTAATTATCACTTTAGATTACCATTGTTCAAGATGATGAGAACAATAATCAATGCATTACCTACATTGTTCATGAATATGCCATTTAACCAAAGTTGTGGCCTGATTGATAACATGATATCAATTGGATGCAATCATCCAACACACGAAGTAAGTGAAGTTGCACATGACATTGTTAGAGACATGATTTGTTTTGCGAGAACGAAATATTCGAAAGAATTTAGTCATGAATTTTGGATGAATTATTTGAGAGAGAAATTCATGGAAATAATAAGAATTGCAACAGATACAATTCATATGTTTTGTATCAATAAACAGGCAATGATTATTTCCGAAATCTTCAAATTTGATGAAGCAAAACAAGACATTGACTTTTTGTTTGAGCAATTATCATCAAATTTCACATCAGTTCCACCTGAAAATATGATGGATATTCTGCAAGGATTTGTTAATGATAAAACTGTTGATGCTTTGAATGATTTGTTGATATTGATGAGACATATATCAAGAATCAATGCATTGACAGCAGAAGCAAGAAAGGAAAGACTGGATATGATTAAGAAACAAGCAGATCAAGCTTTGGAGAATCAAAATTAATATTATATATTTATTTTGTTTATTTTCAAAAAAAGAAAAAAGTTTTTTTGAATTTATATATATATTTATAAACAATTCTAATATAAAAAAAGTAATGTGAATATTTTCTATGAAAAAATAAAAGAGTGAAATACCAACGCAAATAAAAAATTGTGGATTTTGAAAGGGCATTGAAATTTAGAGTTGTCTATTCAATTTAAAAAAAATTATATTTAATATTTCTCTATCAAGTAAATTTCCCAGACAATATATCCATTAAAGAAGTGTTAAAAAATTCAAATATTTATTGAGTTATTTGAAATTTTTAAATTTCAATCATATCATATTTACCATTCTTATATTTAATTTATATTAAATCATAAAATCTCCTAAGTTTATTCCTACTATCTAATTAATGTCCATTAAGGGAATATTTCTATCGCATGTCCATAAATACAAGTAAGTATTCCTATGTCAAATAAAATACTCTTTTTTATATTTTGAAGATCAAAAAATCTAATTGAAAACAAATCTATAAAATGAAGTATTTATAAACAAACAATAAATATAATACATAAAAATTTATGATTTTGGAGGAGTCAATATCTCTATAAACTCCTTTAGATTTGGATTTCCATTCAAAAGCGAAGCCATGAGCTTCTTATCCGAAATAGAGATCAATAAAACTAAGTGTGAAATCAGTTCTTTGTCGCCTTTTGCAGCAAACAAACTGTTCAAGCAAAACTGGCAAATTTCAAATTCCCAGCTTTCTGATGGAATAATCTTTCGAATTCTGTCAGTTGCAACAAGTAAAAAGTCAATAATCTTGTGATTTATCTCCTTTGGATGTTTTGTTCCAAAAATGAAATCAGCAATAGACAATCGAAGCAAATTCAAGCCTAAATAAACTGTCCTGTTTTCAATGACCGAAAATGCTAAAAACTCTAATCCGCCCTTATCGAAAAAGAAAAGAATTAATCGTGATAAATCTTCCATAGAATTCAATTGATAACCGCCATTGAAAATGATAAGTTTTCTGAGAATTCTAAATTTGACATCAATTTCCAATCTCAATCTGATTACATGCGAAATAATTCTGTCTATAATATTGACATCCAAAAGAGGAAACAGAATATCAAACAAACAAAACGTTTCTTCACAAATCTGATTTAAATAAAAAGATACAATTGTAAAAGCAATTTTTTGGATTCTTTCACGATTACTTATTTTAAGTAAACGACAAATTGCTAATTGTGAGAAACCATTTGACAGTGACATTGACAAAATATTCGAAAAAGTGTCTTCATTTTTATCATCTGTCAAATTTGACGATAAAACCGCCAAAAAACTTGCAATCGTCTTTTTAATTTTGTTTGTTTTGTAGATATCATTTGAAAAAGTCAAAGACGATTTGTAAAAGTTTGAACGATAAACAACCGCCAAAGTGAAGTCACTTATATCTTTTGAGATTTTGTTTTTTGCAGCCAAAAAGTTGAATAGTTCCAAATACGCCTGATTTACCTCGAAAACTTCCATTTCTCTAAGTAAAATCAAAAAGAATGGCCACTCTAAAGGTTCATCACGTTTTAACTTAAAGTAAATTTCGATGATACTTTTTGCATCTTCTGATAATTCATAAATGAATTTGACCTGTTTGCAAACATCTGTAATAAATGAATTAGAGAAATCAATGAATGTTTGGGCAATTTCTTTGACAGGTTTGTTCAGATTTTGCATCAGTTTTCCACTGATTTTTGTAAAATTGATTTTGTCAAATTTTTGAATCAAAATCAAATTTTGGACAATTGATTCTGTTGCGTTTTCCAAGTACTTATCATTGTTAGTAACTAAAAACAAATGGAAAGTTAAACAGAAGTTGCTTTCCCTCACGAATTTTTGGGAACTTTCGAAAACTGAGTTGAAAACCATCAAAAATTTGTCATAAAATCTATAAATCAATTTTGGATTTTTCATGTAACAAAAAACAAATTCTGAGAGCATTTTGATGGCGAAATTATGGCTTACGATGTCTTTGAGTTTTAGAACTTCCATTGACGAAGAAACAATCAGATCCAAAACAGCTTCATCTTCAATTTTTTCTTGGCAAATCAAAGTACAAATCATCATCATTGCTTTTATCAAATTATTTGAGGGACAAATTTTTCCTTCGAATTGAAAATTGAAAGGAACTTGACCATTTATAATTATTTGGTCTAAAAACTGTAAAAACAAATTAACATTCTTTGTTGATAAAAACAAATACCTTAAATGTTCAATTGTGTCTTCAGAACAGCCTTGTTGTATCAAATCAATCAAATAAACTAAATCTTTTGGAGATGATGTCAAAAATTTTGAATAGGACGATAGAAAAGTTCTGGGTCTTTCCAAACCATAACCTTTTCTGTCCAAAGGAGGTCTCTGATGTTTAGACATCAACCACAAACCTTTTGCCATTGAAAATGTCTTGTTGACAGGAAAACGACAAAAAACTTTTGCCAAATTTTGGCGGTTTACGTCATTTTCTGACAAAAGTTTATGGATACATTCTGCCAAGTAATTTATATTCTCGGGAACAAGCATTGCATCGGAGTACATGAATTGTTCGACGATAGAAACTGTTTGTTGTAAAAATTCGTCAGGAATTTGTTTGTTTTCTATCAAATGAAGCAAAGCAAATAAAACCAAAGGAGAAGGATCATTTATCAGCAATCTCTGGAGACAAAGCATGCATCTTATGCTTTCATTTCTTCTTGACTCCGGGAACTTCAACTCCGAAATTACAGCTGAAATAATTTGAGAGTTAATTTTTGGATTTTCAATGAATTCCATCAAAGCATCAAATTTTTCTTGATTCACATTTACGTAAGCAGCAATTGCGGCACCCAAAACTCTGATTGTTCTTGTATCCTTTGGATTGAAACTGAACAAAACTCTCAGAGCGTCATTCCTTATAAAAGTAACAATGTGTGGTCTCGTGACAATTGATCCGACCAATGTTAATCTGAGCATGAATAAAACTTGGTCCGGTTCTTGATATGTTGAAAACAATTGTGACAAAATTGTTTTTTTCAAAGGATTGGCGGATAATATCGACCAAGCACAGTAATCTTTAAGAACAACATTAACAAGTTCATCTCTCATTGGTGTTCTAACATCAGCAACTAACAAAGTATAGATTGTCTCCATTTTATCAGTGACAATCGATGAATAATGTTTTGGAAGATTTGTTTGATACAAATAATCACAAATATCAACTTCATCTGTTGATTGTCGCATTCCCCAATCGTATTTATTCTCTTCCGCACTAAAAAACCTTGCAAGGATTGTTGGTGTAGCGTTCATCATCGTTTGTGGTAACGAGATATGCCATGCTGGTTTGCATTTCGGAATTGATAACCATAAACTTAATAATGTTGGAGCGGAAAGAACTCCTGAGTTATGGGCAATGGAGATTGCGATCTGTTGGATAGTTGGATAGAGACTTGGCAATGTCTCTGAGTTGGATAAGATGATTTGCTTCATTAAAATTGATCCGAATTTCATTGGACTCATAATTTTTTCATCGTTTTCGCCAATTTTTTCTCCGGATTTAAACAAACGAGAAAGAGCACGAAAAGCAACTAATATCAATTGCATTGGTACATCAGATTGTGATCTCTTGAATGATGATGCAATTAGAAGTAACGCTGATGAAAATCTCTCATCTGTCGGTTCAACATTTTCATTCAGCCATTTTCTACAAATTTCGTAGATTTTTTGCATGGAATCATCATTTATAGAACTCGTCATGACCAAGATCGATATACCACGTAAAAATCCATTGATTTCGGATGGTTTCGCGTCTTCTTCTTGGATCCAATTCAAAAAGGAATCGACCAAAATTTGAGATGCTTTAGATTCTCTCCGACCAAGTATGACAAAGAAGGACAATATCATGCGGATGATATCTCTATCGGCTGTTGCAAGTAATGGATAGAATGTTTTGGCCGCTTTTGTGATAGTTTTTGTAGATGCTCGGAAATTTATCAAAGTATCAAGTGTCATCATGGTATGGATTGTAGAAAACCCTGCTTTCCTCGATTCTTCATACATATAGTGGCAAATTAATGGTTCATAAGTGTTTCCAATAACTGATGATATCGCTTTGAAAACTGTTCTAGAAAACGCACAGGAACGTACTATAGAGATACTAAATGGTACAATTGCAAGCGCAAATTTGACAAATAGACTGATTTTTTTGGATAATTCAAATGGTGGAATAAAACGAACCCAAATCATCATGGAATGACAGAGAACTGGTATGTTACGGTCAATTTGTGCATATTGGAGTATTGTATTGAAAAAGATTTTATAAATTTTTTTGGGATCGTTGATAGGAGTTCGAGAAGGGCCGATATATGGCTGTATTCCTGTATAATAAAGTATTTTGGCTAGTGTTTTTGCTAATGTATAACGTAATTTCCTTGATGGTAAAGAAAAAAACGAATCTATTGAATTTATCAACTGTTTGTATGTGTATTGATGTGTTTCTAGTATAATAGGAAGTGTTTTGACTGCTTCTATCTTAGTTTCGATATTCTGTGATGATAAACATGAAATTATAAAATCGTTGATGTCTTGATAGAGTGTTCTAAGCGCAGTTTTGGTATTTTTAAGAATTCGTCTAAAACATTGACATATATATGGATACTTGGTCGTATCATTAGAACGAATTAAAATTGGAATTGGGATTTGAAGTTGTTGTATAAAGGACGTTCCACCTCTTTTTGAGAATGATCCGAGAATTACTATAGCTTGTAATGTATTTTTCGCAATTTCATCTTGTAAAGGTAAAGTTACTTTCCAAAATTCTGGATTTTCGCGAGTTTTATAGCATATTGACATCAAAATCCCAGTAAAATTTGCGTTTGTAATACTAAGATCCTTTAAAATTGTTGTCATTATCAATACAAGCAATGGTTCTAAATCGACATTGTTTATAGGAGTTGTTGCTGATAAATCTATTATATTCTGTAGCATCTTACCAAGTATAAGATTTGTATTTTGCAGATGCCCCGTCTTCAAAAGGTTTTGAAGATCGGTAACAAGAGGCTCCATACAAAATCTTCACAAACTAAAATTCACTCGATGGCCACATCAACAAAAGAGTGGAGACCATTAGTACATTGATACTATTTGTCTATAGAAAAGATTAGATCTTGAATATTGCAACCAATATAAATGGAAATTAATTTGAAGAAGATTTATCATACTCGTTGCTATATGTTAATATGTGTTTTTTGTGTACATACTTATGTAAGTCATTATCTGAATAACATAACGTTCAGATGATTCTCTTGAAACGAGATATCTTGCAAATATGTTAAGAAGTTATTAGAATTCCCTTGAATAGAAAATCTAATACATCTTATATGGAATGTTTAAAGTTATGCTTAAATAGATTGAAATATTTTTGAAAAAAATTATATATTTTTGCTTTTATTCAGATAAAGCCGTATTATTATTGCGTTAAGCATATTGTTTACTGTCCTAACATAACTATCATGTTTTTCATGAGATTAAATTTGGCCATTTGCAGAAAGAACTTGAGCTAAGTGGAGAGCTGTTAAACTCTTTGTATCTGCTGTATATTTCCAAACATCGCTGTATTTCACGATTTTGAGAACGATTTGCTCATGAGCATCTTCTCCTCCTAATTTCTCATTGAGAGCAAGGATCTTTTCGTGAGGCATTGTTGTTCTCCAGAGGAACAATCTCAAGAACTCATCAAGAAGTCCAGGAGAAGTGTAAACACCTGGGAATGAATCGCCATAAGCTTTTTGCGTTAAATCAATAAGATCAGATTCCTTGGCGACTAAATTGCATTCCTCTTCTAACTCTTTAATTGCTACTCCTTTCAAGTTACCGGATCCATCAATCATTCCTGCTGGGATTTCAAGTAAGATTTTGCCTGTAGGTACACGTGGCTGTGATGTTAAGACAGAGTATTTCTCACCTGTTTGCTCATCAGTGATTTCGAGTAACATTCCAACAGCTCCACCACGAAGCATGCAAATTCCTGGTATTTTGATACCATTTCTTTCTGTATGGGTAGAAATCTTAACAAATCCGACACGTCCATTTCCGAATTTGTCAACAGATTGGACTTCAACTTTCTTGAGATCTAATGATGGATCTAAACTATTTGTCCAGTTCTTAACGAGATCTGTCATCAATGCAACTTCAATATCTGGTGTTGTTGCAGCTGTTACTGGGATTGTATTTCCGCGAAATTGAAGACTCATTTAAGTGAAAAAGGTGACAAGGTGCAAGCAAGTAATGAATGTCAAATTCTGTTTTCTTTATAGAAAATTGATATTTAACAGCTGTCAAATTCAAATTACGTCTATTGGTTAATTTCGATCAAATCTAATTTTAATTCTCGGAAAACCTGGCTTTGAATGGACAAAAACAAGATGGATTTATTAAAATTGCTCTAAGTATTCAAAATATTTGCTCAGAATGTTCCAATATAGCACAAATCAATATAAAAATCGGAGTGAAAAGTTAAAATCTAAATCCTCACAATTTTCGGGGGTTTTGACGGTTGTATGTTTTATTGTGGAAGATTTTAAATGAAATCTAATTACATCGATGATGACAACAAGGAAGCACGCTACTTTCCGACGGAAACAGAGATGCCCATCCTTGTTAACTACTTGCAAATGTACTTTTCTCATCCTGAGCGGTCGTTACAACGTTCTCGGGTTGTGCAAAGTGTTGTTTCCGTTTTGAATCCAACAAACAAGCACTGGTCTCATCGTACAGTTCGTCTATGGTTTAATAACAATAAAAGAGTATTTTATCATCCTACAATGCTAGCAAACGCAGTACAACAGCAACCAGAAAGAAAAGAAACACCACAACAACCAGTACAACCAAAGAAAGTCATTCCACAGCAGCCTCCAAGATCTCTTTCAGTTGCACAATTTCCGCCAAGATTTGATCACACAAACAGAATATTTGACGAAAGAAATCAAGTTATTCCGAAGATACAACCTCCTCCAATACCATTACCAACTCAACAAATGATGATTCAGCCTCAATCTTCAATGCCTCCGCCAAATTCTTTACCAAACATGATTTTTCATGAAAGAGAAACCATCATGACATTAGCAGATGATAACCCATCAGCACAACTAGAATCAGCCTCTCACATTACTAAAAAACTCATAAAAATGAATGATCAGCATTACGACGAATTTGTTTCAGCGCAAGGAATGAAATTACATGCAATTACAGATCAGCAATCGATGCCAACTATGCTTGATCAATCAGATACTTCTTCTCTTCTCAAAAAAACCGAAATTGTCGAGCAATATCCTTTTATCGAAGCAGGACTCTTCATTGCAAACAAACCAGCTATTATTACATACAATGACGATGATGGTAGCCAAATATTATACTACAAAGGCTCAAAAACCCCTGTTTTATTCAATTCCGCTGTATCATCTATTACATTTGACGAAGAAAGCCAAGAAATCTATATCTATTCAAGCGGAATGATGCGTTCTTTTCAAGAAGAAGACATAACCTCTACAAAATGCTTCGATACCGGCTTCCACAGTTCATTTTCATCATGTATGTGCTTTTGGGACCATTCTTTAGCACTTGCTGTTGGCTCTTGTGTTGTATTTTGGTCAAAAGAATCATTGCAAACAGAAGGGAAGCCACAATTTACAGCAATGTTTGATTTTATTTTACCAAAGATATCATCTTTGATAACATGCAAAGATTATCTTATTTGTGGCTCTACCGAACATCATACTCCTCATATCCTTGCTTCAAATGGTACAATTGTGGCTAGATCTATAGGACATGTTGGAGGAATTACAAGTCTTGCTTGTTATGACCAAAATTGCTTCCTTTCTGGTTCAGCAGATCAGACAGTAAGACTTTGGGACCTAAGAACTAATACAACTGCGCACACTTTCTGCAGACATAATGGAATTGTCACGGCATTGGCCGGAAGAGAGAACAGAGTTGTATCTGGAGGAACAGATGGCATTGTAAAGGTTTGGGACCTTAGAATGACCAACAAAACTTATCTTTCTTGCTCAATTGGAAATACGGCTCCTCTTGAGGTTGTAAATAACGAAACGAATATATTAGCAATCACAAGTGAGAAGGTATTCGACCAATATTACGACTTAGAGAAATACGGTGCTTCTAATGCGGATTTATCTCCTGACTCTTTTATTAATATCAATGTTTAATATGTTTTATTTTCGAATAAAGATATGAATTTGTTTTTACGAGATATATGTATATTTGAAAGAGGATCTAGATGATTTTTTTTTTCTCAACAGTCAATTTTTTGTATCAAAACCTTATTTTTCTTACTGTTATCTAAATAATACATCTTATACATAATACTTCAACGTTCCTCCGATATTGTGGGAAGTCAAATATTTAATATCAAGAAAAACTTGTATGAAATTCTCCATTGTACATATACATCAGGCAAAGCCCCAGAAAAATTTGAGATAAATGCGTGATGTCGAACTCTTTAAGGGTCCACGGTCGGGCCAAGCGAAATCTAACGTTAATGTTCAAAATTTATATGGCAAGGCCCATATCTATTTATATATTCTGATTTAATATCATATTTTAATGCTATTTTTAATATAATTTTTGGATTTCGTTAACCAGGAAGCTCCGAAAAATCGATTCAAGGTGAAGACGATAACGATAATTCTCATTTTAGCATTCAATTTTTGAATATTATTGAAAATGTACCGTGGACCCTTAAATTGTTTTAGTATCATGATTTCATATATAGAAAAAAGGGGATAATAAAAAATATTATGGGTTAATTGAGAGCCATGAATCTAATAAATATTATGTTCCATAAATATTTTATTGCCGAACAACATTTGAGGGGAAAAAATAATCGAATTCAAAGATCGTGTAACTATGTTATATATTGTTAATAAATGCTTTAGAATACTGTAAAAATATTTCAATATACATTTTATCGTCTTTTCGGATTTCCAGATTTAACCAGCAAATCCCTTTAATTTGTTATTACAAGGTATGCCAATTTTGGACTTTTTCTGGGGAAAATGAGACTTATAAAAAAAATCTAAACTGACGGACCAATTATGATTTCTGTTAATGTCAATTTTATAATACATTCTAACTTCTTCTGATGTATTCCGAAAAAAATAAAAGTTTTTGTGAATTTTTTTGTGAAAAAAGAGCGAACATTGAAATTTCTGGCCATGTAAAAATAACATTACTTATATTGTGATAATATATTCAATAAAAGCAATAAAAACTGTTAAATTTTGTCATAAAATTAATAAAAAACTTTAGATCATATAATTTAACAATAGTAAACCAGTTAGAAATTGCTTTTTCAATACAATTTTCAATTTATATTAAAGAATGTTGAAAAACCAAAGACTAGTTTTAAAAACCAAAGACTAATTTGAGAACTAATCTCTCAAAAAGCCACATCCTTTTGAATTTTTTGAGTTCCCTTCATAATTTGAGAGCTTGATCCAGGGTTGATGCCTCAATTGAAAATTAAAAAACGGCCATTTTTCTTCATTAATTAAAACATTTAAAAATATAATATTATGTAATATTTTTTCTCATATAATATAGTTCGTTTAGAATACTCGAAAAAGTAAACGATTTTATTCTGCATCGATTGAGAACATCATGCTGACACACCCTGTATGCTCTCCTAATCTGCTCTCAAGATAACTAGTCTTGAGCAACCAGAAAACACGATTTCTACTTATACAAGCCTGAATTTCATTTCAAAATGTAATTTTAGGCCTGCAATAGGTGAAATCATGGGAGATGTTCAAACCATTACAGGTTGTCTTCATTCATTCTCAATAAATGAATGGAGTTTACGATTATTTTTGCGAATAATCTGCAATTCTTCTGAGTAATTGCAGAATTTCGCCAAAAATTATTGATTCAAACATTCCTTTACTATACAAAACATCATATACTTAGATGATTATTCATTAGATATGCTTTTATTCAAAATTTCTCAAAATGTGAAAACTCAAAAGAGGAGTTAAATAAACATTACCTTATTATTAATTATGATAATATATTTTACTACTATAAGCAAATACCATATTATCTCTCTTGGCTTTCCAAAAGTCATATTTCAATGCCGTTTAAAAATATTTTTTCTGAGTTTTTTAATCATTGATTATCGATTTTAACACAAAATTTGTTATGATTCTTTGCAATAAATATTCTTGTTTAAAATGATTTAAAATCTTATGTTATATCTATTTTGATCAATTTATATTGCATTCGCATTGGCTTTCAGAGGGTCCTCAATCTGGTCTTTGGTTTTTGAGAGAAGTCTTTGGTTTTTCAACACACTTTATGTATAAATTCAAAAACCAAGCAATTCAAATTAGCTATTCAGAATTGTAAACGGAAAATTTTAATAATTTTTAATTGCTTCATTGATAATGGAACTACCCTCAGGGAATAAGCGCCGTTCTCATTCAGTAACACGTTCTGGTGAGGCATCTAAACGTAAAGCTGCAAGAGCTTTGGTGATCAACGATTGTATTTCTTCAAATAATATGATAGAAAACATTTATAAACCAATAACAGAAAAAGAAGTAACCAATAAAGAAACAGATCCTCTGAATAACCCTCCTGATGTTCACTATCCTCGAGGAATTGATGAATTATGTCCGAGCAAAATGACAGAAGAATATGCACTAAGTCATCAAGGATTACCTTTCATATTCTTTTTATACCAACTCTATCTACATGATAGTGAGCAGGATCTCTTAGATCTATGCAATCAAAATCTGCTAGAATTTGGCATGATGCTAGCATGCAAATTTCCTAGTCCATGTAACGCTTCTACCGTATTTGCTCTTGTTAACAAAGAACTCAAAAACATAGGCGCCTTTATGGCTGAGTATTGCCAAGTAAATGCAGAACCATTTATTTATGATTCGGCAATTTACCTCGCACCAGATTTTGAGCACAAAGTAACGAATTATCATTTGCTAAATTGCGGAGCAAATGCTTTATTCTATGCGATTTGTATGGATGAACCGAGTTTCAAAGATGAACAGAAATTATTACTTCTTCATCGCCAGATAACTTAAGTTCCAAAGACATCAATTCAATTAAGAATGATGTTGAATCTCTTAAGAAATCATTCAACCATATTAATGCAAGGCTTGATGCAGTGGATGGAAAACTCGATTCCATAGATGCAAAACTCGATTCCATAGATGCAAAACTCGATTCCATAGATGCAAAACTCGATGCCCTAGATGCAAAACTCGATGACTTTGGGAAAAATCACGATGCAAAACTCGATGACTTTGGGAAAAATCTCGATGCAAAACTCGATGACTTTGCGAAAAAACTCAATGACTTTGCGAAAAAATTCGATGATAAATTCAATGAGCTTAAAGAACTCATTAGAGCAAACTAAAATGATAAGATTGGAGTCATTCTTTCTCCTCCAATCTCGTCGCAGAAATGAAAATGATCCTAAATTAACGAACTGAATAATTGAGCAAGTTTTCGGAGTAAATCCAACAAAGACTACATTATTCTTATATCTACTTTGATATTTTTAAACTTATTTATTCATTTTGTTAGATGAAGCTAATGATTTATTATAGATAACTCATATAAGTTCTAATAATTAGAAGTCATTCAATGTACACTTGAAATTTATTTCAGCTAAATTCTTCAACTTCAAAAAGATTTTTCCTTCATCTATCGGCGCTGAAATAACTCAAATCAATATCTATGATCGCATCGAAATCAAATTACTAAATAAAACTATTAGATTTTCAAATATATTACAATTTTTTGTTATAGCTTAGACCTATTCTTCATTTGTGAACCAAACTTCAGCTCCAATTTTGTCAATTATCACGCCAATCTAATGCCTTACCGAAGTGTATTCATTTCATTTGAAAAATCTCTAAAATCTCAAATTGTTCTCTAAATTACTTCGATTTAGCTAAAAGTCTATCTTAAATTTTACATAATAATCTTTAAAATATAATATTAATCACTCACAATTAAATTTATTTGTATAAACTCATTTCCTATAATCATAATATGTTTATTTTGCCGAAATTGGCTAGGCTTGCCCGAAGGGCAAGCCTAGCCAACTGAGTCCCGAAATTATATTATATCAAATTTGATTTCTTACCTAAAGAATTGTTGCATGTTTATACATTCACGCTACAGATTATTACACTTTATTTAATTCATTCTGACAAAAAGCTTCATGACATGCTTGTATAAAAAAACAATTTATGTTTGGAATTTACAACAAAATTTCACTACTTGATATATGTTGAAAATTCGATGATGTTATTATAAAAATAAATAGAGTTATGTAAGAAATCATTACAAATTTAGAATAAACAAAGAAATATACAATTAAAAAATTAACCTTAGGTTTGTTTGTGTTTTTGACTTTGCAACCTTTTCATTCTTCTCCAAGAGCATTCTTAGCTGTTCTTGTCTTGTCATTTCTCTGGAAGATTTAGGTTCCTCGCCTGAACTTGGCTTCACAGCATCAAGATTCAGGTTAGGAGGTTGTACTTGTGGTTCTTGTATTATAACTTTCTCTGCTGGTGCTGGTGACCTTGATGTAAACTTTCTTTCGATACAAGAAGCTCTAGGCTGAATATTTTCTGGTCTGAATGGGCTAGTTGTAAGGCTAGTAGCTGATTTACATACAGGGTTATTTTCTTTTGCGATTGAAATCGGAGCTCTTTTATCATTTGGACTTTGAGCTGGTTTGCGCGTTGTTTCTGTATTCTGGGACATTGGCTGCATTTGACGTGGTGAACTGTTCGGATTTGGATTCTCGATACTGACGTTTTTTCCTATCCTTGAAAATTTCGGAGTAGTTTTGGCATTTTCTGCATCGGGGATATCTCCATTATCATTGTGATGTAAGTTCGATGATGGAAGCCATTTCGAGTAGGACTTTATTAAGTTGATATTATCTTGACGACATAAAATTTTGTATTCCACTGACTCGCGTGTTGAATTAAAGTTCTTAACATATATTTCAAGATTTTGGGAGTCTAGCGGGTTAATCATCTTTGAAACAACATTTTCACGGATTGGTAATCTTGAAATATTTGCTAATTTTGGAAGATCTGCAATACCTCCATATTTCCTAATCCATGGATGAGACCAGATTTCATGCAACGACAATCTTTGGGAAGGAGTCTTCTTTAATAGCTTCATTATTAAATCTTTGAGCTCCGGGCTTACATTAGAATTGAATTTTGGTTCCGTGTAAACGATTTTTTGCATTAATCTTTGAATGTTGTCGTCAACAAATGGCAAATTTCCAGTGGTAATTCCGTAAAGAAAAACGCCTGCGCTCCATACATCTGAGAGATGAGTAAATGGCTGATTCTTTAAGACTTCTGGGGGTGCATATGCCGGAGATCCGCATGGTCCGTTGATTACGGGTATTTTATTCGACATTATATGGGAAAATCCAAAATCAATCAATCGGATATTGTGATTTTCATCAATTAGAACATTTTCAGCTTTAAGATCTCTGTGAGCAATTCGGCATCGAGAATTGAGGTATTCTAATGTTTGAACTAACTGGCAAAAGTAATGTCTTGCTTCATCTTCTGTAAGCTTTCCAAATTTATTGATATATGACAAAATGCTGCCACCCTCTACAAACTCTAATGCGACAACAAAGTATTCCTTGTCGAAGAAAGCTTCGTAAAATTCAACAACCAAAGGATAGTCTATAAGTTTAAAAACATTAATTTCATTTTCTACCATTGCTCGCTGCATCGGTTCTTGTAGCGATGATGCTAAGACGACTTTTAAGGCAACTTTGATGCCAGTATCATTATGAACGGCTTGGTATACACTGGAGAATGCTCCGCGGCCTGTTAATTTCAAAATTGTGTAGTTTCCTAAGGTCATCCCACTCTGAATTTGCTGCATTTTTTATTTCTGAAAATAACTTTATCAAAATCAGAAATTTTGATGAAAGTTGATATATTTTAAATATATTGTTTACACTGAATATAAGACAATAACTTCTGTAAAAAAACGTTATTTCATAAAGAAAATTTTCATTATTACGCAATGAATATCCATTTTAAATCGATGATTTAGAAAGATTGTATTGAATTGATACGAGTTATAATTTTTTTCTTTTATTTCAAAAATTCAAAAACTTTTGTAATCCACGTAAAATAAATTGAATGCTTTATGGCCATTCAATTTTTATTGTCAAGCTCAAAACGTCTCGGGCGAAATAAAAAATATAAATGTCTGGCTAATGAGACACATGTTACCCATTAAATTTTTCTGATCGTTTATTTTATCTGAAATACCGAAAGCAGAATAAAATTTGAAGTCTGTAAGAAGAAATTCATTGCAGAAATGAAATTGGATATGTGTAAACTCGTGAGATAGTGACATCTCTCGTTTTGATCTCTTCCATTTTCTTCTGGCGGGAAATTAAAATTTATATATATAGTGTGTTTCAATAAATTACGTCTTTTGTACACTATTTATATTTTTATATCCAATATGGCTTCTTTGGTTAGATTTTGCCTCTTGAATAGACGATTATTTCTGCTGAATAAAGGTTGTCGCACACTTTTCAATTTTGCTAATAATCATATACTTACCACCTACTGTAAAACTTATATACATGGAAACACCGAATTTTATCGAGGAAAATTTAGATATTTTATTATTCAAATTTTATTTTTTTAGTTTATATGAAATAGATATTCATTTTATCAATGTGTTTGATGCGTTTTATTAAATTCTGGATTGCTATAGGAGTGAGAAAGATTCAAGTGATTTTATTGATGTTTAGATTCTCTTACTCTAACATATAATAAGATAATTAAGCATATTGAGGTAATAGAGTCCCATATGTGTAACTATACTAAAATTTAATTATTTAAAAGTTCGAATGTGCTTTATCCATATCATCCGAGGAAACCGAGATGGATTCTCCTGAATCTTGTATTGCTCCATTCTCGCTAAAAACAACATCATCCGAGATAATATTTCATTACCTTCTGGAACAAAAAAAAATGAAAAAGCAAGTATTTCTTCGAAATGTTGATAAAGAACCAAAAATAGATCAAATAAAGAACATAATGCATAATATAGCTTTAAACCTATGATATTAAATCTAAATTCATTTGCTCAATTTTGTAAAAAACTGTTTTAAATCAAAAATTATTGATCTTTATTTTTTTTCCCGACATAAAGTTTCTCTCAAAAATCTGATTGAAAAGAAACCGTGATACCTCTCAACAGTAAAATTTATCACTACTCGGTGATATTCTAGCCAAAATTCTAATAGATACAAATAATACCATATTTTATTCATAAAAAAAATGATATTCAAATAATATTTCATAATTCATATGGGGAAAAAAGTGCAAACATAACCTAGTGATGTAAACATAAATAACCCATAACCTTGAAATATGAAAAATACTGTCCCCATCAACATATAATCAGGGGATATAGTTATTGAAAAATACAAATTACACTTTTCATAATTATAAGATCATTCTATTGATATATTCCTAGTGCTCAATTCATGGAACATCTTATACAGATTATAAAATCAATAAAATTTTATAATTTTATTTAAACGCGAAAAACAATGATTAATGCATGCTGGATAAATCACCTAATTGAGTAAACGTCTTTTGCTTATAAGTGGTCAGGATAACTTCGTTACATTGTCGTGGCTACTTGATTTTTGAATAAAAAAAGTTGATTTGAATGCACGTTTACAAATTTTCATTATGAGTGATATTCGGCTAGGCGATGCTGACGAGGTATCTGCTCTTGTCATTTCTGAGAACAAAGAAAAGGTAGAGGAGCAGAAACCTTTAGTTAATGTTGATGATATCGTTCAAGATTCGACAATTATGATCGAAATGGCCCAAAGGCTTGCGAAAAACTACGAAGATGTTGAAGCGGCAGGTACACTTATCGAACTTGTTGCTCCTTATATTGAATTTCCACAACTTCTCGATTCAACTTTAAATAAATTAATGTCTTGCTTAACAAAAGCATGCATTGAGTCACTTGGAAAGAATGTTCCAAATATGATATACATGTGCATCTACAATTTATCAAATATTCGTGGTTTCAGAGAAATTCTTCCTCTCTTTCCTAACCAAGTAGAGCTTTTTGAACCAGTTACAAAAGTATTTTGCCAAGATATCCAATCATGGGAAGTCAAATTCGTACTTTGCTTATGGCTTTCTCAGCTTTCTTTAGTTCCTTTCGATATTGCAACAATTGGATCTACATTAGCTGATGATTTACTTGAGTGGGCAACTAAACTCCTTAGCTCCCCAACGAAAGCATCAGAATCTTCAGCATTTTTCCTTTCAAGACTTTTCCAACGAAAAGATATGGTTGAAAAGCGTGCAAACTTCATCAAACAAGCCTGTTCACATATTACAGATAAATCAGAGCGCTTAGTTACTAATTATCTCAGAACCCTTTTCTACATTTTTAATAATCAAGATTATAACTTAGTTCAGCAATTCGGAAATACCATGTATGACACATTAAGCATTCTCTCTGAATCACCATCAGCTCATCAGAGACTTTTCCAAATTAAAATCATCCAAAAAGTCGGTTTGGCTTTTCTTCCACCTCGTGTTGCCAAATGGAGATACCAACGTGGCTCCAGAACACTTAATCTCGACGGAAACCAGGCCAAACAATCGAATGGCCCAACAGAATCCGCATCAGATGCTCTTTACAAGAACGAAGACGATTTCTATGTAGATGAAATTGTCGAGAAAATTCTTGCCCTCTTATTTGATGCCTTGGAAAGCCACTTAACCGTTGTAAGATGGTCCGCATCAAAAGGTATTGCAAGAATTGTCGAACGCCTTCCATATGATGACGCCAGCCAAACAGTAGATTACTTATTTAAGTTATTTGAGCTTACAGATAACGACAATCTTATCCACGGAGCTTGTTTAACATTAGCCCAATTTACATTACGCGGAATCATCCTTCCATCTAACTTACCACGCGTTATTTCAGTAGTTATGAACTCCCTCATCTCCGATATCCCTCATGGCAACCATACTGTCGCTGAATCTGTTCGAGATGCCGGTTGTTTCATTTGCTGGGCCTTGGCGAGGTCATACGATGGTCCAACATTAGAACCATATGCATTGACATTAGCACAGCAACTTGTCAATGTTTTCCTCTTCGACAGATGTGTAAATATCCGAAGATCTGCATCCGCGGCCTTCCAAGAGAACGTTGGAAGACATGGTCGTTTCCCACATGGCCTAGAACTCATCCACATTGCAGATTTCGTCACTGTTTCCTCAAAGGCTGGCTGTTATTCAAGAATTACTCGTTTCGTGGCCCAATTCCCTGAATATTCAGAATCAATGGCCAAATATCTTGTCAATGACAGATTGACGCATTGGGACCAAGAAGTCAGAGAACTCGCATCAGGAGCCATTCAAATGCTTGCTTTAGAGTTCCCACACGTAATAACAATCAATCTTGTTGACGAGATCTGTATCCACTGCATGAGCATTGATGTAGACATCAGACACGGCGGCCTTGAATGTCTCGGAAGACTTTTAAAGGTAAGAGATGTTGAAGAAGAATGTTTAAAAGATTTGTTGAAATTAGATTCGAATTATCAAATTGACAATGTCAAATGTTCTTTCATAAGAATGCTCGCGGCTGCAGTTAAAAGAGGACACAAAGTTGATGATTACGCAGAACAAATGAAACAATGGATGACGGAAGGAACAAATGAAGTACAAAATGCTGTCGTTGATTCATTAAATTACTTAAATGAAGGTGAAGGAAATAATGTTTTAGATGACAATTTCTTTGATACAATGTTGAATGATTTGAAGTCTCCTGGTGTTGCAGCAGCATTAAGTTCATTCCCAAGCGAATTCGCTAAGAAGAAGATCAATGTAATAATAGATTCAATTAAAAAGATCTTTTCCGAAAAGGAATCAATTACAGACACGAAAAAGAATATCATGGAAAGTTTAGTTTATATTTCTCAATTTTGCAATGATGACAATTTGATTGAAATTCTCAAACTTGGATTAAATGACAGGACAACAACAAAGAAAGGTGATGAAGGATCATTAGTAAGAGGTCCTGCTTTGAAGACTTTGGATGCTTTGATTGCAAAACGAAATATTGGAAAAGAATTAGTTATTGATGTTTTGAAATTATGTTTAGACAAAATTACAGGAATAAGAGAATACGCTGTTAAGATATTACTTAAGATTGCTTATTATACTGAAGATTTACCAAACAGAGAAAGTGTTTTGAGACTCCTTAAATCTCAAAACAAAGCAAATGTTCCTGATGCAGATAAATTGCCACTTTTAGAAGATGTTTTGAAGATTTTGAACAAGGATCAAACAGCTCCTAAATGGCTTGAAGTCATGAGACTTGCTGAAGTACAGAATATATCTATAGAGCACTTCAACCAATTGATTGTTGTTCCGGATTACGCAGAAACTGTTGTTGAAGGATTGATTTCTTGCAGTGGAGCTTTTGCACCTGATTTATCTAAAAGAAGTAGAAATTCATTGTTGTCTTTCATGAGAAAGAAAGGCACTGATAACGCAAAACTTGTTTCTTCTATTATAATTCAATTGTACACAAAACAATGGGGAATTGTTAACTTCCAGAACTCTTTGTTCGCTTTCTTACCTTTGCTTTTGGGAAGTGGTGTTTTATCAGGCGAAAACTTGGCAGATTTCGCTGATAAGTTTTTGTCAGTTACAGAACAAAAATATTTCAATAAGAAGACACCACAAAAACTTTTGAGAATCACAAGAGTTCTTGGTTCATTGGCTGCTGTTTGCGATGGAAATGAAATGAAGAGAGCTTTCGCTTTGTTGGCTCCTTTATTCGTTTGCGAATACGCAAATGTAAGAGATTCTTCCGCAAATGAATTGTATTCGAATTTGAAGGCAAGATCTGTTTCAAGTAACCCATTGCCTTTCAGTTTCGAAGAGGCAGAAGCAGTTTTAACAAAGACACAATGGAGAGAAGTAGTAAGTCAGGAAGCAATCAATAAACTTTGCGGACTTTACGGAGTTGACGCTCCTGTTGTAACAGAAACTGATGAACAGAATGCAACAACAACAAAGAAGGAATCCTACAATTATGGATTACTCGCAAAGTCAATGTATTAATTTGATCTAAAAATATTTATAATATTTTTGACTTCTTATATAAATGAGAAAACATTTTTTAAATCGTGGTTTGCAATGGAAAATACTATTTAAAGGGATAGTTGGCAATTACTTGTTAATCTTTAAATTTTGTCTAAATCTGATTTCATATGAAGTTTCGATATCAATTTATCAGACATAAGATAATCTTAATTAGTTGTAATCAAGTTTCCGCTTCCAATGATAGCATTCTTTGAACATTGGAATAATTTCGAAATCAAGTATCAACTATCATAGATGAATATACACATTTTAAATATGATTCATTAAAATATGGTTTCGGAGGAATATGTCAGCTTGGAACATCACCACTATGTCGCAAGAATAAAATATCATTGTTCTCTTGCGAATTGGTACGCATTGGATATGATTATGATGTGGAAAGCTTACATATTGCTCACAAACCATATTTTATTGCTAAATATCAATTAAAAATTAAATGATTTATTTTATTAATATAAAATTAATACTAAATCTTAAAGAATAGAAAATCACGCATAACATAGCCTTATTTCTTAGCTTTCATCTGCTTCCAGCCTTCAGTGTTCGTTCCGGTAACAATATGAGGGCCAGGAACCATCCAAGATTCGTCTTTTGTGACTTTCCAGATGATATCAATGACAGATGGCTGAGAAAGTTGGCCAGCATGGCTAAATTTTTCATCATTAATTTGTAAATCGTGGCAAACAAGTGGATGACCATCATCCCAGTTCTTGCATGGATAGTATAATGATTCAGCAGATAATGTGTCATCTCCATTAGTGTAAATTACTTCAGGAACTGACCAATTTCCTGCTGCTGAGTAATTAAGTCCGTAAATTGTCTTTAGCACTGAGTTGAAGAGAATGTAAGTTGGAACACCAGTCGGCTCAATCTTATTTAAGATGACTTTCTTCTGAGCAAGAAGTAGAGTTTGTAAATTGTCTCCAGTTGCCTTTCCTTGGTCAATCATAAGTTGTGGAATGTCTTGTGCGTAATACTTGTGACCATCTGGACCAATGATGACTGGATCGGTGTTACTTGGAGCGTTGTGAAGATGAGCCCAAATTGTTGGAATAGAGAAAACCATATCGCGGAAGTTTTGGGTGTTAAATATTGATGGAATGAATCCAATATTTTGTAACCATAGAACAGAAAGTGCTTCGCCAGATCCACCATATGATGGACCATGAAGTAAAACTTGACGTATGTATTTGTCCTTCCAGTCTTGTGGTACAAATCGGCAGAACTTCTGAATGGTATTGCCGCCTCCCGAAATTCCGTACAAAGCAACTTTATTGTTTCCGGTCTGAGCATAAACTTTTTCAACGAGAGCTTTGAGCTCTGCTAAATAATCATCAAATGCTATTGGCATCATTCTCCAATCGTAAGGAGCTCCGAAAAGATCGACACCTTCAACATAACCTTCTTTTTCAAGTTTTTCGATAACGTAGATGAGCTCTGGAATGAAATGCTTACCAAATATTCCGCTATCGATATATTTCATTCCGTTAAGACCGCCAAAGTCCTTGGCATAAATGTATGTTTTGTTTCTGGAAGAAGGTAATCCAGATGTGTAGTTCCACTCAACTGTTAACCATGAGGCTAGACAATTGAAAAGAGGAGGGACGGCCATTGTGTCCTTTAACCAAATTAAGTGATCTTTAAAGTTTTTGGAACAATACCAATGCGTGCTGAGATCTGTGATGGATCCCATAAGCTCTGAGCCAAACATTGGCGGTACAAGAATTATAGGTTCTTGACTATACGCAGAAATAAGTAATAACGAAAGCATCATTGAAAAATGAAACTGTCACATTTCAATGAAATACTTGGAAAACAAATTATTATCTTTATTATGATAATCAGCAACTAGAAAAATTGTTAAAGATCTGAAATTCATTCAATTCGCAAACAATCAAGTTTGTTATTAAAATATTACTTATAATATTTACTACAGGAATTAAACATCGTTAGCGAAATTGAATGCATAATTATAATAACCTTATTTTTTGTTTCTCAACTTCTTCCAATCTCCAAGAGAATATATCACCTCAGGAATAGACCAATTTCCAGACCCTGAAAAATTAAGTCCATATACAGTTTCTAAGACTGAATTAAACAGGATATATGTTGGAACTCCTGTGGGCTCTATATCATGCATAATAACTTCCTTAGTAGCTAAATTTAAAGTCTGATGATTGTCTCCAACTGCCTTCCCATAGTCAATCATAAGCTGTGGAATATCTTGAGCAAAATAGTTATGACCATCTGGACCAACGAGGACTGGAGCAGTGTTACTTTTTGCATTATGTAGATGAGACCAAAAAGTAGGAATGGAAAATACCATGTTGCGGAAAGTTTGTGTATTAAAAATAGATGGGAGGAATCCAATGTTTTGGAACCAAAGGACATTAAGAGCTTCACCTGCACCGCCATAGGATGGTCCATGAAGTAGAACTTGGCGCAAATACTTGTCTTTCCATTCCTGAGCTACAGTTTGACAAAACTTTTGAATAACATTACCACCTCCGGAAATTCCATAAAGGGCAACTTTCTGATTACCTGTTTGTGAATAAACTTTTTCAATAAGTACTTTAAGATCTTCTAGATAACCATTAAAGTTCAGAGGCATCAATCGCCAATCATAAGGAGCACCAAAAAGGTCAAGTCCTTCAATATAGCCTTCTTCTTCAAGTTTATTGATAACATAGATAAGGTCAGCCATAATATGCTTACCAAATACGCCACCATCAATATATTTGATCTCGCTAAGTCCACCAAAATCTTTTGCATAAATTTGCGTTCTATTTCGTGAACATGGTAAACCAGATGTATAATTCCATTCTACAGTAAGCCAAGAAGCAAGACAGTTGAAAAGCGGAGGAATCAGCATTGTATCTTTTACATAAATTAAATGATCTTTAAAATTTTTCGAACAATACCAATGCGTGCTTAGATCTGTGATTGATCCCATAAGTTCAGAGCCGAACATCGGGGGAATGAGGATAATTGGTTCTTGGCTCTGAGAAAAGATAAATAAAAGCAATAGCATTTCTTTTTGAAATTTTTGTCACATTTGTTTGGATTCTTTGAATTTTAAGAAGATAGCAATTTTAATAATCTTGTTTTACTCAAACACTTATTTAATATGGTGCCAGTTTCGTCATTTAAAATATTCTTTACTGTTTCGATAATTTAATTCAGAGGCTACAGAAAAATTGAAAACAATTGGATCGGTATACAATTCATAGCTATGCATTTCCATGAAACATGATGAAATTTGGGAGCAATGCAGGATAAAAACATCAATTATCAGGCGAGAAACTAAATAAGACTTATTTTCAACTATGACGCGAGATCATATCATATCATTTGAATAATTTGTAAACTCTTCAATATTGTTTCCTGCTTCTAATCGAGTAAAATTCCCTACTAACCAATAGTTTTGCAAGTTCGATTATGCTGCTTTCAACAAATTCCCTACTAACCAAAAAAATATAAAACCAAAAATAATTGTTATAATTTAAATGAAGAAGTAATTTAAAACGATTTTATTTATGATCAAATTTTATATATTTTTTTGGATCAAATCCATTTTAATAGAATTTCTATACTATTCATCTATTAGTAAACACTACCGTATATTATTTTTTAAGCTATCTTATTTTTTGAACTTTTATTCAAATCTTTGGTCGCAAGAAGAATTGCATGATAAATAAAAACATTTAATCAAAGTCAATTTTATTTTTCATATTCAAATGGACTGAGTGTTAACATTTAACATTTTTTGCTAATTGTCGTCAAAAATTAGGCGTAAAGCAAAAATTAATATTTCATATGGTTTTATGATAGATAAGCATTATATTCCCACTCATTATATTCGTAAATTTTGAGGTTTATCCTTCGCTTTTAAGATCATTGAATTTGATTTTTATATAAAATAGTTATATATTAGAAAATAATATGAGTTTATGTGATATTATTTTTCAGAAGATTTCATTCTATATGCCTATGAAAAGTACTCTCAAAACTAACTTTTTCCTAATTATAATTAAATCTAGAATATTGTATTATGCTTAGTATTATTTCATTTTTCTCGTTCAATTTAGAATTTACAAATGTCAAAAAATTGAGAGCTGTTTATTACAACATTCTTATTCTATTATTAAATTACTCTAATAAAATATAAAAACTAGATTTACCTCATTGAAAAAACGATATGGGTATTAAATTTTGTAAAAAAAACAATTAATGGGAAAATATAATAACTGTATTATGCGCACTACAAATAATTTGGAAATTTTACTTTATTTTTCGATGAGTTCTTTGATAACACTCTCAAAAATCATTTTATTTCCTCTCAATTCCAAAACCTGAAAAAACATGTATAACATCTTCGATTTGATTCGAAGGAATGAAATACAGAAAATAGGTGGTATTAATGATTCTTTTCTAGACGTATACAACGAAGATGATTATACTCCTTTATTATTTGCAGTTGCTAATAGGAAACATCAGATTATACCAATTCTTCTTGAAAAAGGTGCGAACGTTAATGCATACCTCCCAAAATCAAAAGAAAACGGCCTACATATTGCAGCAAGGATTGATGACCTAGAAACAACACGAATTCTTCTTGCAAAAGGTATTGATTCAAATTGGAGGACCTCCGATGGTAAAACTGCAATGCATATAGCTGCTGAGCATGACTCCATCGAAGTTTTAAACGAATTAATCCTCCACAGAATTGATATTGATGCCAAAGCTAACAATGGATATACAGCATTACACTTTGGTGTCGCAAATAACCATTTACGAGTAGTCAAGTTTTTATATTGCAATAATGCAGATTTAAATAAGGAAGCGCCAGGCGTTGGCAAAGCAACAAATCTCATCAAAGATGAAGAAATCAAAGAATACTTCAAGAATGTCTCGATTTTCCAAAAAATACAGCATTATTTCAAAGAAAATAATACGTTTGAACTTTTACAGATTTTTGCTGAAAATCCTAAAATGATTAACTTCAGAGGAAATTCATATCTTACGCCATTAATTTTATCCGTTTTCAACAAGAATTTACCGATTGCCAATTATTTAATCAAAAATGGAGCCGATATGAACGCTTGCGATAAGACCGGCAACACCGCACTCCACTATGCAGTCGTAAGCAACTACATGTCTCTCGTACATTTGATATTTTTAAGTGGCGGCAATATTGATCGTGCCAATCCAATTACACAGGAGACACCAAGAGCAATGCTTCAAAGCCTTGGTATCACTTATTCACGTGACAAGCCTACTCTCAAAGAGGATAAATTTATGGAAATCTGTAAAGCTATTGAGAGCCATAATTCAGCCAAAGCCATGGAGTTACTTGTTACTTCAGATAGGATCTTCGACATCACCGATAAAAAAGGTAATAACCTTCTTCATTTAGCCGCTGCTGAAGGTTTGCACGAAGTTGTACTTTTTATAGCAACCGATAAACTTCACGACATGAACATCCAAAATAAAGACAAGAATACAGCTTTGATGATCGCATACCAGAAATATACTTCCATTAATAATAATAAGGACCTCTGGAAAGTCAATCCAAGAAATATGAACTACATGCTAGTAATGAAATCGCTTGCTTACTGTAACGCTGACTTGGCAGAACTCGATACTCTTATGAAACATGCAATCGAGTCAGGAGCAAGCGAAATGAACTTGATCCTCTTCCTCATGGACATTTGCCATCAATACAACCACAGGAAACTTCCTTCAGGCGAAACTTTCTTTATGTACGCCGTTCGACTCGGAAATCTCGAAGCTGTCTGCAACATGCACCCATATGGCTTCGATCCAGCAGATAGAAACCCAACAACAGGCATGACTTACCTCCATTACGCTTACGTTCACAAAAATAAAATTTTCCTTCACATGTTCCAGAACTTGATGCTCGATGATGAATCAGATAACCTCGGAGTTACAGCAACAGAAGTAAATAAGTTCATTAATAAGTGCGATTTGACAAGATACAATCATATCAAGTTATCAAACGAAACAGTGTTCGATTTCTACAGAGCATATGCCATGCAAGATACAAAAAGAATTTCAAGCATGCTATTTTTACATAAAAAACTACACAGATCTTGTTATGCAAATGAACTTCACGCTTTACACTTAGTTGCCATGCTTGATGACTACCCGCTTATAGATACATGTTTAGAAGCCGAAAAAGAGTCAGATTGCAGAGATATGCATGACATGCCTCCACTATTTTATTGTATCAAGAGTGGAAAGTTAGATACAGCCAAATACATGGTCAGTAAGAAGTGCAAACTCACAGTCAAAGGTCCGAAAGGCAGAAATGCTCTCCACTTCGCTGTTCTTTCATGTCATCAACCAACAATCGACTGGGTTATCTCGAAAGACATCGATTTGCTTGCAATGGATCACAACAAACGCAGTTGCTTGCATTACATGGTCATTAAATGCTCTACAAAGGTCTTAAAGGACACATTGAAAGGTAAATTCTTCTGTGTAGACGTAAATGACAAAGATAACAGAACTCCTTTATCTATAGCCTGTGAAATGGGCAATTACGACGCCGTTGACTTCCTTGTCAGTAACTTTGATGCATTTATCGACGCATGCGACGTAAAAGGTAACTCTCCGTTACTTTACGCTGCTGCAAATGGCCACGCTGATATTGTTCTTTACCTTCTCAAGCACAATCCACAGAAATTGCTGAATAATATGGGCCAATCCGCACTTCATCTTACAAATTCAGTTGAAGTACTCAATATTTTCATCCAAATGAATGCTAATACAAACTTACTTGACCTCAGAAACAGAACACCTCTACATTACAATGCTGCCAGAGGAAATACAAAATTAATTGAAGTTTTACTTGAAAATGGTGCTGATTGCAACATCCGTGACAAAGAAGGTTTCACTCCTCTCGAAGTTGCCATCTCATGCAGACAATTAGAAGCTGCAAGACTCCTCAAGACAACTGGCAGAGATACTTTGTCTCTTCCATTACACGCAGCAGTTCTTTCTGACAATCTCCAGATTGTCAAGGAGTGCGTGGCTGAAGATCCAGCTCGCATTAACCAGAAAGACGCTTTCGGTCGTTCTGCGATTCTGCTCACAGAAAACAACAAAAGTGCGGATATTCTCAAGTTCCTCATTTCGAAAGGCGCCGACATCAACGCAGTCAACGAAGAAGGCAGCAACATTGCTCACCTTGTTGCTTACAAGCTCAACCTTCCTCTCATCGACGCCATTCCTCAGGAGATCGTGAACAAACGCGAGAGAAAGAAGAACAACTCTCCATTGCATTTAGTTCTCCAGAGATTGTTGGATTCAGAAGCAAAGAGCGAGGATTACGATGAGGAACTCGAATACCAGCACAACAACACAGATGATCCAAACGGCATCGATCAGACTTTCGAGAGAAAGCCTCGCCGCGAGAGATTGGCTTTAGTTCACATTGCTGTCAACTCACTTTTGAAGAAAGGCGCAGACAAAACAGCGATGAACTCGAAATACACGACACCTCTTCACATGGCAGCATGTGTCGATGACTGGAAACTCACAGAACTTGTCATGGACAAGTTTATGCTCGATACATTGGATCAACAAGACAGAACACCTCTATACATCGCTGTCTCGATGAAGAACGAAGAAGCAGCAATAACATTATTAGAACACGGCTGCGGAATTCTCGGTGGCCCGCAAGGAAAAGCTCCTCCTCCATTTGTTGCCATTCAGAATGGAATGTGCAGAACATTGGAGATGATGTTCAAGATGGGATTGGAATACGGCTTGACTTATAAAGGCGAAACAATGATGGATGCTGCAGCACATCAAAAAGTATCCGAAGTTTCTGATGTCATCAAGAAGTACAAAGGATATAAAGCCAAGCCAAAAGTCAAGGAAATCAACAGTGACGATGGAAATAGAAGCCAGAGAAGGAAATCTAGACATCTTAGAAAAGATTCTATCGATCCTGCAATTAAAGAAGCAAGATTGCGCGAAGAACAAAGAAAGAAAGAAGAAGAACAAATGAAACTACAACAACAAGAAAGAGCACAATTAAATCAAATTCAAATTCAGGATTCTGAATCTTCTTCTTCATCGGATAGCACAACATCGGCACCTCCACCAAGAAAGAGGAAATGGAGTGAAAGTTCTAACAAATCATATGATTATAGCGACTTATCAAGCAACTCTGAGTCGTAAATTTATATTAGATTTTTTTATTAAGGATACCCTTACATTGCGTAGTTAGAAAGAGAATATGATATTGTCATGATTGCTAAAGTTTTAGGCTCCAGAAATGAATATACATCAAACTGAAACAATTGATAAATTGAATGAACTTTTGAGAGGTTCTCAAATAAAAAAAATTATCTAATTTTTTACAATATTACTATTATTTTATCCACATATGTATATATAGTAATTTGAGAAAACTTTTAGGAAAAAATAAGTTTAATAAAAATCTGAATTTTACTTGTTGTGGGATTGTTATTAATTGACACTCCAGACGTATTACTAATAGTTATGCGTATGCAATTAAAGTATTTCTGATGGACAAAATGTGAGATTTATATCAGATAATTCATTTCTACTATTAAGTTATTCATTTATGAGTTTGCACTTATTCGCACTAAATAAATAACTATTAAAAATTGTTTTAATTAATTGACACCATATAATAGAGTGAATTTTGTTTGATCAAACAACAATAGATGATAGATATAAAGCCAAGAAACTTGCTATTAATATGCTCTACTTGCTATTTCAATGTAAGTATGATATTTTCTAAATGTTTCGTTCAGATAACTTAGATATATTAGTCAAAATTTGAAATTTTAATAGCACATATATTAAAAATAATTATTATTCATAAAAGATTAATGAAATAGTAAAAAAAAATCAATCAAATTATAAAAATACAACATTTAGAAGAATTCTTATTATCCTTCAAAAAGTCAGTATTTCTGCTGTAATTTTCTACAACATTGTAGTTATTGCACTTTGTCTATGGATTTGTATATATGTTATATATAAATTATATATCTAAACTGCCCATAAGTGCAATTTTTATATAAATTGTTTATTTCTTTAACAATTTCATATGAAATATGCTTTTTTAAGCGTATCAAAGCTGTGTTCTTAATGTGCATGGATATATCAAGAAAAATGTCGAAAAAAATGTGAATTCACAAATTCACTGAATTTTCACCGTTTTTTGAATTTTGCTACAGCACTAATATTAAATAATACTAAAATCTTCTGTCTTTGTAAAAGAATAAATTCTGACAAAAAGTGCTCGTTTAAATTTAATGATCATCTGTATGACTAAGTGGTAAAAAGTGTTTATGACCAAAAAAGGGTTACATGCTTAGTCTATTTTTCTGACAGGATACTCTAGATTTACATGATCTCTATTTCATATCTCCGTTTTTAGATTCTTCGACAGATTTTATGATAGAAAACCAAGATTAACAAATTTCCGGCATGTTAATGAAGAAATCTGCAGCTACCCTCAATATTATTTCAATAATCAATATCGTTTCTCTTACAATTTATTTTTTTCTCAATAATTTAACAAGAAATAACAATACACACTTGGTTTTACGTATAAAAGCTAAGTGTCGAACTTAATCAACTTTACTTACTTAGCAAATGAATATTTTTGTGGTTGCGAGTTCTGAATGCTGAAGTTTTAGATTTCTCTATAAATGATATCATTGCACTTACAATGTTGTTCCAGCCTATCGCATAAATCATAGAAAATCCAAAAAAAAATAATATAAAGAAAATTCATGTCATGAAGTTCAAAAAATACCGTGTAACATTAAAATTTGTTATGCATAATACATTTTAGCTATTATTGATTTTTTTTAATTTTCGAGAAATTGAATGGTGAGTCCGATAGAGAAATTTTTAAAAATCCTAGTGCCTCATAGAAGTAATTTCCCTCGTCTCCCATACTTCCAAATGTATGCATATGACATAAACTTTTATGCATTACACAAGTGGCCAATAATATCTATAGAGTAAAAAATTAGAAATTTAATTTTTTTATATGATAGTTATATTTCAGATTTGCGAGCGTAACTTTTTTCTCCATGGCATACTTGTTTTAAGAGCAAATGATCAAAATCGTCCTTCAATTATTGAAGGAGCTGATATCTTTTGAAAATTGAATTGAAAGGGTATTCAATTTTTAAATTTCCTCTCAATTTTGGAAACATATCAACTCTATGAATTAACAATTATGTGCCTTCACAGTTTATCAGTCATATAAGGTGCTTATAAAGAAAAAAGTTACGCTCGCAAAATATGTTTTTATATAGATTTCACATAAAATAATTATGTAATTTCTAAAAAGAATATTTTTGTTCTTGAATATTAAAGTGTATTGTAGTTTAAAAAGTTTTAAATATGTTGCTAAAATTTCAGGTTTATAGCTCATGTCTAGCATGACTTCTTCGTATGCGCAAAAAATCTGACACGTAAGGGTATCCTTAATAAAAGTTTTTTTTTATTACTCAATGCGATTAATTGGCAAATCACTACTTATTTTTTAAACTTTAGTTTAAGAAGGCGCATTCTCTCTTCATTAAACTTATGCATCGCATCAAGAAACTTCTGATTTTCCAGAGCAAATCTCATGACATCAGTTGCCAGAGAGTTCTTCTTTGGAGTATGTGACTGCCAACGTTTAGCAAGCATTGCCATTGCTTTGCATCTTTCATCAAAACGCTTTACTTCATCAAGTATGGATTTAATATCAAATTTGAATGAGTTCTTCTTTGGGGTTGTGGCAGCCTTTTTCTTAAGAAGATCATAAAAACGCTTCATCATTCCTTCTTGAATTTTCCTTTCCCACTTTGCCTTTTCCATAAGATATTTATTGAGTGGAGGGATCTCGTACTTATGCTGAGGCTTAGTCTCCTTTTCTTCATCGGTATTGTGGTATCCAATTGTGAACTTGCCCCATGGTGAGTGGTATGTTAAGCTGATGTCCCAGTTGTCATCTTCTTCAGCTTCTTCTTCGTTGCTGCGATAGCCGAGGTAGAACTTGCCCCATGGTGAATGGTATGTGATTCCAATGCCCCAATTGTCATCATCATACGTTTCTTCCTCTTCATTCTTATCGATTCCGATTCGGAGAGGGCCCCATGGTGTTGGAATTGGGAACCAGATGTTATCATCATCTGCATTATAACTTCTACGGATAGCGAGAAGTGGTAACATTAAAAATAATGATTTTTATTCCTTTCAAAAAATTTTATATTGATATGGCAATTGAAACATTGTTGCCATAATAATTGCAAAAATCTATTTTGAAATACTCATAAAAATTGAGAATCTGGACTGTCAGATCAATGTCAAATGGCGGTTAATATTCAAAACGCCTAAATGGCGTGATCAGACACACATAAAAACGCGAAAATTTTATTGTATAGATAAAATAAATGAAATTCAACTTTCTTACAAAATCTGTGGTTGCTTTGTTAAAAATTCAGTAGTTGCTTCCAATTAGTAAAGTTTTGAAGTTTCTTCTTCATCAAATCAAGCAATCGCTTAATGATATTCAAAAATATTTTGGGAGAGAATATATTTTTTCGGCGATTTGCTAATACAAATGAATAAGAATAACGTTATAATAAAATATACCTTGAACACTACATATTCATTGATTTTAATAGGTTTCTGAGCCAATTCAAGTCAAATTAAAAAAATGAAAGAAATTTATTGAAAAACAAATATAGTAAATGTTTATTTTGATGATTTCTATTAAAATTATAAAATAAATCAACAAAAAACTAAAAAATTAAATTAAATTGCAGCAATTTGACTGAGATCCTGCATCCTTAGTGAACAATACATCACCTTCTCTAATGGTTGTTATAACCTTCAACTTGTTAAGGTTTTCAGGTGGCATTGTGAGAGGATTTGTGTTTAATACGATAAAGTCAGCTCTCTTTCCAACAGCGATAGAACCAACCTTATCTTCGATGAAGTACGTCTTAGCAGCGTATATTGTGCAGGCCTTGAGTGCTTCCAAGATCGGGATTCTCTCATCAAGTCCCATTGGCTGTCCAGACTTAGTTAATCTGTTTACAGCGTAGTAGATCGATGTAATCATGTCGCAAGGGAAAGCTGGTGTATCCTGGTGGAAATTGAAGGTAACTCCAAGATCTAAAGCAGATTTAGCTGGAGAACATCTATAAGCGAGCTCACCGAGGTTTCTAATATGGATATCACCCCAGTTGTATGCGTTTGTATTATAGAATGATACGACAATACCCATCCTTGCGCAGCGAACAAGTTGATCGTTTGTTACAAGCTGTGCATGAATAAGTACTGGTCTGTAGTTCTTGTTGCTTGGTCCGTAAACCTTTTCTACGGTATTTACGAACTGTTCGCAGGCGAGATCTCCATTTGCGTGGGCAATCATCTGTAAATGGTTTTCTTTTGCTTGTGTGAACAATTTGATGAGTTGTTCATCTGAATAAGTGTGTGTACCGCAGTTTCCTGGGTCTGTCTTGTATGGTTTTGAAACCCAAGCTGTTCTTTGCTGTGGACCACCATCGAGAATCAGTTTGTAGCCGGAAAGATGGAGATGTTCGTAATCTCTTTCACGTACTGTAAGTGGATAGTCTGCATCTCTGACCATATCGATGTAACAGTAGATATCTAGTTTAAGGAGGCCTTTTCTCTCAAGATCTTGGAGAATAATTAAGTCCTTCTTGAAGCAGAGACCTTCTTGAACAATTGTAAATCCATTTTGGATATAAGAATTCTGGGACATTCTTAATTGACGTTCAATTTCATCATCGGTAAGAGCTCTCCAACGTGGAGAGAGTTTTTCGAAAACTTCACCATCAATCCATCCAGTAAATTCGCCTGTATTTGGATCCCTTTGAAGATAAATGCCATCAGCATTTGGTAATTGAGGATTTAACAGGTCAAATCCAAGATTTCTGATAGCAAAACTATTGATAATGCCTGTCTTTCTGTTTTTATGTACAATAACACATGGATTGCAAGGACATACTGAATCGATAACATATTTCGGTGGGTGTGTCTTTTCAATCAAAAGCTTTTCATCGTAGTTTGTACCGACCACCCAGGTATCTTTTGTAACTGGCTTACTACGCATAATTCTTTTAATCTCATCACATATATCATCAAATGAACAACATTCATCAAGTCTGGCTCTACCAAGAACCTTTGTATATGCAACAATATGGCTATGTGGATCAATAAATGCTGGCATGAGGCATTTTCCTCTTAAATCTGTAAATTTCGTTTTTGAGTCAGCTAAAGCAAAAATTTCCTTTTTTGTACCTACTGCTTCTACGTAGCCATCGGTAACTAGTACAGCTTCAACTTGAACATCATCTTCCATAGTTAGGATGTCGCCACCATAGAAGACCTCTTTCATTATCTGAATTGAAATTTTTTTAAAATTTTGGGATCAAAATAAGTTTTATTAGACTTTGAATGTTAATTAGATATATTACGAAATAACGTTCACTTTGAAATATTTTTGAAAGAAATAATTAATGACGGCGATAGATTGAGAATAAGAATATCAATTCGATGACATTATATGATAAAAATTTAAACCGATATAATTCAAAATGATTTTTGAATACTACAGATTAATATAATGAAAATAATGATTGAAACATGAGTATAATTGAAGGGCAAATAACTTACGTTGTTCATTAATAGAATTATATGTAGTTGATACATTGTAATGATTTTAATAGTTGCTAACCAAATATTTTGAATAAATTGTGAAGATTATCTTTTCAATATACTCACAAAAATCCGAAGTTTATTGTTTGATGTTAGGACATTGTAAATATGCATAACTAATAAGTTTTTGAAACCTTAGATTTTTTTACTGTCATGCTCACAAAAGTGTTAAAATTTTAGTACAAAATTGTCAATGATCGAACTATTGACCATTTTGATACCAATTATGATTTTAGTTTCCTAAAAGCTTGATTCCATTTTTTCAGAAAATTATGTCATCAGAGCAAATTAATATTTCATCATTGGTATAGGCAAATATTCACTAAAAAAAGAGGTTAAAAATTGAAAGTGTGTTTACGTTTTTGAAATTACAATCAGCATTTCAATCGATTTTAATTTCGAAATTAAACTATCATAAGCACATACATTTCATTTCCGAGTTTAAAAGCATAATTGATGACATTTTTTTAGTTTCAATTTATTTTTGTGGATTTATATATCAAATTGGATGTGCTTAATTTATAAATCTTTTGGTATTGATATAACTAATTACTCTTTCGAATATCTAATTCAAATTACAAATTAAGTTAATTAATGCTTATTTTGTTGATAGCCAGTAGTATACATCTATCCAATAGTAATTTTTAAAATATCCATAATTTAAATTTCGAATGATCATAATATTTTAGATATTCAGCAGCCTTCTTTAATTGCAGCAGTAAAATTTAGGGTTGTAGTTTTTCTTCTAATTTTTCTTAATTTTTAATTTCAATTTTAAATTAACTTCTTTACTCAATTATCCATAAGTTTTCTTATTTAAGATCTATATCCAATTTCAAAAACAACTTGTACAAAATAATTTTTATTCATAAAATCTTCAATAATTCAGTTGAGGATGATGAGTTTCACTGACCAAATTTTAATATTTATCTTACCATAATATTTGAGTAATATTCCATACAAATAGCATTCAAATCAAAGATGTTTCAGAAATTGAAGGGAAATTGTCTAACCAACTATAGCGTAGCGCTACTTTAACTAGATAATTATCTTTCAGATAACTATTAGTATCAAGAAATATCAAATTTGGCCCTTGACTTTCTAATTGGTGTTTCAAATGTGGTTTGAAAAAGAATGGTATGACCTTAGATCATATTTTCTTTAAAATTTAGCTGAGTAATTAAAATACATATAATGATACATCAATAGAGAACATAAAAAACTAATTTATCTTCCAAATGTCGAATTTTGGAAATTTTTCATATATTCAATGGATGTGTATACATAATTGCTTTCAGGCTAACATAAAATACACAAATTAATACACTCTTTTCTAAAATTTGCTAAAAGCATCAAAATTTCCTGATATATTTGCATAATATACATAACTGATTTCCCAGTCATTATCTTTAGATTTTTAACCAATGTACATTTAGTAGCTTGCACGAAAGCTCATATTTTTTGCAATGTATGCTCTATTTGAGTAGACATAAATCTTCTTCATCATTTTTTCAACCACAGATCTAGGAATTAGTTTATAATTATTAGTATAGTGTTTGACTGTTCTTTGTTTTAACTTATTAAAAAAATTGCATGAAATTCATGGTATATAAAAGAAAAATATGTAAAACATAATTCAATTATATATTAAAAGAATAACACAATTACATTTTATATTTTAAAAGAATAATTCATTGATATTTGAAATACATTTCTGGTAAGTACTATTATAAACCAGAAGGAATATGGATGTTAATATAAGGAGTATAAAAGCTCCAAAAATTGCCCATCCGTTGTCCCAATCTTCTCCTTGTTCATAGAAATGAGTTACGTTGAGGACAAATTGATGAACAATCTGTGTATCTGGTCTTTTGAGAAGTTTGAATATTTTATGGTTAGTTCTATCAACATATGCAAATAATGTTGGATCTTCTGGGTCATTCTTGAAGGTTATGTTGTATCTACGATCAGAAAATGGATCCAACCATCCAAAAATGAACTTCCCACAGAGTTTCGATGAAACATCGCTTAGAATTGAAGCATATTCTTCACTTAATGGTCTTGTTGAGAGAATAGCAAGCATTGGAACATCAGGATGATATGTAGAGAATTGTTCATATGTAAATTTGTGCAAAATAGGGTATTTGTAGTCTTCCATAAACTTTAAAATTGATTTCTGGTTCATTGGTCCATTATATAGCAATCCACAATTAGGACTGATGTATATTTTCATGTGCTCCGATGAATCATAGTATGTAGCAAACGTACGGTTAGCTGCGTAAATGAAATTTGATAAATTGGTAAGAAATGGTATAAATTCTTCACCTTTTGGCTTAGCATTTGGACCAAAGTAAACTGGAACAGTTACGTTCATAAAACCATCAGAAAGTAAATCGATTGAACCTAAACTATCTAAATACTGGATTGGAGGATCAATAACTGTTTCAACAAAGGTAATCAATGAAGAAGGTGTAAAGTTTCCGTGATATAAACGATGATAAAAGCTATATACTGATCTCATTGCAATAATTGATGGAAAATATTGTGCATTTAAATCATTACATAACTCGAATTGTTCTGAACATTCTACTGAAAATCCAACTGCGCGATCTGTTGTTTGATTCATTAAATCTTTGTATCTTCCAATAACTCTCGTCGAAACAGGCTCTGATTCTAAATAAAATAACACAAAAACCGGTGTTTCTTCAACTTGTGTAATAGCTATATCGAACGCGGATCGTGAATATTCAAGAAAATATGAGTGACAAAATATGAAAAATAAAGAAAGCATTTTAAAAAGTGACATTTTAGAAGAAATTTCATATCAATCATTGCGAGCTGTTGGTATATTGATATTTTTAAGATATATAGTATTAGGATTCTGATGCTTGTATTAAGCATGTTGATCTGGCAATTTCTGGAGGAATATCGGAAATTTCAATTCGCTTTTTTTTTTGACAGATCTCCTTTGCTTCAAGCTTACTAGTTCATTTGTATGAATCAAAATTAAAATTTAAATCTTTATGAAAAACTAGGTAAAGTTGAGATCAATTCAAAATAAATAATGATTTTATTCAGGAAATCCTTTGCCTCGAAGAAGTACCTCTATACATCTACATTTGCAATCTTTTGCCACAGAAAGCGGAGTTTTGTTCTCATCATTTTTAGCATATTTATCGATTGTTGGTTTGCTACAAAGATATGCACAAACATAATAATTTTCATGATAAACAGCTTCATGAAGAGGCGTATATTTCCATGTATCCATCGCGTTAATATTGATGAAATGATGAGCAAATTTAACTCCTTCCAAGTTCCCTTTAATACAAAACCAATGAAGAACTGTTCTATTGAATTTGCTTTTACTTTTCATGTCTGCGCCATAATAAAACAATTGCTTTACAAGTCCGAGGTTATCTTTACTTGCTGCAAGAAGAATCATATTGTATCCATAGGTATCATAAACATCAGAATATTTTTTCTCTACCGCAAATTTAATTGTTGAGAGATCCTCTTCATTTGATGCTTTTTCAAGGATATAATAAATTTTATGAGAGTTTTCAACTGTTTTTGACAAGATCATTAACTTTCTAATATTTTCATTAGATAAATCGTTTCTGTGATATTCATTGATTGAAGAAATCTCTAGTTTTTGACAAATTGTTGGAAGATGAAGAAGTGCACGCTTGAATACTTGACTCGAAACAGACTTTAGCTTATTTTCTTCTGCAAAGTTTGAAATTTCTTCAATTACATCTTTACTACAAAATTCAACTTTGATGTACTTCAGCAACTCAAAGAAAACAATGTCATACATACTTAAAGATATGATTATTTTGCAGAGTGAATCTTGTGTTGATATCTTAAGGGATTTGGATGTTAATACTCCTTCCAAAAAGTCGTATCCATATATTTTTGTTGTGTCAATTATATATTCGGTATTGAGAGATCTCATTTTAGATGCAAAGAAAGTTATGCACTCGTTCATCTTTAACGTATCGTTTTGAACTGTAGCAATATCATAAAAATCGTAAAAGTTCTGGATGGTAATTTCAGGATAAGAATTAACAAAGTCTGAAAATATTTTGATCATCTTTTCGTTACCAATAGCTCTGCCGATTTCGAAAATATCCCTATTATGATTTCTGTCATTCTCAAAAACAGTTTTACCATTCTTAAAAAGATTCGAAATGATTTGTAGTGTATCATTGCATAATAAATTCAAAGTTAAGGCGAGTGAAGTAGATGTTGAATCAAGATGCAAAACATCACAGACTTTATTTGAGCTCATTATTGATTTGTTTAATGACGAAGTAATGCTTTCATTGTTGATTGTGATTGAGAAATTTTGATCATGTTTCATGAAATTCGCCCTCAAGAGTTCAGGATAGTCAAATAAGACTTTATCCATGAAATATGATTTTATTTTTTATATTTATAAAACTCAAAAGTAAACATGATGCAAATGATTATCCACATATATGCAAATTTAGATGATGAAAATAAATTTAATAAAAATAAAATATGAACTTTTTCTGAGTATTTTCAGAAAAAATATTCAAAGTGTATTGAAATACTCATCACTTCAGATTTCTCTGGTCATTACACGTTTATCAAAAATATTCGACCGTTAAATTTTGAATTGGTGGGAATTATTAATTTACCACGTTTTTGACACGACGACCAGAATTTGAATTAATGCGGATTATATTTTGAGATAATTCTCGAGGGTTTTAATTTCTTACATTTAATAATCAATCATATTAATGCTATGTGCAAATGTAGTAGAATATGACACAAATCAAAGTTTTATGAACGAAATCGAATGAAAAAGATTTTTTAAACTAATGAATATCATATTATTTATTAACATCAACAAAGAATTAATATTATCAAAACAATGGTAATTCCTAAAAGGTTAAAAACGGAATTGTTTCAAATCTCCAGATATAGGATGAAACTAATAAAGCCAATGTAAAAATAGTTGAATAAAGTATATTGTTATTAGAAACAACAACTAAAGAAATCAAAAGATAGGCGATAATTCTTAAATCGTAATAATTTGTGCTCCTGCATTCATTTGTAGAAATTCTGAGCTCAAATATTGTGCTCTTGAAGAACAAACCAATAAATCCTGGAATTAATATTGGAAAAATGTATTTCCAAATTTTATTTTGTCTATCGAAAACTGCATAGATAAAAATTAATGTAGTAATAGAGTTATTGCTAAGTTTGCATCTAATATGCTTTGAAACATCTGTTGGTGTGAAAATTAACGAATATATATCAACAACTCTAATTTTTATTGACTTGTAGAGTGGAAATGATGAAGTTATTATATCTGTTATTGCATAAGCTATTGAATAACTTAATAATGGAATAACTGACTGAGATAAAATTGTAATTTTGTTTTTTATTATAAAATAATTCGGAATTTTGAATAGACATGTAATTGATACAGATAATGATATAACAAATGGTAAAATATGCCATTCTATAACAATTATTGCAAAAATATTTGAAATTGCGAGATAAATGTAAACTGATCGCTTACTATTGCTTTCTTCGAATGATTTAATTGCTTTATATGCTGCAAAAACGGAAATAATTATGAAGGTGGAGTAATTATTTTGAATTGTAAATATTCCATCATGCGAGTATACTAACGATAGTACAAATGAGAGAATTAGCTTGTTTGAAGCGAAAACTAAGCAAATAAAAAGTATAACATTTGCCAGAGGGACGAACCCGTAATTTTGGATATGCTTCATATCTTTGTATGCCTTTAATATTGACGTGTTGAAGTTATCATAAACTTCAACTAAATCAATTGATTTAATTTTGTAATATTCATTGGTAAGATATATAAACTGAGAGTAAAAGTATACTACTGCAAGTAGTACAATGAATATTAGGCATCTCCCAATAAAAATATGAACACGAGATTTAGATAAATCCATTTATTTTTTAAATATTTTTTTTATTTGGATTTGTAAACTTCCAATAAAAAGTGACACTGAAAGAAAAATGTTCCAATATACTCCTAAAGATACTTTATACAATAGAACACGAAATGAAGGAAAAAGTCAATTCACAGCTGTAATAAAAGAACTTAATGAAGATGTAATTAATAAAGAAGCACAAATCAAATTACGAAAAGAAAAAAAGGAACAAAAGATTCAAAAAGAAAAAGAAGCATTAAGAGAACAGAGATTCCAACAACGGTGTATGCGAACAGAGCAAAAAATATTAGAAGAAGGAGCAAATTTAATATTAAATTGTAATTCTGTGTCAGTATTTGACCAATAATATTGCACACCATAATAATTTACCGAATGTGTCATGCTCACACTATTTTGAGAACAATTCAAAGGTATTAATACGTTTTTTAGAAGAAATTGCTTATTTCTTTGTCAAACTACGCTACTTCCAATTGGAAGTTTATTTCTTACTATGTTGATACCATGTATCAAGTGTATATTTTTTATTTTAATAATTTGTAAGTATATTTTATTTTGTTTATAAAATTGTGCATACTGATGCGAAGTATATTTTATTTTAATATATTAAAATCACTTCTGCCCAATTTATTTATGAATTTTTCAATATTTTATGGTCTATTTTGATACTTTACCGTTCCTACATTCATTTATAGTATCCTTCATTTCATCTCATCCAATTTATCACTTTTTTTAATTTTCTTGCATTTGAAATCAAAATTTCTAAATTGAGATTATAATTGTAAAAAATAAAGAAGGAAAAGGGGAAGAAAAGGAAAAAGAAAAGAAAAGAAGAAAGAAGGAAAAAAAAGAAAAAATAGGACAGTAGTAGGATATGACGGGTTTAGTGACTTTTTTTGTTACATCTATATATAGACGATGCATTAAAATATATTTATTTATAAATCATTAAAAAATTAACATTAATTTTAAAATAATTTATTTTTTATCTTTTATAAAAGAAGCTATATATAGATGATGTCAGATATTCCGCGATTAATTAAACATTGTTTAAATCCTGAATGGGTTAAACTTCAATTTAAAAATGAAGATTGTGAATTATTAAATGAATATGAAAGCCAAAATAAGCTAATGAGGTATAAATATAATGATAAATGGTTTAAACAACAAAACCACCTCACTAAAGTTCTTTGTAGATTAATGATTAAAACTGAGGAAAAAGAATTTAACGGGTTTAAATATCATCCATGTAAAATTTTAGAACTTGGTAACGAAAAACTATCAAAAGATAGAGTTGAAAGAGTAAATAAACTCGCTAAAGGTAATGGTAATGATGAAGAAGAATTTGATGAGTTCAACATAGAACTTTAAGAAACTAATGATTATTTGAATTTATGAAATCAATTATTTGATTCATTCTTTCTTCAATCTCTTCTATTCTTTTTGTTAAATCATCTATTTTCATTAATGAGGTGATTCTTGATTGAGGAATAGATTTCAAACTAACCACTCCTTTTATTTTTGAAATTTTGAATCCATCAACTTTAAACATTTTATTCAATTTACATGTTGTCAATTCTTCAAATAATTTTTTATTATTAGCATAATAGTCATTAAATTCTTCAACAGATGAAAAAATTTTTATTTCAGTAATTGGTTTAACAACGTTTATTTTTTGTTGAACATTTTCACTTTCATTTATTTCTTCCTCCTCTGTTTCATTTATTTTTAAAATCGGTTTCATTTATCATTAAATAAAAATTAGAATATAAGTGATGAAATATATTTTTTTAATTAATATTAAATCAGAAATGGCGGCGGGGAATTCATAGAAGGTTTCCTAAATGACATAATGAAGAAGGTGGATAAGGAATATGTGGATAGTGAGTTAATGAAGAAAGCAAATTTGGTTTATATTGATGAAAAAGATAATGAAATTAAAGAAAAGGTTGAATGGTATCATGAATGGACATCGGAGACTTTTAAAGTTAAAGCTGATACAGGATGGGTTTCAGGATGTTTAGACCTTAAAGCAGATAAAACTTATGTTGATGAAAATTATGCAAAGAAGTCGGAAGTAAATGATGTGATTACAAGCATGAAAAATGAAATACTTCAAACATTATATCCTGTTGGTTCTATTTATACGTCAATGAACTCAACAAATCCCGCAACAGTTTTGGGTTTTGGTACGTGGAAGCAGATTGTAGATAAATTCTTATACTGTGCTAGATATTCAAAGCAAACAGGAGGTTCGAAGAAAATTAAAGAAGCAAACCTTCCACCGCACACTCATACAGGAACTACAAACTTTTCTGGCGACCATAGCCACTCATTAAGAGACCACCCATTATACAACTCTGACTATGAAGCTGGTTATGATGTTTTATCTCCAGCTTATAACGATTCAACAAAAAAGACTTTTCGACAAACTGAACCAGGAGGAAATCATTCACACACTTTCACAACAAATCCAACAGGCTTGGGTAAAGATTACATGCCACCATTTGTGACTGTATTTGCATGGTACCGAATGAACTAAATATATTTTATGTCTGTAATTAATTAGGTAATGAAGTAATGGATGAACTGCAGAAATATATTTTATCGTTAATGGTTTTTAGGTTATTCAATAATTAATTATTTTTGAAGAACTGAAGGTGTCACTACGTCACTATGTGTCACCAGGTTAATTAACTTCTCTTAAAATTACTGACAACATGACATTTTGACAACAGTCCAGGAAATAAATTTTATCGTTTATGTTTACGTTAATGGTTTCATTAATTATGAAGGTGTCACTACGTCACCATGTGTCACCTGGTTAATTAACTCCTCTTAAAAAGTGTGACAACATGACATTTTGACAACAGTCCCGGAAATTTGATGCAGTCCAAAAATAAAGTTAGTTTTAAAATTATTTTTATTTTTTTTATTCCTATATAAATGACAGCAACAAACAACAACAGCAACTATATCGTTTCTGATGAAAAAGTTATTGATTCATTAGCTGAGGAATTAGTTGTGGCAGAAACTAAAACCCTCAACGAAAGAATTGGTGAAAACAAGATTGATTTACATAACTACCTCAAACACGATGGAGGAAGAGGAAGGAAAACTGGTATGGCTTTATTAGTAAATAAAATTTCAAATTTAACGATTATAGATGTTGATATCAATAAATCATACAATGATGAACTTAAAGAAACAGTTAGAAAAGATATTTTATCCAAACTTTCGGATAAAGATGTTATTGTTAAAACCGCTTCAGGAGGTCTTCACATTTATTGCAACACTAATTTCTTCTATGCAGTTTCGAACAGAATGATTAAATGTTATTCCTGCAATGATTATGATATCGATATCATGACTTCAATGGATGATTCAAAGCGTTCTTTAGTAGTTATGGCCGATTCAAGAGTTCGCAAGAATGCAACAGAACCAATCAAAACATACTCATTCATTCGTGGAAGTTATGATTCAACATTAACCAGAACAGTGAATGATATATTAAATGATTTGAATATTAAGGTAAGAGTTGAACAGAAGAACGAAGAAATAAAGACTATCATGAATGAAAACAAAGATGTAAACATTGACGATAAACTTGCCCAGAGCATAGTTGATGGCATCAGTGATTTTGAAGTACATAATGACGGTGGAAACATGAATTTAGAAAAAGAAGTTACATTATTCACACTGTTTCAAGCAATTAATTCGTTACCGGATCATTTGATTAATGAAGCATACGATAACGTTTATAACTTCTGCAGCTTAACTGAAAATGCAAAAAGTAATTTTGAAAAAGCACGTAATAGATATGCACATTTAATGACTTCTCCATTTGTTTTAGTGAAGATTCTAAAACTTTATCAAAAGGAATATTATGATGAATACGTTTTGCCTTTATTACGTAAGCCAAAAATAATATTTGATATAAAACTTGATGACTCGTTTTTGATAACAGATATTAGACGCAAGGCTGAAAATCATCAGTATAAAAACAGTTCTGAAGTAATTGAGGATTTATCACGCGTAATCCGTTTTGTAGATTGTGGAAACAAATACTTTATTCAGAAAGATTACAACATACACGACAAAATGAATCAAATATCATTCGTTCTTCAATCAAACATGAAAGAGTCACTCAAAATGATTAAATTATTTAAAGAAGAAGGTAAAACAATAACAGCATGGGATGTACTACTAAATCAATTATCCTCATTAACCGTTAAGGGTGTTTGCTTTAAATCTGATTCTCCAGATGTTTTCTCAACGTTTCAGGGTTATAAATACAACATTCTCGAAAAACCAGATTACTCAAAAATTGAGATGTTTATGAATTTCATTAAAGAAGCCATTTGTGATAATAACGATGAAGTGTATAAATACCTTCTCGGCTGGATTGCATCGATGATTCAACATCCTGGAATCAAGAATGAAACAGCAATTATTTTGAAAGGACTTCAGGGAACAGGTAAAAACAGATTCACAGACATTATTTCTGAACTTCTCGCTGGTTATTCATGTAAAAACATTACCGAAATAAGTGAGCTAACGGGTAATTTCAATTCGGTGGTTGAGAATAAAATGTTTCTTGTACTTAATGAACTCAAGAATGTAGGTAAAGACAGACTCGCAAACTTCAACGCTTTGAAATCAATTATTACGGATAATGAGATTAGAATTAATGAAAAGAATCAACCCAGAAGAACAGCACAGAATGTTGCCAATTTCATTTTGGTAACTAATAACGTCTACCCTGTCAAAATTGAAGTTGGAGACAGAAGATACGTAGTTTTAAGAGTTAATGGTAAATTCAAGGGTCAATTTGATTACTTCAAGAATTTAATGAATTCATGCACAAAGGAATTTTATGATAATTTACTGACGTATTTTATGCAATATGACCTTTCATCATTTAATGTACGAATCATACCGATGACTGAAGCCAAACAAGATTTAATTGAATTATCAACAAATCCTTTAGATGTATGGATAAATACACATTATGATGAATTGTGTGCAGGTATGACATGTAAAAATGCTCTATTCTGCAAACCATCAGACATGAAAGACAAAAACTTTCAAATGAGCATTAAGGATAAATGTGAAAGGAAACAGAGAAGAATAGATGGTAAACAAACATGGTGTTATGTTTTGAAAGAAGAAATGAAAGGATTATATAAACAGGTTGAACTAAACGATAATGAGGATTCATTTACTGATGATGAAATACCTGTAAATGAAGCTTTATAAAGTATGATTTGAATTTATTTTTGCATTAATCCTGCTGTGTTGTCAAAATGTCATGTTGTCGTCATTTTTAAGAGAAGTTAATTAACCAGGTGACACGTGGTGACGTAGTGACACCTTCAGTTCTTCAAAAATAATTCATAAATGCTTTCCTCCTTAATCCTGCTGTGTTGTCAAAATGTCATGTTGTCATCATTTTTAAGAGAAGTTAATTAACCGGGTGACACATGGTGACGTGGTGACACCTTCAGTTATTCAAAAATGCTTCATAAATGCCTTCTTCAAAAATAATTAATTATTTTGAAGAACCTAAAAACCATTAACGATAAAATAACTGATAACAAAATTTTATTTTTATATAAATGGATACCCCACAAGCTCAAAATTTACCACAATCTTCATTTTTAAATTGAAGTTTAACCCATTCAGGATTTAAACAATGTTTAATTAATCGCGGAATATCTGACATCATCTATATATAGCTTCTTTTATAAAAGATAAAAAATAAATTATTTTAAAATTAATGTTAATTTTTTAATGATTTATAAATAAATATATTTTAATGCATCGTCTATATATAGATGTAACAAAAAAAGTCACTAAACCCGTCATATCCTACTACTGTCCTATTTTTTCTTTTTTTTCCTTCTTTCTTCTTTTCTTTTCTTTTTCCTTTTCTTCCCCTTTTCCTTCTTTATTTTTTACAATTATAATCTCAATTTAGAAATTTTGATTTCAAATGCAAGAAAATTAAAAAAAGTGATAAATTGGATGAGATGAAATGAAGGATACTATAAATGAATGTAGGAACGGTAAAGTATCAAAATAGACCATAAAATATTGAAAAATTCATAAATAAATATATTTTAATGCATCGTCTATATATAGATGTAACAAAAAAAGTCACTAAACCCGTCATATCCTACTACTTAGGACATATTAAATTTAATACTCCGTAATTTATTTTGTTTCTGACACCGGGCCGGAGGCGGTGCGCGCCCGAAGGGCGCATCACCGCCGGAGGCCCGATTTTTTTTTGGAAATTAAATTTTGGGACTGGGACCCAGGAATTAAAAAATACTGGGAATTGGATAACAATTTTTGCAAAGGTCGCAATGCATAGTTTACGAGCTGAACTTGAGAGATTACAATTGAGGGCACAAAATTACAATCCATTTATTCGCATACAAGATAATGATTGGGAACAAGAGAGAAGGGACTTAATTGATCAAATTGATTCATTAGAGGATAAATTATCACAAGAGCAAATAAATAGAGAAAATTCAATTAATTCTCTAAACAATCAATTAGAAGAATATAGAAACATTATCGGACAACTCGGAAATGAAGCACAACCAAGAAATAGCGATGATACAATTAATTCTCTAATTAATCAATTAGAAGAATATAGAAACAGGATCAGACAACTCGAAAATGAAGCACAATCAAGAAACAATCAATTAGCAATATGCAAAAATAGAATCAAACAACTCGAAAATTTAGTACAAGCAAGAAATTGCGACAATACAATTACTTCTCTAAACAATCAATTAACGATACGTAGAAACAGAATCAGACAACTAGAAAATGAAGCAAGAAACAGAGATGATACAATTAATTCTCTAAATAATCAATTAACAATATGCAAAAATAGAATCAAACAACTCGAAAATGAAGCTCAAACAAGAGATAATGATGATACAATTAATTCTCTAAATAATCAATTAACAATATGCAAAAATAGAATCAAACAACTCGAAAATGAAGCTCAAACAAGAGATAATGATGATACAATTAATTCTCTAAATAATCAATTAACAATATGCAAAAATAGAATCAAACAACTCGAAAATGAAGCTCAAACAAGAGATAATGATGATACAATTAATTCTCTAAATAATCAATTAACAATATGCAAAAATAGAATCAAACAACTCGAAAATGAAGCTCAAACAAGAAATAGAGATATATCAGAGTTGCGTAATATCCAAGTTTTATTACAAGGAATTAGAATGCCTCAAGTTATACAAGTCCCTATAACCACAAATAAAGATAAGAAAGTATTTTATAAGTTTAAATCTATAATTGAAAATCAAGCAAATAAACCTAACAATTTTGGTGTTAAAGAAGATCTTTTAAGAGAAATGGTAGCCACGATTCAGAGTTTGTTAACAAAGAAAACATCACCAAATGCAGACGAAGTCGATAATTTCATACAAAGAATGACTGATGTCTTAAGTAAATTGGAAAGAATAATTAATTTCAATTAAAATATGGTACCCAAATCTGTATTTGTTAATTATGTTGAAAACGATGATCCATTCACCATTTATTTTAGTTCATCCAACGATTATATGATTTAATAATAATAAGGATGCCACTTTGGTTGCTTGTAAAGTGTCAGATTTTTTTGTAAAGTATATATATTCAAAAAAAGTATTCAATCGTTTTTTTATCCAAAATTTTGAGAGATGTCAGCCAAAACATTGTGAATCATTATCGCATGTATATTGATTTAATATCATTTTTAATAAGATATGTAATTATTCAATAAAAATTATTTAAGATATTCTATCGTAATTGATATAAAATTATTTTTCACAATTATGCTGACAGCAGTTGTTGGAACGTACACTGATAATGGAAGTAAAGGCATTTACTCTCTCAAAATTAGCCAGAATGATGGCAGTTTTTCCTTCCTTGAATCAGTTGAAGTAGATAATCCTTCTTATGTTATTTTAAATAGAAACAATACAAGAGTTTATGCAGTGAGTGAAATGCACAACGAGAAAGCGGCTCTTGTTGCGTTAGAGTTCGAAAAAATTAGTGGTCAATTTAAAGTCATCAATTCACAATTAACGCATGGAATGGATCCTTGCCATTTACTCCTTGGAGATGGTTTTGTTGTTACTGCTAACTATTCCAGTGGTAGTATTACTGTATTCCCATTGGATTCCAATGGTGGAATTCAAGAAGCAAGCCAAGTTATCAAATTTGAAGGAACGGGACCAGATAAAAGCAGACAAGAAATGCCTCATGCTCATCACGTATACTTTACACCAGATAGAAAATTCCTTCTTGTGAATGATTTAGGAACTGATAAAATTCACAAGTTTAAGGTCAATTCACAAGCACCATTTCTTTCTGAAACATATGAAGACATCAACGTTCAACCAGAATCAGGTCCTCGCCACTCAGTTTTTACGAAAAATGGAAAATATATGTATTTAATAAATGAACTCAACGGCCATGTGAATGCGTTTGTCAATCAGAATGGTACACTTTCCATGTTCCAGAGCATTATTTGCGATTCTGTTAGCGCAAGGGGTTCAGCTGATATTCATCTCTCCCCTGACGGGAAGTTTTTATATGCAAGCAACAGATTGAAACAAGATGGAATCTGTATTTACAAAATTGATAGTAGCAGTGGCTATCTTTCAAAAGTTGGCTACCAAATAACTGGAATTCATCCAAGAATATTCGATATTACTCCAAATGGTAAATTCCTATATGTTTGCTGCAGAGATAGCAATTGTATTGAAGTATACCAACGTAGTCTTGAATCAGGCTTATTGAGAAAAGATTCTGAAATCAAATTGCCTCATCCTGTTTGCATTAAGTTTGTTGAATTAAATTGATTTCACCCAAATAAAAATCTTCATTATATGCTTTATTTCCATATCTTTTTTAAATAATCAAGAATTTGTTAATAAAGTACATGACAACTAATTATGTATCGGAAAATTATAGTTAATACATCATGAAAGTAAAAAATTCTCAAAAATCTAATTCAAATTTCAGATTATTCATATGATTAAGACACATTTTTATAACCTAATAATGAAAGAAGTAAAAGTGAATTAAATACTAATGATTTATAATTAACAAACAAAATTATGATTTTCCCTCGATTTCTTTGATGTGTTTTGACAGTAGTTCTGTATTTTCGAACTCTTTTCCATAAGTTAGGATTGCCTCATTCAATTTCTTTCTGAATTTATCATCGTTTTCATAGAATGAAATCTTCAATCCTGGATTTAACCCTCTAACGTTCTTTGGCATAACTGATCTCCTTCTTGGACCTATTACCTGCAAAACCTGTGCATTTACAGACATTGCTGTATCCGGATATGTTAAATCTAACTTTGGGAACGGTATTTTGATTTTTTCTAGGTCAACTTCTTCATATTCAGGCGGAGTTCCGATATCTTTAATATCCATTTTAGTTGGTTTGAGGACAGAATCCTTCATCATCTTTAATTCTTCGAATAATTTATTTTTCTCTTCGCTCTTTCCCCATTTTTCATTTACAAGGGCCTCAAGCTTATCCATATTCTTTTCTAACTCAGCCATTGAGTCATCAAAGCTCTCTTCATAAAAAACTTGACCTCGAATTTCACCTTCCCAGACTCTGAGCCTTGAAGTGATCCATTCTATCTTAGATTCACAATTTAATATTCTCCAGAGAACTTCATCTCTCTTTTTAGCTGCTTTGTCGACTAAATCGTCAACTTGATCTTGAACTGTCGAATTGTTTTGTGTAAAATCGGTCCAATCATCGATCAACGTTCTTAGTGAGAATTTTCCTTCAGGGACAACTGGCGACATCAAGTCAAACATGATATCTGTAGTTTGATGAACGCGATCTTCAATCCATTTCATCTCATCGATAATTGTTTGCAATCTAGTCTTAATGGAATGATTTGTAGCAATTGTTCTCTTGAAGAAAGGCACTAAAATGGCAAGATCTGGTGATTGTTGGTACATTCCTAGTAATTCTTCGATTCTTCTATTAAATTCAAACTTATAGTCCATAACTTTGTTTAGTCTTTCTTCTGTATTCTCTTGAAAACGTGCATATACCTCATGATAACTCAAAATATTTGCTCTGTTGTGAGTTTTTTGAATTGGTACAACAAGATTGGCGCATGCTTTAGATTGTTCAACAATTTCATCAAATTTCTTCTTTAAATTATGTCCGAGATTCCGGTAGTGATTAATTTCATTTCCTAAATCAGTGAGATTCTTTGAAGATTGGTCCAAGCTAACGACAGATAGCATATCAGATAACTTTTGTATTTTGCCCATGCGATGAGTTAATGTTTTATTTGCTTTATCTATTTTTTCTTCTAATTCTTCGATATCTTCTTTGAGATGTTGATTGTCTCTCTCGAGAGTTAGAATTACTCCAGGAACTTTATCACGAAACAATCGATTGCCTTCTCCTACAAGCTCAAATGACTTTTGTTTCATGTATTTTATTTCTTTGCTCTTTGTATAATCTAATTTGTTTAATAGATTGTTTAAATCATTCATCAATAATGCTGATTTCGTTGAGATAGTTGTAGAGTCTCGTTGAAAATTCACTCCAAATTCTCGTAAATCAACAATTGAATCGATTGGATTCTCTCTGATTAGTATTTCCTTGGATATATTAAGAATTGTATCGTTTTTATCTTCGTTCTTCTTTGCAGGATCAAGCGGTGGTAGAGGTTGAGGAGACGACGTTATTTTAGGATTTTTGACAAAAATTCAACAAAATTTTTGACAATTCAAAAATCAATTTCTGACATGTTGTCAAAAAATATTTTTTTGTGAGAAATGAGTGTTGTTTTACTTTTTTCTGCATGTTGGTTTGGTTACGAACTGACAACATGCATCATACAAAACAGATTTGATTTTATATATCGCGCATCTTTAGGCGTTGGATTAGGAGTCGCGTTACAATCCTTATCTTTCTTTATTACATCAATGTTTTATCCATTAAACAGATTCCACGGCTATTTTATGTGCCTTACATACATGATTTTCTCTCTTTTACTTCATTTTATCAATATTAAAAGCAAACAATCATTAAAGTACAAAGGAACGTTATTTGAAACATACTTACTTATATTTTGTCCAGTTATTGTCGCACTTGCTGCAAAACACTGCTATTTACGAGATAAATACGTTGCAAGTGGCCCAACTTTTGCCGATTTACCATTTCATTTAAATATCATACGCTCTTTCTCAACAGGAATAAATTACAATCGATCATCTTTATTCGATGTTTGGTCTTCTTTTCAATCAAATTTATCTTTAGCTTATCCGATGTTTCACAACTTCTACATGGCTGCATTAATGAATACAGATGACAAAGGACCTGTTTTCATGCTACAACTTACAGCAGCATTGATGTGTTACGTTACAATAATTTTAATTCACGGATTAGCTTTAGTTTATACGAAAGATCATACGAATGCAGCCATATCTATCCTAGTATGGACCAATCTTGGTGGATTTGGCTACTGGTGTCTTTTTAAATACGGTACATCTTTTAATACAGCTGTTAATTTCATGAACCATCTTGGTACAGATACAAATGCATATACATTGCAACCACTTACGCAGATATTAATTCCCCAGCGTAGCTCTTTGTTTTCTTTCCCACTTGTTCTTGGAATTTTGATGTGTTTTGTCAAAATCACTCAAGAAAAGGAAATAAACATCAGATACATCATTCTTGCAGGCTTATGTACATGTACACTTCCTCAATTGCAAGTTCATAGCTTTGTTGCCATTGCTCAATACTCAATTTCTCTTTGTTTGATTTTTCTTTTCAAAACGAAAGAAAAATTTTGGCCATATTTCTTTAAATGGTCTCTTTATGGTCTGATCTCTTGTTCCATTGGAATTCCCTTAACATATCCATTCTGGGGACGTGCACATGAAGGAAAACTATTTTTAAACTACAAACCAATTTGGGATCAAAATGTTTACGGAAAATTCAAGTTCCCTTTGATCCAAGTTTGGTGGAATGGATATGGGCCATTTGGCTACATCATGATCTTGTTTGGATGGATTGCTGCTGATAAGACACAACTCTATCATTGGATAAGTTCTATGGTTGTTTGGTTTTTCGCTTCTTTCATTAGATATCAACCATGGGAAGGAGATAATCTAAAATTGTTTGCTGCTTGTTGGATACCTATTGCTGTTCCTTATGTCACACAGTTCTATTTATACGTGTACAGGAAAGCAAAACAGCATAAATACATCAGATATATTGTTATTTTCTTGATTGTTCAACAGATGTTTGCTGCTTTAATATCATTTCCTTTGGAGTTGTTGAAACCATTACAAGTCTATTTTCCTATTGACGAAGAAGCAGGATATTGGATACAAGAGAATATACCTACAGATGCTGTTATTTACAGTTATAGTTCTAGATTTAATCCTGCAACATCAATAGCAGGAAGACAGTTGTTTTATGGATTCATTTATTGGGTTTGTCAACATGGGGTTTACGCAAATAATAGAGCTCAAACAAATACGAATTTGTTGAATGAAAAATGGAATTGGAATATGTGGAAGAATCGGTCAATAGGATATGTACTTCAGAAGAAGAGAAATGCTCCTGTTTTCTCACATGAAGATAAGCCATTTTTGTTTTATTTGCAAAGTGAAAATGAAAAAGCTGTTTGGGAAACTATATTCGAAAATGAATGGTATTATATGTATAAACTATCGAAAGAGAATCCTTTCGAAAATACAAAGGTACAGCCAGAACATAAAGTAACCAAAAAGACGAAAAAGAGACATCCAAAAAGAACTTATAATATATAAATTTTTGTTTGTATATAAAAAAAGAGTTTTTTGCTACTATGAATTTTTCAATTCTACCTTTTCCTAAAATAGGAAAGTGTTAACAGCATTTGATTTCATAGTTCCTTAAAGAAAGTAAGTGTATATTTATTTAATTTTATCTTGGCATTGTAAAGATGGAGGAATTGACCATTTGGATCTACATTAGATGATTGACAAAAATTTTCGTTTAATAAACATAATCAACAGTTATTTTTTCCTTATTTTTGAGGAATTGAAGATTGGTTTATAGAGTATGAACGTTATAATTTCATTACTGATCAATGCGATATGAAAAATCTCGTTTGTTATAGATGTTTGGAACTGATACTTAAACAATGATGTTTTCATGAAAATAGTTAAGAAAATTATTTTAATCTATTTATTCGGAAGCGAGACTAACTCCCATGTCGAATGCTTGCTTTAAGATGTTTTCCTGATGTTCTTCAAACCACTTCTTCTTGAGGTCATTTGGCTCACCAGGGACCCACAACTTAGAAACATCTTTGGTTAGAAGTTGGAAGTAGTTGACAAGAACTTGGCACTTGCCTTTGAATACCATCTCAAGGTAATCTTTATTATGTTGGAATTGTGGAGCATAAATTCTTTCAAACATACTCTGTGGAGCTCCGCAGGTATATACAAGTCCAGTTTTTACTGGGCGTGTAAGGTTCGAGCGCTTTTCTTCGCAATAATTGAAATGGCAATATAAAAACCGCTGGAAGAAACTATAAAATGGACCAGTGAGATTTCCAAAGTAAACCGGTGATCCAATAACAAAAGCATCGGCGTTCTTAAGTTGCTCGATATACTTTGTGGCATCATCTTTAATGATACAAGATGCAGGGGCATTTGGTCTCTTGCATTGAAGGCATCCTTGGCATCCATGGAACTTCAATTTGTCTAAATGAACAATTTCTGCAGTTTTTCCAACTGATTCAACACCTTCCTTAATTGCTTTAAGGATGGTAACGGTGTTGTTGTTCTTTCTAGAACTGGCATTGAAGAGAAGAACATTTGCTGCAAACTTGCTTGGAGACGAAAGCATAGGAATGAACTGAAAAAAATTTAATTGAAATTTTTAAAGTCGATTGTTTGAAATTTGTATCGAATTGAATAAACATATGCGTTTCTAAAAAATTATGCTTTAAATACCAGTTTCCTTTATATTCTTAAAACCATAGATGATTAACGATAGATTTTCAGAATTTTGGAGAAACAAAAAGAATAATTCGTATTGATGAATTTTTTTGGAGATTTAACAATAATGTCATCCAATTATGCTATTTCAATAACCGAAGCTCTGATATAGTTTCAATATAATTTGTTGAAATTCTTCATTTTTTAAGTTTGCTTTTATGGTCGTGAGAATGTCTTTTTACATTAGCATAAAAGTATAGATGTTTATCCGAAATCTTGAAATATTTTTTTTCAATTGTCAATTTATTCCCAAATGCATATGTTAACAATATGAACACATGAAAAAACTAATGGCTCATAATATGTGAATGTTTATTTGTACCATTGTATTATGATGACCTAACTCAAAATTATTTCAAATTTGATTTTAATATTTTGTGAAAAAGATATTATTAAAGATAGATCATTAAAATGTTTAAAACTTGATACTCTTTGCAACAGTATCATATTTCTTCATGATTTGTTTCTGGAAATCTGTCAATTCTGCAACAGCATCGCCAATCTTAGTTTGTGGATTAATTTTTGAAACAGCATATTTAACGGAATTAATCCATGCTTTTGATTCCCTGAAACTGAAATATTGTGGAGAATGAGAGTGAACAAAATAGAAATCATTATCATTTGGTTTCTTAACATTGTACGAAAGAATGTTAAGACTTGGTCCATATTCTCCATTTCCTGTTGTTTGGAGCAAGAAATCTTTGACTGGTCCACCTGTTTTGAATTCACCAATAGATGACAGTACAGTGAAAGTACCTTCTTGAATCTTTCCATCAAAGTGATTGTCTCTGTATCCTCTTAATGATGCCCATGGTGCTCCTCTTTTGATCTGGTAGTTCATGTGCTCACGGAGTTTTGACATCAAAGTTTGTACATTGTCATTTTCCGTGACGTTTTCGGCATAAACATTGAAATTTGAGAAATATTGTCCTTGTGTAAGTTTATATCCTTTCTCTGCGTGCGGTCTGGTTCCAAACACTTCCCATAATCCTGTCTTATCGAATTTTCCATTAAAGGCAGACATAGATAGGATCATTGAAGAGAACATAGACTCTGTGAAGCCGTGTAACTTCTTATCTTTTTGACTGTAAACTTGAAAGTCGTTAATTTTGAGATGTTCGCGCATAGACATGATATATGGTGTTGTAGCAAGACGTTGTGGATCTTTGGTTGAAAATCTGACTGCTTTTTCATCGCATGGAATTGGAGGAAGATAATAATTCATTGAATTGATCTTCTCTATGAAAGGTTCGTATGTGGATGGATTAATTCCAATCTCTGGAATTGGTAAGTTCTGTACCATCAAGTTATTTAAGTATGTCAATGTACCGCCATCCAAAACGCAATGGCTTCCTACAATGGCAATCGCGTCTTCAGCAATTGCTATAGATGATAATGCTGTTGTCAATGGTCTTGTACAGTGTAGGTCAACATAATCTGCAATTTCATCTAAATTCTTTATTGCATCTGGAACTTTGAAGACTGGAACATCTCTCTTTTCGAATATAATGTGATTATTTTCAAAGTGGGAATGTAAACCAGCAAATGACTTACATAATTTTTCGAGATTCGAATCTCGGTCATTTTCGGAATTGAATTTCCATACACCAACTACATTGGTATTTGACTTCATCCACATTGTATCAATGTTGTCTGCTAAACGTCTCTGAATAGACATTCTACAAATGAAAAAATGATTGATTTTGAGATCAAATTCAAAATATCGAAAATTCAAATGAATTGAATGAGTATTCAATTTGATTAAGAATAACAGTCAATTGAGCTGCCATATAGTTACCATTTTCCAAAAGTATTAATGCATATTTTGTGAATATTTTAATTAATTATAACTAATATTCATCAGTCAAGAATATCACGAAGGAACATAATCCCCGTCATAGTTTCTGGTTGCAAATACATAAGGTAAACGTAGCCGTTCTTTATTAAGTTTACCAGCCACAAGGCAAGAAAAATGTTTGTACATTTATTTTTATTTTTTATTTTTTTTAATAAATATAAACACTTGACGTCAATACCTATTCTAAATATCCCTAAAGATATCACATAAATGGGTGTTATTAGGAAGAATGTATGAAATTATTCCAGCCGAAAAAAAAAATTACAAACAAGATAAACACTTTTAAAAACGCTTAACGTTTCAGATCGTTTTGGCAAAAAGAATATTATATTTTCTTGATCTGTTTACCAATTTGATTATTGAGACAAATTCCTAAAAAGTGACAGTATTTTGGCTTCATCAATACTAAATTCTAACTTTGTAATATTTTCATATCTTCCTCCTGATAGCACCCCTTTACGCGAAATTCGAAATATTCTTACTGATTCGTTAGTTCCACCACTTTTGATTTATCTAACTCATAGAGAATTAACTTTCCCACCAAATGTACAAATGCAAATTAAAGTCATCAAGATTCCAAAGGGAATAGTTCCTTCTGGAGCCCATTATTCTGAATTTAAAACAACTGTTTTTGATTTTCTTTTGTCAAATCCAAAAAATATTTCAAGAATTGGTGTTTGCTCAGCTCATGGTGATGATATTTGTCTTTATATGATGTGCAGATGGCTAATAGAAGAAGGAGGATTCACAGCACAAAGTTTCAAACAGCAAATTCAAGCTGTTCATGGATTAAGCTTCAGAAAACCAAAATATTTAATATCATTACAATCTTTATATGGAGAAATGCTGGTTGACAATCTAACATTGCAGTATTTTTCGGAAAAATTAATTGATCAAAATTTAATTCAAACTCAAAAACAATCTGAAGACAAAATTGTTGAACCAGTCCAAAAACATGAAATTCCTGTTAGTGTTGACATGATTCGTGTTGAATTCGACGAAAGCCGATTGAAATTAAATACAAAAGAAATTGATCCATTAATTAAATCTGTTGGAGTTGCTTTGGATCCTATTGATGAAGCAAACATCAAGAAAGATGTAGAATCGAATTTAACTGTTAAAAAAGAACGTTTGAATTTTGATAGATACTCATTAAAGGATATTGCTAACGAGAAAGACATATTTTGGATCATGGAAGATGCAAAAGGAGTTCATGTTTATCTTCTATTCAAATTAAGTTGTTGTTTTATTATTGGTGAACAAAATTGGGTCAGAAAAGTCAATCTTTACATGCCACCGTTAAATAGTAGTAACGAAACAATGCTTTATTCAATTTTCGAAGGTATTATATGGCATGATCCAAGTAAAAACAAATTGCAAATTATGTTTGTTGATATCATAAATAATGAAGCAAGTTCAACAATGTCACTTCCTTTTGCAGAAAGGGCTAATCTTATTGACCAAATATTAGCAAACAGGCAGCGAAAGATAGATGAGAATCAATTTGTTCATATTAGTAATGACTTTGATGTTCGCATAAGAAAATATTGTAGATTGAAATATTTGGATTTCTTGAAACAAAATTTCGAAGTACAAGATTCATCAATTTTGTTTAAATCAAAGGATGGAAGATACGGAAGCACTGAATACTTGTATGACGAAAATAATCCATTGATTATCACTGTAGAACTTAATATTTTGCTGGGTACTTTTTATGGTGTTGATAACGATGAAAAGCAATTTGTTATTTTCGATCATCCTACAAAAGAATTCGCAAAATATAATGAGTGTCTCATCGATATTATCTATAACAGAATGACAAATAAATGGGAAATGCTGTCATTGAGTAGTTCTAAAAGAGCAATGGATGGTGATCATTTAACAAATACAATTCTTGAAACAAGAAAACCTCCTTTGAATTTTGATATGCTCAAAAGGAAAATTGATAAGATCCTTCTAAAGCCGCAGTATGTTCAAGAAGAACTCGAAAGAGCAAAAATGAAATCATATGCTAAATAAAATACTTTTTATTTTTAATACATTTATTATTGCATTCATTTATTCTATTATTCATTGTAAGAACAAAACAAAAATGTCTCTCCTTTTTTTAAAATCAGCGGAGTGTATGATGTAGAAATGAAATTATCTGTCACACTATGAAAACGAAGATGTGTGTCACATTTCATGAATGTGCCTTTTTTTAAAACTCAATGAATCAATACACCCTTTCTTTTAAAATTCCTGATCTTTCAGGATGCGAATGTCCTTGTTATGCATTTACATAATGTGAAGGAAATGGCTTGTCCATGTAAGCCTAAACTATAAACAGGTTCTTTCTTATTCAACTTTTTTTTTTCTCCCCAAATTCTAAAAAATTATTTTTTGATGTTGATACGCACTTTCCGGAGTGCATTCAACGAAATTTCAATAATAATACTCTTAGCATTGATTATTTGCACTTCTATTGTTAATCAAGGACCAATAAATCGAGCACTTTCATACCATCCAAGGAAAATTATGTATAAAAAGCGATATCAACAAGTAGAAATGATTCACAATTTTACACTAAATGAAAGAATTTACACAGGCCGAGTTTTATTATCAAATAATACATTCACAAACGAATCTGTAAATTATGATAACAATTCTCTTGCATTTCAACATTCGATTCTTCAGCATTACATATTTTGTGACGTAAGTAGACAAGGAATTCGAACTTTTGGCGGAGAATTTTACATGCCAACAGATATTTTATTTCCTTGGAAAATATTACCATTCATAAATCATACCCTTCAAATATACGATAAAGCTGTTGTTGGATTTTGCTATCATCCGCAGTTTGGCCACGTTATTCAAGATATGATTGGTGGAATACTAAGTATTCCAAGCGAAATACTCAAAGGTTCGGAGATTTTCATACGATCTAATGAGTCACAGATCAAACAGTTCATGACAATTTTAGGTTTCGATCCAAATCATGTTCATGAGTTAAATGAAGAATGGATCTTTGTGAAAGATCTTTACATTGCTGTTGCAAGTTATCCTGTATCCAGTCTTCAAGTTTCTTTCAGAGATATTCATGATTTAATATATAAAGTGAATAATTTAACGGATATAGTGCCAACAGAGTACGTATTCATCAATAAAGAAAAGAACAATTGGGGATACGTCAAAAATATGGACGAATTATTTAATTTCACCAAAGATTTTTATAATAAATACAATTGGACGTTCCTTGCATCAGATTACGTGTTCAATATCTCAAATTCTATGAAGCAATTTTCACGTACAAAGGTTTTCGTGAGTGCAACAGGCTCCGCTTCGTTTAATATGATTTTTATGCATCCAAATTGCGGACTTTTGCTTATAGATTCGAGAGCATGCAACTCCCCATGCATAGCAATAGCTCATTCACTCGGAATATGGATGTACTACGTTGCTTCTGATCATATCAACAGAACTAAATTAACAGGAGGGAAAATTGAGTTAGAAATCTTCAACGAGACACTTTCATACGTATTAAGTGCAGTAGAAAATAAAAGATGGCCAGAAATAACTATTCCTTCACGTGAATTTATTGATTTTGACATTGAAGAAAAAAAGAAAATTGCGTTTTACGGAAAATATAAGGATAAGAAGACTTATTTCGTATACGAAAGATATATCGAGAATAATGTAATAACTAAGTACTATCCAAGAGCAAAAACTTATCTTGAACCAAAATAATTTTTATATTTATTGATTGCAAAGCTAATTTTTTGTTTTGTGTCAGATTTTCCTCCTAATTTTACGCGTCCACGTAAAATGACGCAATTATATGAAATACCCTACGTTCCCAACTTCTGGAAAACGGTTTTTCACCCTTATGATCAGTTTCAGACGCTTTGGGAGTCTCCCAAACTTTGATATTTTGCATTATGATAGAGAAACGCGTCTAGTTTAACGCACAGTTGTTTTAAAGGCAAATGATGATATCACATGAAATTATCAAATTATCAAATTTTGAAGTACCAGTCCAAAGGGTTAATTAGATCCTACACAGATGTGCGATAGTGAAACATATGTGTTCTTGATTTGAGAAGTCCTACTGATAGAGGTATGAATCTCACAGCTTTGTGTGAGTGTGTCTGACACTTGTATAGAGTGGAATATGCGCCGACATATATTATATAATAACATGTAGTTGATAATTATGAAAAAATAGAATTCGATGCGAATGATATTGAAAGTTGTTTTGTAATTTGATATTTTTCTTATATGTGTTAATTAGTAAATGGCTTGTTTGTTGTGATAGTACTGTGAAAAATGAAAGGTATTTTAAATTAAAAAAATGAGATTTTGAGATATCTCTAGAATTAAGAATTTATTATGTATTTGACTTTTATATAACTATGTGTAAAGGATTTCGATGTCTATATTCTTTAAATAAAATTAAATAAAATGAGATAAAAAATTAAAATGGACAAGAAGATATATGGAAATGTAATTTGTATTGTGTTAGTTGTTGGAAAAATGATTTTAATACAGATTTAAGGATTTGGAATGGATTTGAAATTAAATGATTTTAATTCAAGGAGTAATAAGATTTTGAACTGGTTTTTATTTTGTGAATGTAAACTCCTTCCATAGGATATGTATTAGAAAGATCAATGTCAAACTTTTTGAAAGAATTGTTTTTTTGTTGAGCGATTTTCTCATATTTAATAATATATTTCAGTTGGCGTATCTTACGCCCTTCCAAAAATATGTATTAGAAAGATGACTTATAATTTCATAAATTATTTTGTCCCGACGGTTTGAGAGGTTATCAGAATGGTTGCTTACACAATGCGTCAGCAAAATGTCGGTTGGGGTGCCCTTCTTGGCCTCCTGAGTACTCACCAAGATACCCCCAGCTCCCGCAAAACACCTCCCTTAGGTGCGCATTACCTGACGGCATTATTTTGCAATTATTTCAAATTTTTTAGATGTCTTTTGTTAAAGTTTGTTAACTAAAGACTTGAAAACAGCTTACCGCTTCAAGCTGCTCTCTTCCCGGTTCCTCTGCCGCAATCTTCTGTTTGATTGTGCGCAAAGCTCTCCTCCTTGTGAACCATGGCTGATAGAAAGAACTGAAAGACAGGATAGGAGGAACATGCCGGTTCAAGTTAACTTGCAATATGCTTCTGATTAGTGATTTTAGATGAAAGATTAGCGAAATCGCATTTAATTTGGATAGAAGGATTCAATTTTATGAAGCAGGCTCGTAGAAAATATGCAGGAATAGCACAATCTTTTGCAATCACAACGCGATTGCAAAACTTCGACCGACAAGAGTGTATTGTGCACTCTTGTCGGTCTGCATGTCTCATTCCGGGAGACATTGTCACTGCATGTCTCCCAGAATGAGACACTCTTCCGCATTCATAACTTGAATGCGGAAGTTTGACCGACAAGAGTGCACAATACACTCTTGTCGATCTAAATGTATCTTACAATCAAAGACACTTTCATACAATCTTTTCGAAGTTAAAAAAAAATTTAATTATTTCTTTCTTTTGTTTATTAAATCGCCTTACTCACGTACTAATCTCTTTTAGAGACTCTATCGAGCTATCCCCACATATAAACCTGTGACAATAATACATATTTACTCTCTTCATATTCTGATCTCATGACACATTATCGCAAAAACTATAATTATACAACACATCTCATAAAGTCTCATTTTAGCCCTATCTAAGCGTTCAAAACCTATTTTCCACACGTAATCTGATTCTTCTGGCTCCGCTGATTCGATTTCTGCTGTCAGATCGTGAAAATATGCATCACATAAAGAGATAAACACAACTCAAAATTATTGCTTTTTTTTTCAAATTGTCTATTCATCCATCTTTACATATTTATTATCTCCTCCGTTTCCCCTCACAAATTCTTTTAATTTTCTGAATAATACGTATAATAAAATGAATATCTCAAAAACTAAAACACAAAATTAATGTTGGAAAATGACTAGATATAATCTGAACTTTTGAATTCATACATTTTTGGAAAAAATTGAATTTTCAAAAAAAGAGCTTATTTGCTTTTTTTCTTCAATGTCAAAATCAATAAATTCACGTGAAGTTGTGCAATTTGCATTTATCTCTTTATGTGATGCAAAAAAAATTATTGATTTAGGTATGAACCTGAAGAGAAATTTTAAGGAAAATATTAAGTTGTGCAATTTGCATTTATCTCTTTATGTGATGCATATTTTCACGATCTGACAGCAGAAATCGAATCAGCGGAGCCAGAAGAATCAGATTACGTGTGGAAAATAGGTTTTGAACGCTTAGATAGGGCTAAAATGAGACTTTATGAGATGTGTTGTATAATTATAGTTTTTGCGATAATGTGTCATGAGATCAGAATATGAAGAGAGTAAATATGTATTATTGTCACAGGTTTATATGTGGGGATAGCTCGATAGAGTCTCTAAAAGAGATTAGTACGTGAGTAAGGCGATTTAATAAACAAAAGAAAGAAATAATTAAATTTTTTTTTTAACTTCGAAAAGATTGTATGAACGTGTCTTTGATTGTAAGATACATTTAGATCGACAAGAGTGTATTGTGCACTCTTGTCGGTCAAACTTCCGCATTCAAGTTATGAATGCGGAAGATTGTCTCATTCTGGGAGACATGCAGTGACAATGTCTCCCGGAATGAGACATGCAGACCGACAAGAGTGCACAATACACTCTTGTCGGTCAAACTTCCGCATTCAAGTTATGAATGCGGAAGAGTGTCTCATTCTGGGAGACATGCAGTGACAATGTCTCCCGGAATGAGACATGCAGACCGACAAGAGTGCACAATACACTCTTGTCGGTCAAACTTCCTAATACAAAATTTGATTCCCTTATTATCTTCTTAACAAAACTTAAGATTTCAATAATACATCATGAAAACATTCATTTACTACATTCACACTGTTATTCCTTTCTATAAATTAACTCATTTAATAGAATCTTGTTTTTATATCTTATTATTTTCTCATAATACTTCTAATTCCTCTATTTCCTCTTCCACATAAAATTTAATTTTGTAATGCTATCATATACACTTAATGTTTTCAAATTTTCAGATTTAAATTTAATCTTTATTTTCATCATCATTTATAATCTTGTTCCTATATAAAGTTATAATAAATTATCGTCAGATTCTAATATTTATGATTCTTACTACTCAATTCAATATAATTATGTTAGTCACTCATATTCAGGAGAATAATTTAAAAATCTATAGCTCATATTTTGATAGTTATATATTTAGATGATATATATTGCAATTCCGGTTTCAACACGATCAAATGCCAAACCAAGACAAAATATATATGAATTTTCAAAATATCGATTTACATTAGAATCTATATCTAATTTTATCAATACACAAGTAGGGAATGTTCAATACATCTTTGAGCAACGTGAATAGCACAATTTTATAGGATTATTTGTTGATTATATAAAATATAAGCCAAATCGAATCTGCTGTATAGTACTTTAGTTTATCATTGAATGTTAAATGTGTTCAGATAAATATTTGAGTCAGATATCGCATTTTCTAATTTCAAAATTTATCTCATGAAGTTAGAATTTATTTGATCATACAACATCATGTTAGTCAAACTAGAGTTCAATGGCGATTCTAAAATGGAACAAATGCTTGTTTTATCAAAATGTTAAAATATTAATCTAAAAAACTTAATATCTAATCAAATCATTCTAGAATTATTATATACAGGTATAGGCAATCTAAATGCACACGGAATTCGGAAAATTAAAAAGAATATTTATGAGATTATTAAATCTTATGTAATTCAATGAAAAGTAGATAATATGAATATCTATAGGCTATATATCAACATATGAGTTTTTGGTTTGACCAATACTATACTAATGTGATCAAATTAATCTGATTTCTTAGATTTTCATTTGAAGCATTTGCAGTAGTAGGGGTACCTTTATATATTAACATATTAAAAAATTGCGCTCCGATTCGCAGTTTCTTCATGATTTTGAGATTGCATTAGATTTCGCGATGCAGAAAAAAATCACTTTAGATTCCCGTCAAACTCTAAGTATAAGTCATGAAAATTTTCCAAGAGTTGGAAATATAGGGTATCTAGTATAAAAAATAAATTATGAATCTTATTTTTTTCATTCTCTCAAAATTGAATAGAAAATTTTACAAAATCATATTTAAGGAAACTTTGTACTACCAATTCTTTTCTAGATCAAGCTGATGATTATTGAAATTATAATGCTGACACTCAGTGTGTTCGTATATTGCATATATATCTATCAAATTCTCACGAAGAATGGGAAGATTTCTTCAATGCTTCAATCGATTATACACCATACAGAAATGAAAGCAAAGATCTTAGTGTTAACGCTGACAGCAGCTATTACATCTCTCTTTGTCTCTTTATTCGCCTTAATTCTTCAGGTGCCGTTCGTATCTCGTCTTCTACAAGCAATAATCTCAAATTCCTCATTGATACTAGCTCATTTGACGAATGTGAACACACTAGCGACAAAGGTGGGTCTTTATACATAAGTTCTTCTACAAGTGAATGCATTCAAGATCGAATCTGCAGTTTTGGCTCTAAATCACCAAAAGAAGGTGTTTACTGTTATGTTTACGTTTCTCGTACATCACCATGTAAGAATTATCTCCTTGATTCAACAATTTCTTCAAGTAGTACTCCATATTCAAACGGATATTCTAATCTTTATTTGCACAATGGTGAAATAAGTGTGAAGTCAATCAACATTTCATATTCAAAAATATTCTATAGAAATTTCTACAAGATTGATTGTAGTTCTAACTCAAATGTAACTTATTCAACATTTTCAAACTGCTCACCCGTATTTACAAGTAATTATGAAGCATATCATGATGGACATCCTTCACTTGAATTTAAAATTCTTTTTTGTAATTATTACGGCAACAAATGCAGATTGTTTATTGGCAGTGATTATGATCTCGATATCATTAATTGCAGTTTTTATAATAACGACATCAAAATTCGATATTTCGGTGTATATTATAGTCCATATCAAGTTCAAGTTAAAGGATGTTATTTCGACATTTCACAACTTAGTCCATATGCTTCTGTTACAATTACAGAAAATGCAAGTTCAATATATCCAAAAAATCATCATTTGTCAACTGGTCTATGTTTTGTAGAACTAGAACCTGAATTTCCAGAAAAAGCAAAAGAAGAAAAAAAGACAAAAATCAAAGTTAACTACAAGCAAAAAAATAAACTATTCTTCATTGTATTTCTTGTTTTTTTCACATCTAAATAAAAAATGATACAAAAGAATGGTTATTTATTTCCCTCAATTATGAAGTATCCCTTAACCATTTCCAATCTGTGAAAAGCCTCATTTTTAGATGATAGATAAAAGCAGCATTTCAATTTTGTGCCAATTTGAGATTTCATATATGTAAAAATTGAGAAGTATATAGCTACGATATAGATCAAGTTCAGACAAAATGAATAATGCAAGAATTAATAGATCTGTGTGAGATGTGCTGTATATATTAATTAAAAAGTATAAGAAATAAGAAATAATCAAACAAACAAATTAATTTTATTTAATAAGTATTAGATTGAAATTGTGCATCGTATTTTGCAATAAAGAAAGAAATGATTGAATTCCAGTTATTCATTTTTTGAAGATATTCGTATGTGTTATCTGGAAGTAGATTAATGAGGGATTTTGAATAAAAACAATCAACAATGAACATAACAGCAAAGTTTGTTATTTCTGTGAGTTGGAATTCTGCATTTTCTAAAATACAAATCGATTTTTCAAAGAATTTTTTGAAATAAAATTCCATTTTTTCCTTACTAAGAGCGAGAATGCATAAAACACTTAATTTGGCAAATGCTTCGCTGTTGTTCATCTCTTCAACTGTTTCTATGAATTCTAAAATAGCATCACAAACTTCAATAAGAAAATCATCTTGTTCATCAGATAAAATCATGAAATAATAAGCACAGCTGACGAATAAACTTGGATCAAATGCATTTTCCATGCTGACTTTAGAACACCAAACTAATCCTGATATAATTGATCGAGCAAACTTTTTTCCACCATGAAGGTAGATCAATGCACGCCATGCTCTGAATGTTTTATATAAATCATTGTTGTCCGTTAATCCCATACTTGTGACTCTTTCCAAACTTCGAACAATTAAAAACAAATTAATTGTTTGATGTGCTTCTGGTAATAATATCATCGTAAAAAAATCAGGAGCATCAATACTCCAGCCTGTGACAGGTGTTGGAAGTGCTGTGAATAATAACATCTGTGCAAGCATGAATTTATGGATATGAGTATTTGGAATCTTTTTTGTTGGTATCTGTCGCATCAATTGCGATTTAGTTCTCGTTCCCCAAATTAATGCAGGAAAATATAAATTTTGGTTTTCTTCAACTAATGCCAAAGCATGAATTAAATATGAATTGTTTGTTTCAGTGAATAAGTAACAAAGGTATTTTATACATTTATTAATTGGTATATATTCATTAATACACTCTTCAAGCGTTGGTTTTATATTAATTTCATTTTCAGACCAATTAATATCAGCCATTGCTTTCAAAAGTAAAATAGAAGGTGTATTTCTTGTTTTAAATAATTTCTGAATTTCACCTAAAAAATAAGGAGCTCCATCTGATATTTCAAGTCTAATTAGAGTAATAACAAGCGTCAAAGAATGATAGAAATATAATTCATCAGTAGTTCTTTCTGCTATATCTAAACAAGTATTAATTAATACATCAAGTTTGCCAATAGAAGCAAAATAATAAAGAAATTCACTTGGATTTTGGTAGATTTGCTGCATAATGGTAATAGAAGCTTGTATATCATTAGATCCAATGACTTCAAGAAATCTGTATCCAACTGAAGTCGACAAAGCTGGATAATGCTTAGTTTCTTCATAAAGTTTATCAACAGGAATATTTTCGGGACATTCAGAAAGGAATTTGTAAAGTTCTTCAAATGACACTGGTGGAAGTTTTGTAGATTTTTGATATAACTCCGTTAGGTAATCTCTAAGTAAATTACTGTTAAAAGGAGTTAATGTATAATCGAATATACCTCTTTTGTCGAAATTTAGAAAAAAATTTGTCAACATGAAAGCAGAACTTAGATCAAAGCTGTAAATAAAACGCGTAAGAAGTGATACGTAATAAGTGTAATTTAATTGTGGTAGATATGATTGAAATAAGTCGTTTTTGAGTAGCCATGGATAAATACAGAAAACTGCGGTGTTAACTAAGACTTGTATTTTAATAAACTTTTTTTGGGGCTCTAATTTGTTGAGTGTGATCTCTGGCATTTCGATTAAATTTCGTAAATCTTTAAATTGATCTGAAGAAAGATAAATTTGTTGGACATTTATAAATTCTTTGGTATCGAAAACACGTGAAGATGCTATAAGAATACGAAAGATTTGAGAACGATTGACTTGTATTAAAGTATTTTTTCTTAGCTCCGGAATTTTGCATAAGAGCAGAATTTTTAGAGCTACTAGTGAACAGTGAGCAGATTCGTATGTTCCTAATGTAATTGTATTGAATAATTGATCTCCATATTCAGCTAAAAGTTTCACGCATCCATTAATTTCATCATTATTTGTTAAATCTATATTAGTAAATGACCAATATGGATATTTTTCGAATATTGCATAAAAATAATACATAACGAAACTTTCTAAAGAGGAAGAAAGCTTGGATAATGCTTTGAATATTGCAAGTCGCTTCTCCTCATTGAATTCTTGATATTTTATAATGAATTCTTCTTTAGTCAACAAAGTATTCCAACAAGTCTTCAGAAAATCCATTAAAAATATGAAAATTACGATTTAAATTTCGGGATTTTCAGGCTCACCTATCATATTATTGGTTTGGAAATTATGCGATAATACAATGAAATTGATAATATTTTTCGTCTTTTTATTTGTCGTCGTAATTCCCCAGATAAAAACAGTCTCTTTGGTGTGATGATGACATAAGCATATGCAGCTTAATGAAGCTCAATTATATAAAGATATATGAACGAATTTTCTATATTACATCATTCTGACTATTAAAAGCTCATGATAATGCATTTTCCACAACAAGCATAGCTCATATGTCTTCTTATCATCAATTCGTCTTGCAATTCCTAATATTAAATATATTTCGGATAGATCTTCTCATGACACTATAACTCGAACCCCTAAATACCATAGAAAAAGTGAATAATCTACCGACCACTTAATCAAATTGAATTCAAACTTCTTAAGAAATCAAAAAAGTGACAAAATTTCTCCAAGAATAAAATCATAATTATGGTTATATATGCATATTCATAGCTAAATTTTCATTGAATTAATTGAATGCCCATCGAACAAATAAGGCTGAAAAAAATTTTTTTGAGACATGTATTCGGCCATTTCGATAGACAAAACAGTTTATTACTGATGTCTTTAATAGAAGCTGCTAAGCACTTTACTCGAGCTTTTGCTAAAGCCCGCGATCTTAAGTTCGGATCCGATGCTCGTGATCACTTACTCCTCGGCGTTGAAAAATTAGCCGATGCTGTTGTTTCAACACTTGGCCCAAAGGGTCGCAACGTTATGATTGAGCTCCCATACGGCCCGCCAAAAGTCACAAAGGATGGTGTTACAGTTGCTAAATCAATCGAATTCAAGGACAAGTGGCAAAATCTTGGTGCCCAGCTTGTTATCAATGTTGCCCAGAAGACAAACGATGTTGCTGGTGATGGCACAACAACAGCTACATTGCTTACCCGCGAATTATACAGAGAGTCAATTAAAGCGTTATCTGCCGGTCTTGATCCAAACAAGGTCCGCAAGGGCATGACACTTGCTGTCGATGCTGTCGTTAAGGAACTCGAGAAATCAACAAAGAAAGTCTCATCTCCAGACGAAATTTTCAATGTTGCCACAATCTCTGCCAATGGCAGCGAAAAGATCGGTCATCTCATTGCCGATGCCTTCAAGGCTGTCGGAAACGAGGGCGTTATCACGGTCGCTATGGGTAAGAAGTTCGACCACGAACTCGAAACAGTCCAAGGCATGAAAATTGACCGTGGCTACATATCCTCATACTTCCAGAATGATACAAAGTCCATGAAGTGCGAGTATGAGAATCCATATATCCTTATTACAGATATCAAGATCAATTCTTTCGCCCAGATCGCTCCAATCCTCGAAAAGATCATTACAACAGGTCGCCCACTCCTCATCATTGCCGATGATGTCGAAGGCGATGCTCTTGCTACATTAATCGTCAACAAAATCCGTGGATCCCTCAAAGTTGTTGCTATCAGAGCTCCAGGCTTCGGTGACAACAAGAAGAACACATTACAAGACATTGCCGTCGCTACAGGTGGCCAATACATCTCAGAAGAACTTGGTCTCAAACTTGAAGAAGCCACACAACAGATGCTCGGCCAATGCAACAAGATTACAGTTTCCAAGGACGACTGCATCATCCTCGGCGGTGCTGGCGACAAGGACGCAATGAAGGCCAGATCAGAAGATATCAAGAAGCAGCTTTCCAACACACAGAGCAAATACGAGACAGACAAACTCCGTGAGAGACTTGCCAAGCTCACTGGCGGTGTTGCTGTCATCTCCGTTGGCGGTGCAAACGAAGTCGAAGTCGGTGAAGAGAAAGACCTCATTGACGATGCATTGAATGCTACACGCGCTGCCATTGAAGAAGGTATTGTTGCCGGTGGTGGAACAGCTCTCCTTAGAGCATCAGCTGTTTTGGAACCACTCAAGAAGGACAAAGGTCTTGAGGAGAGAACAGGCATCGAAATCATCCAGAACGCCATCAAACAGCCAGTCATAGCCATTGCTAAGAATGCTGGAATTTCTGGTGATGTCGTTGCTGATAGAATCCTTAGAAACAATGATAAGAACTTCGGTTACGATGCAAGAAATAACCAGTACACAAATATGTTCGAGAAGGGAATTATCGACCCAACAAAGGTTGTTAGAATGGCTCTCCTTAACTCAGCTTCTGTTGCTTCATCAATGATGTCCGCTGGAGTTATGATCACTGAGTTACCAGAGAAACCAGCCGCTGCTGGACAACCAGCTATGCCACCAATGGATGGAATGTTCTAAATAATATTTTTCTATATAGAGGTTTTGAAGACTCATCAAAAAAAATTTAATAACTTTTTTTTCGAAATAAATTAAAAACTTTCTGAATCTAAAATAAATTAAGGAGACCACATCATTGATATCTTAAATGAATGTTATCTTCAAACATTCTCTACTTAAATTCCAAATTTCCTTTTAAAGCTAAATGTACAATTATTTTGTATGAAATCAAGATTTGAACAGTGGTGCTATAAACTCATAGTTAACTTGATAGTAAAAGTTGTGTATTTCTTTCGATTATAGTTATCCAAAAAGCTTATTCTATGAAAACTGGTTTTTAGAGCGCCTAAATAAAAAATACTATGAGTTGCCTTATTGTTCAATCAATCCTTTCGAGGCTTTTCAGAAAATCTCTAAATTATTTTAATGAAGTCTAATATTATAATCGGCTATTAAAAATCGGATTCCACTATTTTTGAGAATATGCGTTTATGATATTAGAGGTAACATATTCAAGCCTAATAATTTAGATTTTAAAATAAGTCTATTCACTAAGATTATATATCGTATTTTAAAGTACAAGTATGATATTACATGGAAAATGTTTGAATTTTGGTTCTCTTAATTGAAATTTTGTAGGCGTGTGGGCAATTTTAACGACATTTTTTAACGCGATACGAGCGTAAGTCCATAGAATGTGTTTTGAGGGAAACTATAAAAATCCAAAATAGAGGTAAGTGCGCCATTATTACCTGCGAAGTTACATGGAATAAATCGAAGAGTAAGTACAAGATGATCTTGCATCTTTCCAAGTAAATGAAATTTATTAAAATTAAGATGATAATATTCATTTATAGTATGTGTATGATGTTTTTTCAAAATTTCTTCAAATAAAATGCAATGATAATTTTTGAATAATTTTTTTCTTGTGTATATTTCATTTTTTATTAGTGAAAATATCATTACATCAATAAGGAAAGCACAATCCAAATTCATATTAGTTAAATTAATCTACGACCAAAAGCCCGCCAAATTTGAATTAAACACGTTTTTTGATAAAAGTGTCATTTATGATTGTTGCATTTAGGGATAGTAGCCAATTTCGGTACCAATCTTGAAAATGCCTCGCCATGCCCGCAACATGGAAGAGAAGTATTGGTCTGATATTGAACTATCAATCAATGCAAACTGAATCACCTTGTCATGTTGCTCCACAGATACAGCAGTCTGAGTCCCTCGCTTGGTCATGTTGCTCCACAGATACAGCAGTCTGAGTCCCTCGCTTGGTCATGTTGCTCCACAGATACAGCAGTCTGAGTCCCTCGCTTGGTCATGTTGCTCCACAGATACAGCAGTCTGAGTCCCTCGCTTGGTCATGTTGCTCCACAGATACAGCAGTCTGAGTCCCTCGCTTGGTCATGTTGCTCCACAGATACAGCAGTCTGAGTCCCTCGCTTGGTCATGTTGCTCCACAGATACAGCAGTCTGAGTCCCTCGCTTGGTCATATCACACCAGATAAATAAAAGTTCAGCTTCACAATACTTACCTGCTCTATTATGTGATTTTTTCCAACTATCATATGTTAGTTGTTGTATTGAAGTTGAGTATGAAAGAATAATGTTGCAAGATTTCTCACCAAATAAAAAATCATTAAAGAACATTTTATTCTTTGAAAATGTATTTATGTTGAAAATAATGGAAGATGTTATTCTTGTTAGTTAGTTTACGAAGTTCTTTTGGAAGAAATTTGTTGAATATCTTTATTTTGAATGGGAATGAACTTAGGAAATTCACCACGAGCTCTTGAATAGGCAGAATTGTAATGGATGATTAGCTATGATGGGATTATACGATGTTGGTTTGTTCTAGAATGATTAAAAAGTTTTCAGGTAATGTGCTGATGCATTACAAAAGATGGAAATTATTTAAATAATAACATAGTTTAATAATATTCAATTTAACTGATTAAATATTTGAAAAATTATCTAATTAGGATTTTTTTAGTTTGAAAAGTTAATTTTAGGCATAGTGTATAAAATAAAAAGCATCTACCGTGTCAGAAAATCGAAAAGTTTTCCAAAAAAATCATAAATTTCAAATTTTGAAATAAAAATTGGTACTTTTTAATATGTAAAATAAGAAAATGTATTTTTTTTGAAAAATTTAGATAGAGTAGTTCTCTTTGTATCTAAGAGGAGTGAATTTTTTTTCTTTAACAAGATCTGGAAACGAACAATTGAAATTTATTTTATCAATATCAGGAGGAAAAGTTAAGATTCAATATGGGATTGGTTGGGTGTAAGGTAGAGGAACTATTGTGTGATAGTTGATGCTTAGAGTTGAAATTGAAGGAAAATAAAACGATAAAAATAAAATGAATACTACCATGGACCCGTCAGTAATAGGTAGTGAAGAGAATAAATCATCCTTACCTCATACAACAACTCATCCTTAGCTGAGACAACAAGTCATCTTTACCTCAGACAACAACTCATCCTTACCTCAGTCATAACTCATCCTTACCTCAGACAAAATCATCCTTACCTCAGTCATTGTCATCCTTACCTCAGACAAAACTCATCCTTACCTCAGTCATAGACTCATCCTTACCTCAGTCATTGACTCATCCTTACCTCAGACAACAACTCATCCTTACCTCAGACAACAACTCATCCTTACCTCAGACAACAACTCATCCTTACCTCAGACAAAAAGTCATCCTTACCTCAGTCATAGACTCATCCTTACCTCAGTCATTGACTCATCCTTACCTCAGACAACAACTCATCCTTACCTCAGACAACAACTCATCCTTACCTCAGACAACAACTCATCCTTACCTCAGACAAAAAGTCATCCTTACCTCAGTCATAGACTCATCCTTACCTCAGTCATAGACTCATCCTTACCTCAGTCATAGACTCATCCTTACCTCAGACAACAACTCATCCTTACCTAAGTCATTGACTCATCCTTACCTCAGTCATAGACTCATCCTTACCTGAGACAACGACTCATCCTTACCTCAGTCATTGACTCATCCTTACCTCAGTCATAGACTCATCCTTACCTCAGTCATAGACTCATCCTTACCTTAAACAATAACTCATCCTTACCTCAGACAACAACTCATCCTTACCTCAAACAATAAACATCCTTACATCAATCATTGACTTATTCTTATCTAAGTCATTGACTCATAATTACCTCCGACATTTACTCATCCTTACCAGAACTTTACATTTAAATTCAAAATAATTTTATTATATTAAATTTTCAAAACCATATTTTAGTTCAATACTATTATAGATATAACTTTGTCAATAATGAATATTTTCGCGATTTGGATAAGTATTCATTGAGTTATCTAAGATTTTATTCGTGGGTATAAATTAATTAATATGTGAAATAATTATATAATAAGAGACGGATATCCAACACTCAGTCTCTCTTTGACATCCAACACTCAGTCTCTCTTTGACATCCAACACTCAGTCTCTCTTTGACATCCAACACTCAGTCTCTCTTTGACATCCAACACTCAGTCTCTCTTTGACATCCAACACTCAGTCTCTCTTTGACATCCAACACTCAGTCTCTCTTTGACATCCAACACTCAGTCTCTCTTTGACATCCAACACTCAGTCTCTCTTTGACATCCAACACTCAGTCTCTCTTTGACATCCAACACTCAGTCTCTCTCTTTGACATCCAACACTCAGTCTCTCTTTGACATCCAACACTCAGTCTCTCTTTGACATCCAACACTCAGTCTCTCTTTGACATCCAACACTCAGTCTCTCTTTGACATCCAACACTCAGTCTCTCTTTGACATCCAACACTCAGTCTCTCTTTGACATCCAACACTCAGTCTCTCTTTGACATCCAACACTCAGTCTCTCTTTGACATCCAACACTCAGTCTCTCTTTGACATCCAACACTCAGTCTCTCTTTGACATCCAACACTCAGTCTCTCTTTGACATCCAACACTCAGTCTCTCTTTGACATCCAACACTCAGTCTCTCTTTGACATCCAACACTCAGTCTCTCTTTGACATCCAACACTCAGTCTCTCTTTGACATCCAACACTCAGTCTCTCTTTGACATCCAACACTCAGTCTCTCTTTGACATCCAACACTCAGTCTCTCTTTGACATCCAACACTCAGTCTCTCTTTGACATCCAACACTCAGTCTCTCTTTGACATCCAACACTCAGTCTCTCTTTGACATCCAACACTCAGTCTCTCTTTGACATCCAACACTCAGTCTCTCTTTGACATCCAACACTCAGTCTCTCTTTGACATCCAACACTCAGTCTCTCTTTGACATCCAACACTCAGTCTCTCTTTGACATCCAACACTCAGTCTCTCTTTGACATCCAACACTCAGTCTCTCTTTGACATCCAACACTCAGTCTCTCTTTGACATCCAACACTCAGTCTCTCTTTGACATCCAACACTCAGTCTCTCTTTGACATCCAACACTCAGTCTCTCTTTGACATCCAACACTCAGTCTCTCTTTGACATCCAACACTCAGTCTCTCTTTGACATCCAACACTCAGTCTCTCTTTGACATCCAACACTCAGTCTCTCTTTGACATCCAACACTCAGTCTCTCTTTGACATCCAACACTCAGTCTCTCTTTGACATCCAACACTCAGTCTCTCTTTGACATCCAACACTCAGTCTCTCTTTGACATCCAACACTCAGTCTCTCTTTGACATCCAACACTCAGTCTCTCTTTGACATCCAACACTCAGTCTCTCTTTGACATCCAACACTCAGTCTCTCTTTGACATCCAACACTCAGTCTCTCTTTGACATCCAACACTCAGTCTCTCTTTGACATCCAACACTCAGTCTCTCTTTGACATCCAACACTCAGTCTCTCTTTGACATCCAACACTCAGTCTCTCTTTGACATCCAACACTCAGTCTCTCTTTGACATCCAACACTCAGTCTCTCTTTGACATCCAACACTCAGTCTCTCTTTGACATCCAACACTC